TTTTATCGAATGATAAGCTGTAGCAATAAAAGAATTAGGTTTGTGCCTACCAATTCATAATTGGTCGAGAGACTAGAGAGAAAATATGAATATCTCTATAGGGAATAACTTTCGGCATCGCATTCATCTCCCTTTTTACAGCACATGTTACAAGAGGTATCGTGTAACATTATCGCACTTGCCGATCGATATTAACAGACAAGTAAAGTGAATTATGGATCGACTTTCCCAACAATACGTTTATCGAGAAAAATTAATTTTGCAAATTTGCGTAACGGAATGAAGAAATTCACCGTTGTGAAAAAAGCAAACTTAATAAATACTGACACCCACCACGTCTCAATAGCCATTACTTAATATGCAAACTGCCTTAGAATGAAGTCGGAGGATGAGCGGTGAAGTACGTGCAGAAATTTCGATTTCTGACAGGCGTTAAGGATTTACCGCACGTTATGAAAACTTGACTTTATGGCGAAAAAAAGTCAGAGATATGTTTCCTGTCTTTAAATTTCTAATTATATATGCAAACGACATATCAAAAATGAACACCTGGTAGGTTGACAGTAGTATATTTAAGATATTGTGCCCGTCGTAAAATTCCATATACCGGAACATGGAGCTTAGTTTTCTATATTCGGCAAGTTTGGCTAGAAACGAAGCAATTTTTTCGCCATTTTTAACAATTAACAACCTTTAAATTTTATCCTGACAGTAGTGTAACTTTTGTGTAAGTTGGGTTGCAACTTTCACTTACTGCTTATGGGTCCATCTGACATCGTTTTAGGATTATTTACGACGTTTAAACAGTAACAAAATATTCTGTTTATGATTACAAATGTTCTGTGCTCAACAAAGAAAGCGGCTAAAGAAAATGGAATAAACATGAGCTGCCTTCTTGAAATTCACATGATAAATTGAAGTTCCTTTTCCTACAAAAATGTGCAGGAAGACTTTTCCCGTGCTTCCGTCTATAAATTAGCAAGATGGGTGTGGTGTAAGTGACTCACATTTAAAGAGTAAGCTTGAATGAGAAAAATGCTGTTTTCGGCATTCTATACAAAGATAAAAATTCTCATGAACATTTTCGAGAGTTCTTCGACAGACACAAGACCTCCCCGTCCTCAGAAATTAAAACCTTTTGTGAGTCTTTAGCTTTTGGCGCTTTAGTTATTGGACTCCCTTGTTCCTTGTTTGTAGATCAGCATCTAGTAAGTTAAATGCAAATTTTTTCCGTGTAAAAGCTAAACATGTCCAGTTCCCAGTTGAGTGCAAGAGGATCATTATCATTCTCATATGTAATTAAAGGTTCATACCTTAATTTTACATAAATGGACAAATGGTACCGCTTATACGACGGCCCTTTTGCAGATGACAATGTTGATAATCCTCCTTCAGTGACAATGAAGTATGAAAGATAGGTGACGTTTATGTTTGGGGTTAACGAGTTTGATTTTTTTCCGGGTCGATCTGAGACAATTTTCTTTTCGGGGCTCAAAAAAAGGCAGTATATAACCTTCCTTTTTTACCAAAAATCGACTGCACCAAAATTTCTCGGGAAAACACTTTTTCTTATTAATTTTGGCGCGTAGAATCCAAAACAATTCGTACTTTTTCGATCAGACTTCTCAATGAAAAGTTATTGACTAGAAACCAATTTCGAAAGAAAATTCAAAGGGCTGTAACTTTTGAACTATACTGTATTCATTTTAAGAAGGTAGCGGTAGAAAGCATAGGGAAGCTTTGACCTTCACTATGATTGGTTAAAACACGAGTCAGTATTACATAATGAAACATAAAACGAGTGGCGAATTTTGTAAGCTGGTAGTTTATGTTGCCAACTAAACTGCTGAAGTGTCATTAACTGTTAATTTCAAAGATTTATTTCTGTTCGCAGTACTGGATATTTCTTCTTTACAATAATTTGGTGCGGTTGTATATTTTTCCTGTGTGTGTTTATCTTCAAACATAGCGCCATCTACTACCTTCTTATAGTGAATGCAGTATAGTAGCCTAATCTTGGAACTGTTTGAAATTATGGATTTTACAGGCCACATTCCATAAGAAAATTTTTTTTCGGGTGGATCTGAGACAATTTTTTTTCGGGGCTCAAAAAAAGGCACCTTCCTTTTTTACCAAAAATCGACTGCACCAAAATTTCTCGGGAAAACACTTTTTCTTATTAATTTTGGTGCGTAGAATCCAAAACATTTCGTACTTTTTCGATCAGACTTCTCAATCAAAAGTTATAGACTAGAAACCAATTTCGAAAGAAAATTCAAAGGGCTGTAACTTTTGAACTAGTAGCCCAATCTTGGAACTATTTGAAATTATGGATTCTACAGGCCACGTGCACTTTTAATGTTTCTTATTGTTTAGGATTTTATGGCTACGAACAACCAAAATTCAATCCCTGCTTCAGGTTCACGGTAGTTTTAACATTGGTTCTTTGTGATAACAAAATATATTAGCGCGCCTACTTAAATCGCCCTTGGTCAAAACGGCACTTTTTTTATCTCCCTACGTAATTCTTACTAAACGTAAATTTCGTTATAATTCGTACTTTTTGCTGCGTGTATAAGTATACAATCTGGGCTCAAGAGGTTTCTGGAAACCCTTTAAGAAACAATGTTCAACAATATTTTTCTACCAGAAATAGATACCATTTATTTGGAAAACCAATTTCCACCCGCTACCCTTAGAAATTCTACGGTTTGTAATTCCCAAACTACTCAGTTTCAAGAAATTCAACCTATTTCCTTAAAAATTCAAAATAGGTATGTAAATCTAACCTCTTCAGAAGAGAGCTTTTTGTTATTAAAATGATGTATGGCATGCTATACCAAATTGTTTTATTTGGAAAAGGGTGTCTTAGAAATAAAATGCGATAATTCACAGCCACCTTTTGTTTGCAAAGCACCCTCGTAACATTTAAATAGTTGTGTTATAACAGAAAACCCAAATGAGGAAGTAATTCAAACATTGAAGTCCAGCCTTGATCCAAAAGAACCGATGTTTGATGCTTTTAGATTTAATTAATTGGTACCAATTACCTGAGACTGAAAACTATAATTTTCATTCAATTGCATTATAAAAACTTGAGAATTTCACGTCGGGCGGTAACTTTAAAGAGTTTCAGGCAAAAGTTTTGCCTCTGACTAAATTAAGGGTAGTACAACAGTGAATCTGGCTTTGACCGGCTTGGAAACAGTATATGCAGATCAAGACCGAAAACACCCCTGACCCCAGACATTAACAAATTTATTTCTTGGTGAAAATGATGAAGAATTGTTTGAAAAATACAATAGCTACCGGCAGGTAAAATTATGGCACAGATTAGTTAATCGAACGAAAAATTTATTATATTACCCTGCATTTCTAAAAGATTGTTGTTCCCAAAGTTGCACACCACTCCTAGTCCTTGTATTTCAATTTAGGGGAAGCTAAGTATTTTTACCATACATACATACGGCCGGTTTTTAGCGCATTTTTGCAAACGTTTATATTCGTTGTGGCTGGCTGGCTGTCCGGCTGCAATCTCAGCATTCCGCAATTAGCCAATGACAATAGCTAGAGACCTTAAATTTTCACTTCTGCTCTAGTGTAGATGTGCCGGCTAATCTATTTTGAGTTTAAGATTGAGATTTTTAAACTTCGCTAATAAAATACTGATCTGTATTACCAAAAATTCGCTTTCATCATGCATATACTGATTTACAACGTGTTTTATGCTTCATTTAAACTTACCCAAAGGAAATACACTTGGTTCTATGGAAATTAACTGTCAGATAAATTGATCGATGAGATTAAAGACCGGGCCCGTTAGAAATGCAAGTTCTAAAGTTCTAACCCTTGTAATGAACAACATTATGATACTAAAAACGTACTTATATAAAAACGGCTAAAGAATTAATCATTTTAATTAATATGTAAGTTGAGAAACTGGCAATTCAAATGAAATGTGCTCGTTTAAATTGACAAGTTGATACTTGATTGGTCGGACACTAGTGCGATGTAAGCCGTAGAGTTAGAAATCCGATTATTTAAATGTTTGTAGATACTAAACTCTACACTTGTAATCTGTGCCTTCACATTTTAAACATGTTTGTACGCTTGATATGTAGCATTTTAAACGCAAACAGTTAAAAGAACCGATTAGTGTGCAGCTTACCAAGGAATTAGTTGCATAAAATATGAATATTTTGAATACAACTTCAGGTACCTGTCGCACTTTTATTCGGATTATCACTCTTTCTCTCCATTAAGACCATCAGTAACACAATTCATTGGTGGTTCCTATGGTAGTTTCGTAAACACTGAGAGAATTCATGTAAGGTGCCGAATAGGTCATTAATGTATCTATAATAAAATTAATTTTGTGTGAATTTTTTTATATACCATTTCGGTTAGAAAGGACCAAAAAATTACCGAACTCTTGAGTTGCGTTGATTTCAAAGCCCAAAACTATTCAAAAGAATGTGTCTCTAGGTACTTCATTAGAATGGTTACCCTATGACACAACCTACACAAGGTTTAATAATATACATCCGTGTGGATATAATACCTATAAATGATTGGTTCTATTAGTGATTGCCGTTATATATATAGACTGTAAACAGAGCAATCCATCTAAATGCAAGGCTATTGCAAATACCTTTTATGCATTCCGTTTAATTATGATGTGTGGATTAATTCACAAAGTCCTTATAATAAATGTCGAAGGTAGATGCTTTTTTCTTCTCCCCTAGTGGGCGTCGAGACGTCACCAAGGCGACGACGCGGAGTAATTTCACCGCCAATGACAGTAGGTAAAGCAACGCCTCCTTCTAGTTTTATATTCCCTCTACTTTTTCACAAGAAGTACGCAAAGTTATTAGTTCTTATCGCGCCATAGATATAGTAGTCGGTTACATTTTCGCGCTCTATTTTAGTCAATGCGTGATGAGCGCCAAGTCATTATTTAAGTATCGAGGCCAGTTACTAATGTTGTATAATTGTTACAGACGCCGTTTTGTTCGAGTAGTTTTGCGGATCTTTTGACCGCCCCATTTTCGGATGATCCCAGTAACGTACTGTCGTCGGAAGATCTAGATCCATTTCCTGAAGTGGCCTTAGAATCACAACCCTCATCGCCTACCCCACTACCCAGTTTTCAAGAGACATACTCGGTCCGTTTCAACACGCCGTATAAGATGGACGAAGAGTGCTTTAACATTGCATATCATCATCACCAACACGGTCAAGTGGCGACTCCACCTGCACCTCACCACTACGAGTATCAGCAACACCACCAGTACGCCACGACGCCCTATTACCCTCCGCCTCAGACCTGTACTTCCGGATTTCAAAACGTCGCTTCCCACGAGTCCTACTCCCTGCCCATCTACCAAACTATTACCGCGGAAATGCACGTGAGTACGCCTTTGAGTCCCGGCCATCGGCGAGCTTCTCTACCGTTACAAAGATCGGAATCCACCAGCAGCAGCGAGAGTCCCAAATTGCGACTGGCCGGTCCCGTAGCGTCCGCCTGCTCTTCCGCGGCAAGTTCGCCGGGAGGTAGCGGAGACATACCGACGAGCAAAGGGCCGACGCCTCCGTCGCCGTCGCAGCTTTGCGCGGTCTGCGGGGACACCGCCGCCTGTCAGCATTACGGGGTGCGAACCTGCGAGGGATGCAAGGGTTTCTTCAAGAGGACCGTCCAAAAGGGATCAAAATACGTCTGCCTCGCCGACAAAGCCTGCCCGGTCGACAAGCGTCGCAGGAACCGATGCCAGTTTTGCCGTTTCCAAAAATGCCTAGCGGTAGGCATGGTGAAAGAGGTGGTGCGTACCGACTCTCTAAAAGGGCGACGGGGACGACTTCCATCCAAACCAAAATCACCGCAGGAGTCGCCCCCCAGCCCGCCAATTTCTCTTATCACCGCGTTGGTGCGCGCCCACGTCGACACAACACCGGACCTCGCGAACCTAGACTACTCGCAGTATTGTGAACCCTGCCCCATTGAGCCTGCCATGACGGAATCTGAAAAAGTGCAGCAGTTCTACACCCTTCTCACCACATCCGTCGACGTAATCCGTTACTTCGCCGAAAAAATCCCTGGTTACCAAGACTTCGTGCGCGAAGACAAAGAACTCTTATTTCAATCCGCTTCTCTAGAACTTTTTGTGTTAAGGCTGGCTTATCGGACGCATTCGCACGATACCAAGCTTACTTTTTGTAACGGCGTCGTTTTACATAAACATCAATGCCAGAGATCATTCGGAGATTGGATGAACGCAATTATGGAGTTTAGCAACAGTTTACATTCGATGGAAATTGATATATCGGCTTTCGCCTGCCTTTGTGCTCTCACACTTATTACCGGTAAGTCTGCTTTTATATTATAAATGCATTATTCATGTCTGAATGTATTTACCGTATAAGGATTTACTCTCCATTTGCATGCGGTGTTACTTTATATCCATTCCGTTATCTTTTATTTACCTTATAAATCTATATTTTGAATACCTACATAAAATTTAAGCAATCGAGAATTGTATTAATTTAATTCAACCTGTAATTGTTTTAATGTAATACACTGATTAATTTCCAATGACCGCAACTATGCCAGTTATGTTCCCGCGTTAGGGTTGGTAAAAATCTGCAGGTTTTCAAGGCCCGCTTCTCCACGAATTTCAATTGAATGAAGTGAAATTTGTGTAGGGCAGGGCAGGGTGGTTACTCCGGAAAAAGTCAGTCGGTTGGTGATTATACTCTTTCCCCAAATCTGCAACAAATTATAGACTTAAAGTCGAATGAATGCGTACTTTAAATGAGGAAGAAAGGAAAGAAGTGGCCCGTCGCTGCCCCTTCTTGTCTTGGTCAAGCAGACCCCTTTCGGGATAGGAAGTTCGTTCGGCGCGAAAAAAACCAAGATGGAAGAATTAGGATCGTAACTACAAAAATAAAATGTCACATGACTAACAAACCAGATGGACCGGGGTAGGGGGTATCCGGGACCCCCCCCCCCCGACTGATCGCCCATGTGTGAGAATGGCTCCTCCCCATGCTAAAGACGGTACTCTTTATGGACGTAACCTGAACATCCCCGGCTAGCTCAATTCAAAATATCACACGACACAAAAGGTCGACATCAGCTCCAGCGAGAAGAATTTTGATCTGTCACAGTTTTTGTTGATACAAAGCAAGAGTGAATTTTTAACTCGCCAAATAAATTGAGATATTTCACAATAAATCATTTAAGCATATCGTATCGTGTGGTTCTAGAGAGAGCTGGTGGACATTTTAGGGTAGGTATTTGAGGCACGCTGAAAACTTGTCCAACACTTCTCCAAAATCCCCAAACACAGAAATGCAGACCTGGCTGAGGAGTGGCGGGGCTAACACTTTACCAGGGGCCTTCAAAGTTTGAAAAAAATAATGCCATTGATTTGTGAATCAATTTCAGACATATGCCGACATACGCCAAAACGCTGCAACAATTATCAAGTATGCGAAATCGATAAAAAATCTTGTCTGAAATTGATTGACAAATCAATGACGCAGGGCCAAGGGACTCTTGATTTGAATAATAATAATAATATATTTTAGTGCATAGACCAACAAAACGTATGTATAGCACAAGTCAATTACAAACTAACAATTAGGTAAAAAATTCACTAGTGGTGTAAAATGGGTTAAGAATCAGGTACTTCAACAGGTTTTGTTTGAACAGTTTTAGAGTGTCACAGCCTTTTAAGTTATGAGGTAGCTTGTTATACATTTGTACTCCAAGAACCATGGGAGAGTTCGCGGTTAATTGTCTTTTAAAAGTGGGGATTTGGAAAAGGTCATTATCACGTAAATTATAGCTATGTGTGTCCTTGTTCCTAATCAGTTTATGAGAATAAGTGAAGATTAATTTACAATTTTCAAAAATTAATAAACTAAGAAGCGTTACGATTTCCAGATCTTTAAAGAGACCTCTGCACGAATGAAATTTTGACACATTTACAATTGTTCTTATAATGCGCTTTTGGGCAATGAAAATAGTATGCGAGTGAGTAGACGAACCCCATAGACATATCCCATATCGTAGGATGGACTCCACAAGCGAGTGGTATATATTAACGAGTTGATTTAGAGTTAAGGCGCGTCTGAGATTTCTAATTAAGTAATTAACCGCACTCAATCTATAGCTGCGAGTTTGGAGCAGTGTACTTTCCAGCTTCAGTGGTTGTCAAAATGTAGACCCAAAAATTTAGTGGTGGAAACATCTTGCAGAGTGTTGTCCTCTATTTGTAGAGCGACAGGGTTAATGGTTTTTTTGTGGGTGATGAAAACGAACATAAGTAATTGGTTTTGCTTGCATTTAGAACAAGTGAAGCTTCCTTGAACCAAACACTAAGCTTATGCAAGTAATTATTGCACAAGTTTGTGAGTAATTTCTCGTCATGGGACACCAGCAGTGACGTGTCATCCGCATATAAAAAATTGGGTACTTCTGTCCCGAGGAAAGTGGGTAGATCATTTATATACAGCAGAAACAGCGTTGGTCCCAGTACCGATCCCTGCGGGACCCCAACATTTGTGACTTTATTCTGCGACTTAAATATTTGCTTGGTGTCGTTTTACTAGTCCGGTAATAGAAACATACTGTTCCCTGTTGTAAAGGAAAGAAGAGATCCAGCTGAGTCCAACACCTCTGATGCCATAATTCTCTAATTTTAAGAGCAGCTTGTCAATGTGTACGCAATCAAAGACCCTTGTAAGGTCACAGAAGATCCCTATTGGACATTCTCCGTTGTCTATGTATTTAATTAGCTTACAATAAAAATTTTGTAGAGCGTCTGTTGTTGAGCATTTCGGTTGAAAATCAAACTGTTGTTTCGACATTAGTTTTGGAGGCGTTCAAGGAAACAATATTCAAATATTTTAGAGAAAGTGGAACTGAGGGCTATAGAACGATAATTGTATATACAGTTATGATCTCCTTTTTTATAAATGGGGATAACGTTATTAACTTTTAACATTTTTGGAAATTCTCCCATGCTAAATGACAGATTTATAAGGTATGTCAGTGGGGATATTATTGATGGTAAAATTTGTTTTATAAGTACTGGTGGTATCCCGTCCGGGCCGGTTGAGTGTTTATTTTTTAATTTGGAAATTATAAGGACTGATAGTTCACTAGTGGTCAATGGAAGCAAAACAAATGTATGGGGATTATTGTTCATTTTTGGGATGTAATGTCGGTTTCTGTTTTGTTGATTATTATTTATTAGAGTTTGTGCTATATGACAGAAAAAGTCGTTAAAATGATTGGCTATATCTGTGGGTTGATTGACTGTTCTATTGTTGACCTCAATAGAGTCAACAGTGCTGCTCTTATTTCCACTGTTACGCATTGAATTCGCTACTGACCAAATCGCCCTAGGTGAGTATTGTGAGTTTTCAATATTCATTTGATAGTAATGCATCTTCGTTTTCTGTATCAACTGAAAGTGTGCCAGTCTTTGAGTACGGTAATAATTCTTTATTTCAAGAAATTGTTTTGTCATAACGAACAAATCGAGTAGTTTTTTAGACGATGATCTTATACCATTATCAACCCATGTTTTTGATGGGCCGTTCGCTTTATGGCGTCACCTTAATATGGGGAAATTGAAATTAAATTTATTTGAGAAAACATTATGAAACCATCTGTATGCATCATTGATATCTCTGCATTCTTTTAGAGGGCACCAATTTACATTTTCTAGAAAGTTTTTAAATTTTAGCACCCTATTTGGATAGTAGGAGCGGTTAAATGTATATATTATTTCGGATATAGAACCATTGTCAATATTACTTTGAAAAAGAATAGTTCTATGATCCGAAATACAATTATCTAAGGTCCTATATGATGCAGAGGCCTCAAAGTTTACATACAAATGGTCAAGAGTTCGATTTTTCGCGTGTACTTTCATTGATAACTAATGTTAAATTAAAAGATCTTAACAAATTACAAATCCTCTCATACTCACAGATCGGATCCACATTAAAGTCGCCCGTTATTATTATATTATGACCAGGTCTATATATTTGATGTAAAACATCATTCAGTTTTTCAATGAATATTGAAATGTCTCCCATCGTTCCCGGAGATCTATACAAGTGACAAAATAATGGTGGTAGTGTGGTGAGATGAGAACCAGTGCAAGCCACATATTTCAAAGTGTTTTTCTACACAGTGTCGGGATAAATTTATTGGCTTGACAGCTAAACCATGTCTGTACCAGATTCCCACACCTCCACCTTTGGAGAGATGCCTAGAGAAGCTAGTGCCTAAAACAAAATTATTAAAATTTGTGCTACAATCATAAATATCATTTGGATGAAACCACGTTTCATTCAGACAAATAAAATCAACTGCGTTTTTATATTTATCATTGTCCACATATTCGGCGTTAATATAATCAGCTTTCACGTGATTAAGGGATCTACAGTTTAGTTGCAGAAAGTCTGGTTGGAATGTATCTTCTACGTTTTGCCCGAATCCGGCTTGCTTTTGTGAAGGTTGAAGTGTATACTGGCCGCAATAAATACATGAACACCTAGTGTACTTTGATCACTTTTGACGAAAGTTTCAGGAGAATTGTCTTTATTTCGGCATAAGAAACGATGAAAATTTCAACATGATACAATTACAACTAATTCAGACGACACTAATAATGTGTAGATCATCCACTACTTCTTACGCATTCAGATACTCACTGGGCATACATTCTTTTTTCAAACTTTGAAGGTGCCTGGCAAGGTGTTAGCCCCGCTTCTCCTCAGCCAGGTCTGCATTTCTGCCTTTGGGTATTATTAGAGAAGTGGTGGACAAGTTTTCAGCGTGCCTCAAATACTTACCCAAAAATGTCCACCAGCTCTCCTACTATTCACAGCTGCAAAAAACGCAAAGGAGCGAATTCAGTCACAATAATTTAATTTCCTCTTACAGAAAGGCACGGTCTAAGAGAACCACAACGTGTCGAACAGCTCCAGATGAAGATCATCTCGTCGTTGCGAGACCACGTCACGTACAACGCGGAAGCACAACGCAAAGCGCACTATTTCAGTCGACTTTTAGGAAAACTGCCAGAACTCCGATCTCTAAGCGTGCAAGGATTGCAGCGAATTTTTTATCTCAAACTGGAAGATCTCGTGCCGGCGCCGCCCTTAATTGAGAATATGTTCGTCGCAAGTTTACCATTTTAGAATAGTACACCGAGTACAGAAAAAAAGCTTTTAAGTAAGCGTGATAAGATATTTTATGTGATTTATTGATTAATTAAGTTTAAAAAAGATGAAAATTTCTGATGTGAATTACCTATTGTAAAATCACTATAATGCCTGATTGATGATGCACTTTTTTAAATGTTGTCCTCTACATAGAGTATTGCAATACTATGTAAATATTTCTAAGCCTTTTACACTTTTCCAAATGTTGATTATTTCGTATTTGTATAACAAATGGGGTTTGATAATGGTGCTGCTTGGATGAACGTTTGAGAGAGTTCATTATTCTTATCTACATTGTGTATATAACGAATACTGTAAAGGCAGAAAATCAGTGCGAAATGAGACAGTTCCTGTAAGCTGTAGGAATTTTGTTAAGTTAATGTTCAATGTTACCACTGCACGACCGTGTAGAAAAATGCGATACATCACTAGTCATGGCACTGTATATAAGAATATTTTTATTTACAACTGTTTATATAAAAGAAAAGAATATATATTTTTAATAGTTCATGTAAAAATGAATCATCTATATCTAGAGTTACCTAAAATGGTTACCTTTTGAAAATATTGTTATTTTATAGTTATTTTTTTACAAATTTACTATTAACGAAAACGGTTTGTGTGCCATCTCATATCTAACTTGTTTTTATTACCTACGTCATATCGACTTATATGCCTTTTTGAATGGTTGGACTGACAGATTAAGTTACCTGATTGGAGTGATAAATAAATTTGCACGTGTAAATAGACCGTCCTCGATACGTACCTACCTGCATTCATAATACTCCAATATTGACCAAACCGCAATAGAGCTTAACGTTGGCTATTCGGCAATTTTTAGGTTTGGGCGAACGGGAAGCCTTGCAATACTAAAATGAACAAATTTTGTACCTGCTTGATCGCATTATATATATCTTCCATATCCAAAACAAAACGCCGAGATTTTTTGGGTAGTTTAAGTTCTTTTTAAGTACGTTGTTTACAATGTTCAAATTTACGTAAAGTACTTGCCATGTAAGCCAGTTTGTGTTATAATTTGATATTATACGTACCTATAAGATTTAGATTTTTGCAATCGCTTTACTTTAACTTATTTAGTTTAGAATTACGTACCTACCTATAAATAGTTATAAGTATGTATTGCAATATTTATGTATAAATGAAAATTGTAGGCAATCCTCTATAATCATAAAAAGTACTTAAATGTAAGTTTTATATTCTACCATTTTTGTTGTTTTAGTATTTCTTTTTAACTATTCCTTAAAAAACACAACTGTGTACTCAACCGATTTTTTATTATTTAGATTATACCTACGTCGCACCTTCCTTATTTACCAGTGTTTTTTTTAAATGTGTGAAGTGTACCAATTTTATTTAAATAAATAAAATTTATCATTTTGTTCATTCTTTATTCTTACTTTTACTTCTAGCAAAGACACTGTTGGCATGACAACATAATATAATATAAATGGTAATGTCATATATTCAAATACCATTAAGTTGTGTATTGAATTATTTAAATTTAAATATTATTATGTAATTGTACATCAAAGCCCATAACTATCGTATACCCGCATTACAGGCAAGTATACAACACATTAGCGACAAGGATTATTGGTTTTAAGACCATCCCGTATTATAGTCATAGGCCTGCAAGTCGAAAAATGCGATTATAGGACGTTTTATGATTAAAGCAAGTCACATTGCACTATTGGACCAAAACAAACATTTTTAGAAGGGGAGCCATCCGCCCCCCAGGTGCATTTTTTAGGTTTTTGCCAGTGTACAGGAAAACTACACCGTTTACCAAAAAAGGCGTGGTTACCTTCTTTGTAGAGCATAAAATTCTCTATCGATTAGATGTAGAACTTTTGTTCTATCGCCACTTCAACAATGCTAAATAAAATACTGTTGGGTTCGCTCTCATCAGTTGGCCGTTTTGACTAATGAGGATGGAACACGTTTTAGTTCTCTGCCGGAGGACAAGCACCGCGTCGCCACATTATTTCCTCTGTGGCGCAGCTGTATGGACAAACTTTTTGGAAAAATTCACGTGTCGTCCGGATCTGGTTTGTTGATGCGAAAAGGGGGCATCGTTCGAAGATGTAGTTTCCCCGGCAGGAACTGGTAAAAGATGAAGAATACATGGAGTACCAAAAGAAAGTAAGGGGCGGAGTTTAGAGGGAGAAACTACAGAAAGAGAAGGTAGAGGGGAAGGAATACAGGCACAAACAACAATAAAAGGAGGACAACATGAAAATGATACTCTGGAGCGTAGCGGGGATAGCTGGTTAAAATGCCCAATTCTGGAAGTTTATAGAGGACATGATGTTGTGGGGATTGTGAATCATGGATAGAAGAAAAGAATTCGGAGAAAAGAAAGAGCAAGATTCCAAATGAATATAATATATGGAAGAACCAATTTGCAAAGAGGGGCAATACAAATGGGGCGAGTATAAAAAGGTATATAGTAACAGGGGTAAAAGGGGGAGAAGAGAATGGGAGGATGAAACGAAAGTAAGAAGAAGGCGAAGTCAAGAAGTGGAGGGAAAGAAAATAAGACTGATAACAACAACTGCGGAGAAGGCATGGAGGTCTTACAAAATAAAATAAAAATATAGTAGGTGAAAGGGAGGAAAAAAGGCGAGAAAAAAGGCTTATAAATGAGGGGGTGGGGGTGGAGATTGCCAAAACAGGAATGAAAGAGATAGGAAGAGGTAACACAAGATCAAGAGTTGCAACAAAGAGGGAGAGAAGTGCTACTGAAATTATCAGAATTTTAAACGGAAATTATAGCGGAAGATAGGGATGGACATTGAAATTGTAGGGGAATTACAATTCGGTTGAGTGGAAGAGCAGGAGTGGAATTCATCCGTTCATGAACTACCCCGTTTTAACCTTTTTTTTATTATATGACTTTTTTTTTGTACATCTGGTCTAATCAGGTCATTATTATTATTAATGACCGCGTATATAATCTATGCAATGATACACTGAACGAAAGACTAGAAAGAGAAGAGGATGGAGGAAACACAAATGATCTTCAAAAAATGGCGAAGAACGATCTACTGCATATATGTATTGCACAGATTGGTGGAGAAAGAATTGGAAAAAAGAGCGGAAAGGTAGAAAAGTCGAAAATGATGCTATTTGGGGGGGGGGGGCAAGAATGACTTCAGAACAAGAAAATAACCTGTTTGATACAATGGTGAGAGGGGTGGTTATAAATGGAATGGAGATATATGGGGGTGGGAGGAATGGGATGAACTGGAAGGTATTATACATGTGTATTTAGGACTAAACAGAAGGACACTCAATTACAGGAGGAGACAAAAATAGAGAAGATAAGGATAGCGTAGGGACGCCGCCATAAAGTGAAAGAGTGAAGGAGTGAAAAAAAGCAAATTAATAAATGAATGCTTGACAACGATGATAAACGCAAAAGGAATGTGGGAAGAACAAATAGCAAAATATTACGTAAGAAATGTATATGGACGGACTGAGGTTGAAAAAACAGTAGTAGAGGGAAAGATGAAAAATGAGCTGGCAAAAGAGGATCTGGATGCACACATTCACAACATAAGATAGTAATTACAAATATCTAATAAGGGAGTGGTTACCAACATATTTTCTGATGCGGAAATGAAGAGAGGGAAAAAGAAATGGATACAAGAAAAAGAAACAAAATGTAAGTAAAATATGCAGAAGAAAAAAAGGCCATAGAACACATGTTATGGAACTGTACAAAGATGCAAATGACAGAGAGAAGTAGGAGCGGGGTGCTGGATGAGGTTGGAGGAGGTGGGCGACCTAGATTAAAAGAAAAGAAGTTCTAAGTTAAATTGTTGCTGTTTTGCCAAGCTGGCTTCTAATAAAGATCAGCCCCACCTCGAAATAATTCATACACTGGCCTAGATCCGAACCAGGAACCTCCAATGTTATAGTTGACTTCATATTTATTTATTATCCCTCTCTTGTTCTGGGCCCTCAACACAGAGTAATGCTTTTTAGAGGTGCCTCTGCAGAAGGTCTTAAGGACGGCATACGAATTAAAAAATTGAACCAGTTATGAAATGAGGCAACAATGATTCAGCTATTAAATATCAGAGGTCGCCAGAGCTGTCACTTGTAATAAGAATCTTTTTTATGATTTAAATATTTTTTTCGATTTAAATAATTTGATCTTAAATCTTTTTACGGAAAATGATTTTTGATTTAAGATTTAAATCTTCATGAAAACTATCTTTGATTTTGAACTTAAAAATATGATTTACATCTTTTAAAAATATTTAAATACTTTCGAAAAGATTTAAATCGTTTCCGAGTGGTTTAAATCTTTTAGAGACTATTTAATTAATACATACTAACAAATTCTCTTGATTTGTTTCAACCTGACTAAGCTAATTAACCCGGGTTTTATTTCGGTAGACGTTTATATGTATTTATTACAAAATCGAGTATACTGAGATTGACGATGTCTTGATTTTTTAAAATTTCTTTCGCAAAAAAATAAGTACATATTTTAATTTAATAAATAATAACAATAAAATACGGTAGAAATGGTAGGTATATTGATGAATGATGTTAAGGGTTTCGAGCAAGATCATCAGACCAATCAGTTTTATTGAATTTAAATCCTTTACAAACCTTTTGTCACAAAACGATTAAATCATCGGAAAAGATTTAAATCATTACATCATTACATTATTTAAATCTTTATACGTGATTTAAATTAACAAAATTAGATTTAAACCTTTTTGAATGAATTAAATACATTGAAAGTATCTTAAATACTTTCTAAAAATATTTAAATCTCAAAATGATTTATTATGGGCGACTCGATTGTCAATCCTTTTTTGATCGCTCCTTATTTGAAAAGCTGGAGAAATCCTACTTGGGGGTTATCGGGGGCGTAGAGTCCATCTCTGCCCTCGAAATTGAGAGAGGATGCCCAGGGGCGGCGCTACGAGGGCGCAGTGAAGTAAAAAATTAACCGTGCCGAAAAAATCGTTATTCGGGGCAATTAATATTTTTTTACTGAAAATTCACCCCCGCCCCCATGATCTCTACCCCTGAGCATACCCGGAGAATTTGGACAGTATATCTGGTCTCTGCGCCAACGAAGATAATAAATGCATTTTTGCACCCCTGTGATTTTTACGTCGTAACTCGTAGGATAGACATAGGATCATAAGGGCAGCGTTACACAATCGTGTAAAATTTCCAAACGGTTTTAACTACCTGTCTTCTTTTCCGGAGGGTCGGCCACGCACATTCAAATCACAAATGTCATTTTATCTTAGTAAACGAGAAAGGAATGTTGGCATAGGTCGCGTTTATGTACTCGTCTTTAGACAAACATTGTAGTCAATGACATCATAATCGGATCAGTGGCGTATTTACGGGGGGGGGGGGGGCGAAGGGGATATCCCCCCCAGAAGAATTATTGAGTTATTATCATAGCTATTAGGTATTTAGGTAATACTCCGCTATCCGCTCCGCCCACTTTAAAATAAAGGCAATAATATATATAGGTATATATAGAGAGCAATTTTGGTTTTGGTTAAAGTCACTAAAACCTAAATATTCTGTAGTATTCAGTATTCACTAATCAGTGAGTGATCAGTGTTGGCAGTCAACGATTTGGCTATTCGTCATCGATCGGCAATTCGCTACATTGATGCCCAAAATAACAAATAGGTATCAGGTACTGAGTACTGCTACTGAGGTGAGGTACCTGCGTCCTGCCTTTCACGAAATGACGAAAATAAGAATTTTAAATTTTAAAAACAGGAATTTTTTTGCCCACAACTTTTGATTGCCCATAACTTTTGATTGAGACGTCTAATCGAAAAAGTACGAATCGTTTTGGATTCTATGCACCCAAATTAATAAGAAAAAGTTTTTTCCCGAGAAATTTTGGTGCAGTCGATTTTTGGTAAAAAAGGAAGGTAATCAGATCGACCGGAAAAAAATATTTTCTTATAGAATGTGGCCTGTAGAATCCATAATTTCAAACAGTTCCAAGATCGGGCTACTAGATCAAAAGTTACAGCCCTTTGAATTTTTTGTCGAAATTGGTTTTTTGCCCATAAATATACCTATTATTCAAAGTTTTCGTTGACTAATTAAAGCAAAAGCAATAATGGGGCCTATCGGCAGTAAGAAATAAAATACCGTTCTAATCTAATCTTTTTCGCCTGTACAATAATAAATAGATAAATGACTACCAGCATCAGCAACCTGCAACCCAATTTCTATTTCTTACCCCCCTCCCCCTTCTAGTACGCACTGGGTGACTGTGTATGCCACGTACTTGTTTAATCCCCCCCCCCCCCCCCCCAGAATAAATTTCTACGTACGCCACTGTACGCCACTGAATCGGATGCAGCAGTTCCTTTATAATATTTTTACAGACGCGCGCCAAGTTAAGTTGTACCTTAGCGACATCTAGAAATAAATAGCTGCACTACTGCTGCTTGCCGCCATTGTGATTGATGTAATTTTTTAAAAATGAAATCTTTGAGAATGACTCCTGGGCGCAATATTGGGTTTTAAATGACAAAACTTTCAATATTGAAAGAGGAGGGACAGTTTTACAGCGACTGTACTTTAAAATTCAACAATTGCTTAAAATAAAATATAAAATGTGCCCTCTTATTTTAGCAATATTGTAGTAATTACTGTCTTTTTAGTAAAACCTTTATACAGTCGCTCTAGAGTAATGTATCTAGAATTTATATTTTCAAAAACCAAGCTAAAAAATGATTGTATAAGCCCAGGAGTCATTCTCAAAGTTTGATATAATTTTACAATGCAATTTGTCAGTGGCGACCTCTATTGGTTCTCATGAATAGTATGCCGTCCTTAANAGTCGACTTATGTGGCGGGACGAATTATGAGAGTCTAAAATTTATACAGCGCTGTCTATCTAGTGTAGTATGATCTTTGCTGCAGGAAAACCTAATTTGGAGTAGCCGGCGAATGCTGGAAACTGGTCTAAGGTAAAATTCACCTCAACCCAGATTCGAACACCCGACCTCCGGATTTATAGCCCAAGGATCTACCATTGAACCACAAAGTCGGTCATATAACACTTGACTTAAAGGTCAACAAGAAAAACACAAAAAAATGATGATTTAATTATTTAATGGTGAAAAAACCATTTCCATTGCACTTCCATTACCGTCATTAGTGATATCTGTAACGTTAGCTTTTGACTGATCTGACGATTTTGCATTGAATCCCTCCTGCTCGGCTCGTTTTGTGGCTATGGCCTTCAATAGAGACTTCCCTTGTTCCTTGGTCTGCAAAACAAATTAATCAGTAACTGAAAGCCGAACTGCGCAAACCTCATCGTGTTCAATGCATTTATATGCATATGCGTAGGCATCCTCTAATTGACCACGTTTCAAATGATAATTTGCCAAATACTGAAATGCATTATAAAATTCATTTTCCCCATCGTATCCTCCCGCTCTCTGATCCTCTTCCTTAAAGCAAAACTCCGTATAAGCAGCAGCCGCATTATCAACTTCATTCAATTTATCGTACAACCTGCAAATCATTTGTTTGACCTAATCAGATCGCTGAACTCGGATACTCACTTTGCCAGTTTAACCAGAGCCATTCCCTCGACGTCTCCCACGTTGCACGCTTTGTAATAGCACTTAAGGGCATTTTCGTGTTTATCCAACTTTTCGTATGTCTCGCCCAATGCAAGAATCATTCTGCTATCGTTAGGTCGCAATTGTTGCGCTTGTTTATAGTAATAAATACAATAAAATGGCATTTTCAAAATCTCATACGTCTGACCTAAACCGTACCAAGCGCGATAATCTCGTCGATTTACCTCTAAAACAATAAAACCGATCAAAATGGTTAATTTGAGGTCATTTTGCCACAACACCAATTTGTGATTTTACGTTATTAAATTGATACTATACTACTACTACCATAAATATACCTATAGCCTGTCGATAACTCTGAATTGCGGCATTGGTATTTTTCATCTCCATAAATTCATGTCCCATTAATGTCCACGCAGAGAGATATTGCGGATTTAGCTTTAAAGCTCGTTGAAAGTACAGCACCGCCTTGGAATGCTCTGAGCGTAAACTGTAATAATTACCTACAAGCACATTTTCGACTCACAAACCTAAAGGAAAAACTCACCTATTACACAACAGGTCTCCACACGATATTTATCAATATTAACTGCGGTGTGAGCCAAGTTTGCCAGTTCCGTCTTCATCTCTTTCACGTACAGTAAATTCGAGTAGGTATCCAAATTGTCTAATCGATAAGGATCTAGATGCAGTAATTCTTTAAACATCAAAATTGCTTTATCTAACTCTCTACGGTTGTGGTACGCGATAGCCATTTGTGCCATAATGTACGTGCTTTTGTCGAAACCTTGCGAATGTAAATCATAATAAATATCTAAAGCCTCCTCGTTATTCAATTGCTCTAAATAAACGTGCGCCAGAAAAAAATGCTTCATCCAGTGATTTGGAAGACGTAACGACAACAAGGTGCTCTTATCTGGAACTAAAAGGGCCAATTCCTGCCACGCACCCCAATGCAGTGGTTCCTCGTTAATTGCATCCACAAATATGTCCATCGCCAAAGAGTTCAAGTCTAATTTCTTCAAAATTATACCGTACAAGTAAAGACAATAACCATCCAGCTTGTTCACGAACTGATCTTCTTTCAAAGACGTGCACAGCATTCGCAGTGCGTTATTTTTGGTAGGATCCGGAGGGCAATTAGTGTCGGTCATATTGTCTAACTTCTTTTTCTCGATCGAAAGGTACTGGGAATACAAGTGCAGAAATCGGGGCTTAGGTTCGACGCAAGTCTCTGTAAAAAAGGCGCATCTATCGTACTCCTTTAAGTCAAAGTATGATTTGGCTAGTAGATAAGATTCGCTTTCCAATTCGGTCACTACACTGCTGGTCTCTAAAGGCAGCTTGATGTGGGCAATGGAGAAGTTTATTTCGGACAGCCACTTTGCGCTGTGATATAGACCCCTCTGGGAACATTCACGAATGCCGGCAGTTAAATCCTTTTTTATTACGACTAAATCTAGTTTTATTTCACTTTCAGACATTGTACTTTTTCGTTTTGAGCTATTTTCTTGATTTTAAAAATTGCTAGGTTATGTTTGTTTGGTAAACTTTTCGTGGTTATGTTTATATTTTTAATTATGAACGTGTCTCTATATCCGTCTCTTAAATACAGGGTCCAATCTACAATCATTACAATGTTCACAAAACTTTCGCAGTAGCTTGAGTTATATTTTTTTTCACTTTCTTCTTAAAGAGAGCATAAATAAATGTAGAAAATTAAGAGTAATAATTTTGAGGGCGAAGAAATGAGCAATATAAGAAAATATGGACGAAATTTGTAAGACCAGAGAATGAAAATTTTAAAGAAATTATGACATTTACTTCGCAAACACATTGGGGGAGTTTTTCTAGACAATGATACATTTTTTTAAAAGAATTTTGAGAAAATACTAAAGAATCCTAAAGACAAATGGAGAAAACCATATTAAAATAAGTAGTTGGAGGTTAATTAGCTACCAAATTTGCATAGGTTTGGTTTTGTTGACACAAACCTTTTTATAATTAATAATGGTTTAAGTTTTAACCCTGTTTATGCGTGAATGCGATTTGCATCGTGCGAAACATAGGAACCGTGAATCGAAAGTATTAATAATGCTCATTTTTGGAACTTGATGAATTTGTTATCTCTTCCTTAGAGAAGGAAAGTGAGGAGTGATCACAATGATCGTAAAGTGAAGCCCACATTTGTTTGTTATTTCACCGAAAACTAACCTCAAATTTATACCTGTGAAACGATATACTTTCGTGTGTTTTTTGGCTATTACTTCCGTGCACTACAATGTACCATTGTCCAATAATGTTTTTAATCGCACATTTCGATACTTAAGGATCGCATAATCACGAAAATTAAAAATTAAACAAACTTTGGCTCCGAAAATATGGCCGCCCCAGGCTTCAACGCGCAGCATTGCCCTTGATAGGATATTATCAGTCCCCTTTCTTTCATAGTGTAACTTCCTTAGAACTGAAAACATTCGGTCTTCGGAATCGGAAACCGTTAAGGTACCTTTACACTATAATATATCTCACATGATTTTTTTATATGATATGTTATATGATATTTACTACCAACATATTTTTCGTATGAGTTTTAATGTTTTACTTTACACTTGACAGGTTTTTCATATGACTTTAATACAAGAAGTTACGAAACCTATATAACTCCTCTAAATTAAAATGTTCCAAGTTCCAAGATTGGGCTACTAGTTCAAAAGTTACAGCCCTTTGAATTTTCTTTCAAAATTGGTTTCTAGTCTATAACTTTTGATTGAGAAGTCTGATCGAAAAAGTACGAATTGTTTTGGATTCTAAGCACCAAAATTAATAAGAAAAAGTGTTTTCCCGAGAAATTTTGGTGCAGTCGATTTTTGGAAAAAAGGAAGGTTATACACTGCCTTTTTTTTGCCCCGAAAAAAAAATTGTTTCAGATGACCCGGAAAAAATTTTTCTAATAGAATGTGGCCTGTAGAATCCATAATTTCAAACAGTTCCAAGATTGGGCTACTAATTCAAAAGTTACACCTAGGGAATGCAATCCCGCAGCAAAATCTCAATCCCGGTATTTGCGGGATCGTTAGATGTTAATCCCGCGGGAACCCGGTATTTGCGGGATCCCGCAAAATTTTAAATAAATTGGCAAATAAGCAATTTTGTGCGGTTAACTTCTGTATTAAAATAAATCGCTAATTATCACAATAAGTATTCAACAAAAAAGTACCTTCAGGCTAACTTAGAACTCAAAAAAATCACATATAGGTGAACTTCTAAAGTGCCTCAAAAATCATAGTACATTTTTAACTAAAAAAGTTTAACAATTATTTTAAAAATAATTTCCCCGTTATGCGTTTCATTAACAAAGCAAACAGAGTCGTCTCCTTGGTCGACATTAAGGATGAGTGTACCCTTATTTGAAAGATTGCCCCAAACATTTGAAGGGTTCATTACCAATCAAGACACTATTTGACAATGTGTGTCTGCAAACACCACTAAAACCAGACAACCAAATACCAATATACTCGTAAATATTTATTGCTCGATTTATTGTTTATGTAATTTATTGTTTCATTAGTAACTAATATACCTATAATCATTGATTATACACACCTATAATCAATGATATAATCAAAAGTTTTCTGGTTTACTCAAGTATTCAGCTTTTTCAGATAAGTACAACAGCAAAATGCGAAAAGTAACCATAAAAGGGCGGGATCACTTGGATATTTAAAATAAGTCATGTCATTTGTCATGCAGAAATAGAAACATCCCTATTCCACGATTTACGTATTATTTCCATATTATTTCCTTATGATTTGTCTTATGTCAGCCAAAAATAGTATAGTGTTAAACACAAATCTAAATGCTTGTTACTGATCATATGACAAATCACATGAGAAGTATGATAGTGTAAAGGTACCTTAATAATAAAAGGTATAATTTTTGGATCTGAAATTTCCAAGAGTCTCTGTTGGAGACACATCCCTGTTCCCTGCCTCTATTGATTAGTTTGTTGGTGCAGTAGGCACAGAAGCTTGATTACCGGATGTGTAATGGCGATTTACAGTAATCATACAGCGACTGCGACATTTTAATTCTAACCTACTAGAAACGGCGGAAACGCGTGTTAAGAAATTACATAAAAAATTGTGTGAAGTTCTGTACCTCTGTTAATTAATCTCCAGAATGACGCTGTATTCTTGGGTGAGTCGCTTGCTTCCATAAATCAATCCATTTCATCACACAGTTTTATACAGGGTGCTAATAGTTCAGGCCAGCTTGGATTAGGTGTAAAGTCGGAACAAGAAATCGAACCGAAAGAAGTAAATCTATCTAATACTGATCTCAAGGCGCAAAATATTGTACAAATTACCGGTGGTTCTGGTCATACTTTAATATTAGATAATAACGGACATGTATATAGCTGCGGTTTAAATAGTAAAGGTCAACTGGGATGCTCGGAAGAAACTTTAAAGTTCGAGTTAATTGATATTTTGAAGGAATTTAAAATTGTACAAATATCATGCGGATGGGATTTCAGTGCAGCTGTTTCAGAATGCGGAAAGTTGTTTGTGTGGGGTAATAACGCTTACACACAGTTAGGCTTAGGTAAAAGTATCACGTGCACCGGTATACCGTCTCGTCTACAGGTCTCGCAGAAGCTGGCGACCGGCTTTCAAGAGATCAGCTGCGGGTTAAGACACATAGCTGTGATAACAAAAGAAAACGGTTTGTTAGTCGCGGGTACCGGTAGTAAAGGCCAGTTAGGGTTAGGAAATAATTATAACGACAACAACTATCTTAGTATATCCAAGGTTCCTGAGGTAGATGATGTTAAATCGATTGCGTGTGGTCAGCACCATACCTTAGCGTTAAAGACTGATGGTACAGTGTTAAGTTGGGGTGATAACAAATACGGACAAGTCGGGCTAAGTACGGATGTCCCCACCGCTTTGGTTCCGTCGTCGATACTTATCGATAGCTCCCTGAAAGAGGTGCATGCCGGTTGGACGCACAGCGCCGCCCTAACGAATGAGGGGGAAATTTACTTGTGGGGTCGAAATTCTTATGGTCAGTTGGGTATGGAAGGAGAGGACAGCCACAAACCGCAAAAATTAAAGCATTTGAAAAACGTGAATCTGCTCAGCTTAGGCTCAGAGCACAATCTTGCGCTTAACACTGATGGTCAGCTTTTCTGTTGGGGGTGGAATGAACACGGTAATTGTGGAACTGGTAATACTAAGAATGTGTTGAAACCCAAACAGATTTTTGTCCAACATAAAGTTAAGTATGCCGCAGCTTGTACTGGTCATTCATTCGCTGTTGTTGAATAATTTTGTTACCATTGTAAATATTGTCTATATAAAATAATTGCGATTAATAAGTATTTTTATATTGATATGTTAATTGCATGCGTGTATTCCGTATTTTTATAATATATTAAGTAAGACATGCTATTGATTTTTACAACCTTCACCCTTTGTTTGTATTGCATTTTGGTTGTCAAAAAATGCTAAGCTCTTTAAGAACACGAAATAACAGGTAAATATATTACAAAGAAAATTTGGTGCCCACCTGGAATTTTGTAGCGAATATGACACAAAATACGTGTTGGATCGGATTTTAGCCACAGAGCGTAACTTTGCCGAACTGTGTCACACGTTTGGACAGTATTCACGCAAAATTGCTCGAGTTCGTGACAAAGGTGATACTATTTCGGAAACATTATTGTCTATAGCCGAAAATGAAGATATTAGCAAGTCGTTATCTGAAGGCTTGACAAATTTGTCAATGACTTTTACTAACATCAGTGGCTATGGCAATGCACGTGCCCAAAATATTGACTTAAAAGTCATCCAGGAATTTTCTAAGTACGAGAATATCTGCAAGAACGCAAAGGAGGATGTCAAGCAGATCTTCAGCGCGCAAGAGAGGGAGATGGCAAAGCGGAAACAGTGCAAAAGAGTTCGAGAGAAGAAATCAAACCGTCAGACAATTGTATATATAATAGTAGTTGCAATCCGTAATCCCTTTGACCTTATCTTTACAGCACCAAGCCGAAAGTGAATTAATCAGAGCACAAAAGGAGGTAATGAAAACTGTGGACAGCGTAGAGGATAAAATTATCACCCTCGAAAAACAAAAGCTGCACGACCTCAAAGGGATCCTACTAGATTTGATCCTCACAGAAATTGGCTATCACTCCAAAGCCCTGCAACAACTCACAAAGGCTTACAACGACGTGAATGACATTGATGAAAATTCCGATTTGCAAGCTTTTGAAGAGCTCGTCGAAATCAAAGGAGCTGTAATATACGACTCCCTTACCCTACAGTTTTTTAACAACCGATTTTAGGAATTTAAAAAGGCGCTATCGCCATTTAAATCTTCACAGTCCTTAAGCACAACTGTGCCCAAGAAGAATCCGGGAATTCCTACCGACTTGCGAATTTCTCGAAGTGAGGAAACCTTGGAGATCTCGTCGGACAGCGAAGATTCTACACTAACGGAGAAATCGTCGCCGAAAATGATAAAAAAATACACCAAGAAGTGGCAATAGTTTAATTGTAATTGCGATACATTAAATTACTTTTCGCATTCTTCGACTCCGGCCTGAGTCATGATGTCGCCGATGTTTCTCTCTAAATCGTCGATACAGTTTCCCATCTGGTCAATTCCCGATACTATCTTATCAGACATGTTTTGCAGTTTTGTCTGAATGCTGTCGAGCAGATTTTGGGTCTAAGCAAACAAGCAGATAAATAAGATAGTAAAAGATGGTATCTTACGTATTGATATAGTTCTTTCACATTTTGGGGATCGGTTAAACTTGTAGGATACGTGTCGCTGTCATGGTTTGTATCGAGTTGATCTTCCATTATTTCAAGATTTTAAACGCCTGATAGCAAAGCTAGAACTGAAACGTTTGGTAGGAGAAAATGATCTTCAAGTGCGCAACGTAAAGGTTGTTTGGTCGAATGTTGGAGACGAACGATCGTGGTACAGAAAAACAAGGCCACATTTTACTGTTGATGGCCTAATGGCCTTATCAACGGTGAACGGTCAATATTTTGGTTGGCGCCAAATATTTAAAATGCAAGCACCATTGAACCAATCAGTGGCGTATCGCCTGGTTTTTCGATAACGTTAGCGGAATTCAGTCACATTTAATATTTGAATACCAATACTGGGAAAACAATTCTTTTATTGCATCGTTTGAATAAGCTTCCGTTAAACGGTTCTAACGATTCGTTCTTTCCTGAAAAACTTTCTCTGAACCCCATTTCTTTCCGACTATACCTAGCCTCTAAGTGTGCGTTTACAATGAACGTATACGTAAGAAATACATAAAACGTAAAAATTTCGTAAAGTTGAACTGTATAGAAACATACGAAGGTGTTTACAATGAACGTAATTTTTACGTACGTATATGTAAGCGATATGTAAGTCTTGCGCATAGTCGCAAAGGTTGAAAATGTTTCAAAGTTACGTACGGTCAAATATCATACTACTTGTAGTATGATCTTTGGTTTATTGTAAACAGCGAAGTAAATTTACGGAAACGATACGGATACGTACGAGTTAAGTAGCATTCACAACCTCAAAATTAATACCTACAATTAACAATCGAAAATTAACGTAAATGTTTAAAGCTACGTATTTTAAGGGTAACATTCACAATATAGAAAATTAATCGTCGAAATTAATACTTAACGCAGAAGTTTGCAAATTGCAAACATTTGTTGCTTAATTTTACGGAAATGAACAGAGGTACGCATGCATGCATGCGTTATGAAAACCGACATAACCCTGTTTTGTTTGTTTTGATTTTGTTTACATATACAATGAATGTGGCGAACAGAAAAAAGTATCTTGACACTTTAGGATAAGGCTAGTTATAGTTAAAAGACACTTATTAACACAAAACACTGCTTGCGCTACTAGGTTATGTTGAAACTTGTTGTATAAACAATTAACCAATTGCCTCGCCGGTACATAGGTGGCGACACTGCTTAAACACTAATTTCAGGTATTAATTTCAGGTATTGCGAATGATTGCTTTGCGTAAAGTTAACGAAATAATTTCACTTAATTATAAACATTAATTGGAGGTTGTGAATGCAGCTTTACGGTTTATGAAATATTTACGTATACGTTCATTGTAAACGCACACATAGTATAACCTTCTTTTTTTTTTTATCAAAAATCGACTACACCAAAATTTCTCGGGAAAACACTTTTTCGTATTAATTTTGGTGCGTAGAATCCAAAACGATTCGTACTTTTTCGATTAGACGCCTCAATCAAAAGTTATAGACTAGAAACCAATTTCGTAAGAAAATTCAAAGGGCTGTAACTTTTGAACTAGTAGCCCAATCTTGGAACTGTTTGAAATTATGGATTCTACAGGCCACATTCTATAAGAACATTTTTTTTCCGGCCGATCTGAGATAATTTTTTTTTCGGCCGAAAAAAAAGGCTTAGTGTGCGTTTACAATTAACGTATACGTAAATATTTCATAAACCGTAACTCGTACATATCCGTATCGGTTCCGTAAATTTACTTCGCTGTTTACAATAAACCAAAGACCATACTACAAGTAGTATGATATTTGACCGTACATAACTTTGAAACATTTTCAACCTTAGACTTACATATCGCTTACATATACGTACGTAAAAATTACGTTCATTGTAAACACCTTCGTATGTTTCTATACAGTTCAACTTTGCGAAATTTTTACGTTTTGTATTTCTTAACGTATAGGTTCATTGTAAACGCACACTAAGGACAGTGCGGATAACGCCAAACTAAAAAAGTTGACCTACCCTATACATTACAGATTTGTTGACATTTCTAGCTTTGTATTTACTAATTAAGGTTATGTAATACCTACCTACATAAGATCTTTTTATAACTTTTACTCTCTTCAGCATGTACAAGGCCAGACACCTGTTCCTACTTTACACTATCTCTATTGAAATAGAAGGGAATGTTTAATACTTATTAAACAATTAAACAACGTTACGTATGAGCAATGTTATCCCATCTACTGCTCTTAATTTTCAGTGTAACCGGTTCATCCGTGAATTTCAACAGAATTAATTTACCGAAAGAGCATTTGCCCTATTACCTTTATAACTTTCCGGAAATATTGACGCAATGTCAGTCGGACCCGGAATGCGCGTACTCGGATTCGGCAAAGGACGTATGTTGGGGGTACGAATACAACTGTACCTGGGATAAACAGTACTCCATTCCGCATTGTCCCGGCGATCATCGCGGGTGGGTTAAGACCAAATACGATCAGCAAAACACCTTTTATACGCAGGCAGATTTCGGATACGTCAAACAACAGATACGCGAGATGAAAGTGCTCTGCGAGCCGTTGTTTCGGTACGACAGCTCGCTGGAGTGCTCGGAGCACATGCGGTTCTGCAGAGGTCGTAATATTATGATGAATTTTACCTCTCTGTTGAATAGGGATGAGCCGTTGCGGTATAAGATGGACGTCTTGGGGGATGGAGATGTTGGTACGTTATAAAAGTACTGCCCAGTTTTCTGTAAAGGTAGAATTTTAGGGGGCCACTGCTCATTGCACAAAGATAAGCTGTTAGCTGAAGCTGACCATATTAGTCCGCTGCAAAGTTGGGGACCAGAATTGAGACACTTTAAGCAATTGGATGCACCAATACAGGACAGTGCTTGTGATGTTACCATTGAAAAACCTACATTTATTATGAAGATTGATGCAAGTATGTTGTATTTATCCTGTACGAAGGTGTAGAAGGGCAACATGTAGATTTTCTTTGGTATCTTACTCAGAATAGTCTATAATTTTGTTAAGTACATGTAATGCCACAACACAATTATCACTTTTGGCCAAATGGCATTGTAACATAGACACTGTCTGTCCCTTGCTTTCCTTGAGATAGATTTCAGTGATGCTGCAAGATCTAGATTCCTTTTAAAAGGAGAGAACCTAAAAGCTCATTTCTAGAAAGCTAGGAATTCGTTATTAAAGTCTGATTACAACAAATTGTCCCCTCTACGCCTTCGTAACTGAATGCAGCCGATTAAACCTGGAAATTTTCAGCAGTTAATATGTATCACCATTTCTGTGATTTTTTAAATCTATACGCTTCTATACATGTTAACCTGACCCATTGGGAGGCATTTTCGACTGATATTCACGTTCTTATATGGGAATCGTATACATACTACTCATCTTTTGAGCTTGCATGGCAAGCTTTCACCGATCACCCCCTGTGGGATTTAAAAACATTTCGTGGTAAAACCGTATGTTTCAAAAACGTCGTATTCCCATTGTTACCGAGAATGATCTTCGGGCTGTACTACAACACTCCGGTCATTTACGGTTGTGAAAACAGCGGTCTGTTTCATGCATTTTCTCGACATATGCTACATCGCTTGGGAATAGAATTCCACCCTCGACAGAACAAGAAAATTCGGATAACGCTTTTGTCTAGAGATACAAAATATCGAAACATACTAAATGAAGATGCACTTTTGGAGGCTCTGCAGGAGAATGAAGAGTACGAGGTCCGACGAGTAGTCTACAACAAGCACGTTGATTTTAAAACTCAAATAGGTATAACACATAATACCGACGTATTCATTGGAATGCACGGAGCGGGGCTTACACACTTGTTATTTTTACCTGATTGGGCTGTTGTGTTTGAACTGTAAGTTTTGCAGTCACTCCATGTTCAGTTAGCAATAACGATACAGTAAAAAAATATGCAGGGATTAATTAACCATAAGAATAAGATGGGAAATATCCAGCAATGAAAAATTGGTTTTTGTTAATAAGCCACATAACAAATACAGTATTTAGGGGTGTTTGGAAAATCAACCATTTCATCAATCACAGTCTAAACGCCCCTAACTAAAATCTGCGTATGCATATTTTTGTAGCCATCTCTATGATAATCTATTGCTGGCTGGTTATTGTCAATTGTGCACGATTAATTAAACCTTTTCTTTTAAACTCATCATTTTTTAGATATAATTGTGAAGACGAAAATTGTTACTTTGACCTTGCGAGATTACGAGGGGTAAAGTACATCACTTGGGAGGACAGCACTAAGCTCATCCAAGAAGATGAGGGCACTCATCCAAGCGGAGGAGCGCATGCAAAGTTCACAAATTATTCTTTCGATCTGACCGAATTTCTACGTCTGGTGACCGAAGCAGTTGATCACGTTAAAGAGCACAAGAAATTCCAGGACCTCATGAAAACTATTAACGTTCACAACGAACTGTAAATGTGATTTTAACAGTATTAGTGATATTATTTTTTTTACAATTTTATTTTAATACTTTTCGCAAATAAACCATAAGATACACCACAGTTAATTATCATATAAACAATAATAATACAAAGACTCCGTAAACCATCCGTTGATAAGGTGTCGAATAAAATATTCACAGCTCCTGTTAACAAGTTGGCCAGTAAAAAAAATGATAATCCATTGTAATTGACCGCTTCAAATACTAACGGACTGTTAGCACGTCCACAGACGAAATTCAGAATTATTTCTCCCAAATAGAAAATCGTAACCATTGAGATACCGATGAATAGTATCCATAGGCAATAGCCGGAATTAGCCAAACGTCTGGAGATGCCAAAATTCTTATTAAGAAGCACAGTGGCCCACAGCAAAAATGCACTGATTAGACACAATTTAAATATGTGCTTTCGTGATTTATTGTAAACATACAGATGGAGAAACTGGCCAAAGCTCACACTAAGAAAGTACAAACCCAAATAACCCAAGGACGATGAAATACCTTCTCTATTCGCATTAAAAAATGTACTTCGCGAAGCAGTACTTAGCACAAATTGCCCTACACCTAATTGTAAAATAATTTCGTGCACAAAAAGCAGACTGGCACCTAAAAACAGTGATCTACGGACACTTACAACACTTAAAATAATTGCGGAGCAAAGTTTCACTACGGCAAGTGTTATAAAAAAATTCCAGTGCACGCCATACTCCGACACGGGCACGTTGTAATCCAACCGCGTGGTTGCAAGAAAGCGCGCACTACCGAGCACAATTAACGGAATTGTACCTCTTACTGTCTTTGAGAGTGAATTCGATTTCCCCCGTATTTCCGGAGCGACAATTCCATTGGAGAACACGAACAAACCGACGCCAACATCCATTAAGCTATAACCGTACTCTTTAGTCTTCGCAAACCGACGGGGAAATATCGTGAAGTCCACCGCCAATATTGCAATTACAGACAAAATGTTTATAGCCGAACGAACTGCGGTGATATAATTTAAATGCCGAGCCGGTTTCGGGGGATTTCCGTCTTTCCAACGAAACATGCCCAGCAGAAGTATGCACAGAATAATCAATAACATAACGATTTCGGTGGCGTAATCCGCTAGAACTGTCATAATTAGAATTTCCGTAATGATTAATAAGTTGAATTCAAAAATTAAACGATGCAAGATACTTCGATTGGGGTATTTGACGTTTAGTAAGGATGTGATAAATGTAAGGAAGCCGTAGGGTACAATTACGCTATATGTTTCGTAAGCTGTTGTACCATTGGAATGCATTAGGTCTTCGGTTTTCATTTTCCTGTAATTGCGCAATTTTATTACATTTGGCTCTGCTACATACTCACGTTATTACAGATATAAATGTCCAAAATTTAATGAAAATTAAAATTTTGAGGTTAGGATTCAAATGAATGTGGCTATTGTATAGTTGGTGGAACTGGAAATACCAACACGCTGATTACGTCATCAAAAACTGTATACATGGTCAAGCGTAATATAATTGCTACACAGATCACAAGCTCTTACTGGGAATTGTAGGACGTAAAGCCCGCGATATATAGTCAAATTTCTACATAGAAAAAACATGTTATCTTTTGAATAAGTGTTACCAAGATTGTGATAGGCTATAAAAGACAAGGATATGATTTTTCCAACAGAAGAAAGAAAGGAATGATCGCCAAATCAGAATCACCATATACATTCAACCAAAAAGCTTTATTCAATTAAGTTTCAATCAAAAGAAAAAGCAAATTTTTGATTTATACTTATATAGGGGGTTTCCAAGAGTTTCGGCACAGGGATAAAGTGGATATAAGGATTAAATGTGTTCAAAAATAGGATCTACTTTATGCAATCCATATTCCATTAATACTCATTTATTTAGACCCATTTTATTAAACTGTTTACGTGGTTAACGCCATAAAAAAACCTGATCTAGTATTTGAAATGTTTTTTTTGTTGCACTACACGTGCACACATTACGAAAGAATCAGACCATTTGTTTCAAAACATGTATCTGCGCAAATCGCATGTACGAAACGAGGTCAAAAAACCTTGATTTTGATCCACTTTGATTACAAAAAGATCGTTGATGTTATAAAAGTATAAGATTGCGTGTTTTTGTACACTATCATCGTACGATTTTCGATATTGACGTTCATGATCTATGGGGTCATTTCCAGCTCCGTATCTAGCAAATATTTCAAAATGTTTATAACTACACAACCTTGAAAAATAGATATGTACATCTGGAAGGCACCTGCTGTTCCAATAGAAAATTAAAACAACGTAAATGTTAGTTTAGTTTGTAACGTATCAGATGAGCCTATTTCCATTGCTTTCAGAAATGCATAATGAGCACATTTGAAAATCGAACTTCAAAGTTGCTTCAATGAAGTTACAGAGTTACTGCTCTGTTGGTTGCCTATGCTACAGGCGTAGAGCAATTGATTCTTCTAGACGGGTGTCAATTGTCAAGGGCAATTTTTCTAGAGACGTCCCTGCTTAGTCATTCAATATTTTCGCAATCATGTAGTTGTTTATTGTTGGTAAATCGATTGTATGAATAATTACTGAAATCCCAGTACAAATTTGAGCAAAGATGCGACTCATACATACCTCCGTAATCGTCCTAAGCTTAATTTTTTCATCGGCCAGTGGCGGAGGTCTAAATCCTGTAGTTTTCATACCTGGAGACGGTGGCTCGCAGTTGGAAGCGAAACTAAACAAATCCGCAGTGGTGCACTACTTATGCCAGAAGACGACCTCTTCCTACTTCAACATTTGGCTCAATCTGGAACTGCTGACTCCGGTTATAATCGACTGCTGGATTGACAACGTTAAGCTTAAATATGACAACGTTACCCGCAAGACGTCGAATATGGACGGGGTCGATATCAGAGTGACCGGTTTCGGGAATACCGAATCCGTCGAGTACTTAGATCCTAGTCATGCTTCTAGCGGCTATTATTTTAAGGATATAGGAAACGCTCTAGTTAATTTAGGATACGTTCGAAATTTGAGTGTGCGGGGTGCTCCGTTTGACTTCCGAAAGGCCCCAAGTATGCTGCGCTTTGAATATTTCTTCACTTAACCTGTTACTTTTGCAGATGAGAATCAAGACTATTTTATTCAACTAAGAGAGTTGATTGAAGCTACTTACACAGCAAACAATAACACGCCCATTATACTTATAGCGCATTCGATGGGTGGCCCGATGTCTATTTATTTCCTAAGTATACAATCCAGTGCTTGGAAGGCGAAGTATATCAAATCACTAGTCAGTCTGTCGGGAGCATGGGGTGGAACGGTGAAAGCTGTAAAAGTTTACACCATCGGTTGGTAAATAATCTTCACTGATAGACCTATACACTAGTCACAAAACTGTAGGAAATTCAACTAGATATGAGTACTTTTTGTGCAGTTAGTCATAGTTTAGACTTTAGTTGATATAATTCCAATACTTAAATTGGTAGTAGTTCCAATTACTTTTTGGTAATTAACCGATTTCCAGTAGTTCAACTGTTTTGTAATGCAGTTGAACTACTGTTAGATTTTTGAGATCTTTTTGATTTTACTAAAAAGTCATATTAGATTGGGATAGCTCAGACAAGGTTTACCTTTTCTGGGGTGATAAACGTGTTTCAATGAAATCCGAATGTGGATCCATGCTTAATTTTGACCGGTTATGCGCCTTTTCCAACTCGAATCCTCATCTCCTAGTGCCTGAAGGTCAGATCCACGTTTGCCACAGTCTCCTCTTAACAAACATCTGTGGGTAAATACAAATAGGTGATTAATTATGAATTTCAGGTGACAATTTGGGATCTTACTTTCTACGTGAGAGCGTAATGCGACAGGAACAAATTACTTCACCCAGCCTCGCATGGCTGCTCCCTTCGCCGTACTTCTGGCACCAAGATGAGACACTCGTTCAGACCGAGCATAAAAATTACTCATTGAGGAATCTTCAGGAGTATTTCAAGTACGTCGAATCACCTAGAACCGAAAATTTGATTATTTTTTGCAGGGATATTCAATTTATGGACGGCTGGGAAATGAAGAAGGATACTGATCCGTTCCGTATAAACATTACGGCGCCCGGAGTGGAGGTGCACTGCTTGTACGGCATTAATGTTCCTACAGTTGAGAAGCTGTATTATAAACCGGGTGCCTGGTTGGACGGGTATCCGGTGCTGATAAACGGGGATGGTGACGGTACGGTTAATCGCCGTTCTCTAGAAGGCTGTATGCTTTGGCAGAGAATGCAAAAGCAACCCGTGCACGTGGTACCTATGCGCAATGTGGATCATATGCAAATTCTCAATTCAGGCAGTGTGATAAGCTACATTACAAATTTAATGAAATTAAGTTAATTTAATTTATGCCATTATTCTTCCCGTATATTTTAGAAAGATGTGATATTTTTATATTTTGTTAATATTTTACCTTGAATAGATTAAACAAAATCTATGTGGAGTAGTTATGATTTTATGTTTGTAGTGATATTTAGATTTACTCACACCATATCTTATAATAGTTTTTATTTGACAAAGCTGTTCTCTATGACTAATGTGGTTACAAGCTGCTTTCCACTATGTAAACTACCTTCTGTATTAATACTCCATTATGTTATAGAACTATTGTTCCTAAAAAGTCTAATAAATCGACCGTTAAATTTAGTTTTAATATTGAACTGAATTTTGCATATGCACTTGAATTTCTTGCGTGTAGGACCGTAAGTATAAAAAAAGTTTGCGACCTGTTTGCATTTTTTTTTCGCAGAAGATACCAATCACCTCGTCAAAGGAACTGCTACAATCAAAATCGTTGACATCAGTCGTCCTCCTCGTCCTTCAAAAAAACTAATGCAGGTGCGCCTCATAATTAAAATCATTAATGTGTGTTTAGATTTATACAAAATTTTATATATTTTAAATATTTATAATAAAGGTCCTCGTCGGCAGCGTATTTTTTTTCTTTATTAAGGTTCACATACATCGAAAAAATTAGATTACAAATAAAGCTATAGATATTTCACTCATTCCAATCACAATTAACCTGATAAGTAGTATATTCTGTTAAATTAATTTTTCGAGGATCCACATTCTAATTCCGGATAAAAATGAAGACCACTGGTCCATTTGAATTCTGCTAATCAACCGCGATCAATCCTAATTTTATAATCCTGTTCATTTTCACGTTTATCGATTTCGATGGATCGAAATTCTACTTTCTTGTTCTTCTTCTTCTTCTTCGTCACCATTGAGGGACGAGTATGATGATGCCGGTACATAAGGTGTTATCCAAGGATGTGACATTTCAGTAGACTCATCAGGAGCAGCAGAACCCTCGTAATATTGGCGCGTATAAGTGTGACGGACGATGCTAGTATTATTAATGCCTGCAATTAACGTAGTAGCGTTGAGTGAAGTCACTCAACGGTAGTAGGATAGCGGCTTTTTAACGTTCGAATTGAGGTTATGTTACATATTTCACTGTTGGTTAGTGCTTCATGTATTTCTGTTCTCCATATAATTTTCAGTTGTCTTGCTCGCCATAATTGCTTTAAGAAATACAGGATTCTCTTGGGCATGTAGATGTACCCGTATATATTTTCCGGTACAAACGAACGATATTTAAACTTATTCAATACCGCAGCTCCACTTAATGTTTGCAGAGATCGAGGCTGATAGCGATATATTATTTGGAGCTTCCTTCACCGGCAGGTACAAAGTTAAATTCCACCACGGTAGGCGGCAACTGAATTACTTCTTCTTGCACAATGGTGACTCTCTGCCGATGTCCATCAATTACAGGCACACTTTCTAACACAATGTCTTGTATTGCAAAGAGACTGTGAATTACGTAATCGAATACGATGTAAGAAACATTGGAACCAGCCGTGGCAGCGCACTCACATCGATGGACCCGCGCCGCTAATGATTTATTGTAATAGTAATGATTGTATTTCGTCAAAGCATATTCGAAAACCAATGTCATATTAGAATGTAATATTAGAATAATGCGTCTAAAAAATAAAGCATAAAGAAGATAAGCTCATTTCCTTTCTAGTTAGCAATATGAAAAATTATTTTTCGCATACGAGCGTCGTACGTATTATTTTAACGTCAACGTGCCGCGCAATTACAGTTTCCTATACGGTAGGCCATATGTCTCAGCAGATGGAGACACCGTTAAAATTAAAGCTCACGCATGTCTTACTCACACGTACGCATTATTTTAACACGCTTCCCCGCCAAATAGCCCCTATCGGCGACGCACCCCCGCGTTATACCCTTCTACAACTCGCCCCCGCCATTCTAACTATACTTGAACTGCTAAACGTTCATATCTCAAAGCCTCGCCTAGCTCAGATGGTTAAGGCGGCAGATTCGTAATTTGCGTATAGTTGACGCCAAATTAAATTGGGTATGACTCATCGCTATGTATTGCAATAATTAGCGTATGGAACGGTGCCTCTCACACAGATTGACGGTTGCTAGAGAAGGATAGAAATTCGTAACTTGAGTTTGCTGTACAATTCATACGGGCGGTCTAAAACGTATGTCGCGCATTCCTCAGCTTTTCTTCTGTCATTTCGTGTTTACCTGGTTAACATTTATTTTTACGTTTTTACTTCAATACATCAAGAAACAGTTTTTTTTTAAAAACTACTTTGCACTTGTGGAGAGTTTAATCGGTAAATTGTAACAACTTGCATATGAAATTGTGAAAACCATTGACGTAACTTTATAATTATCTTGTAGCATCTAAACTGGAACTGAACATCTGTTATAAGTATAACGAAATTGTTTTTGATTTCTTCTTGACATAATCTCATAAGCTGAAGCACGATAGGTGCAGATACAGATGTCTCGTTACCAAATCACCTTTGCCGAAAGAAGAGGACTGTATACGATATTGTGAAACCTTGCTCGTAGCTAATGTTCAACATTTTAGAATAACGCATTTGATTTGCCAGTTTTCTGCCTGAAATGCATGTTATAAATGAATGTAGAGGATCGGTGTGTTTACCTACATTAAGTATAGGTTCAAATAAGTAAGATAATTATAACAACCATTTCTTCTATTTTAATAATTCACTAAATATAACAGTTCCCTTTAACAGTTCCCTTTAAGTGCTTTTAGTTTTGAATCCGCATATCAATTTACGCAACCTCGAAGTTTGACAGATTAAAAGTTGAACTTGAAGTTGGCAAGTTACAGAGACATCTACCCGTGCGCATATTAACTAAACGTCGATTTAGATACGACTGACGTTGCTTGAATCTTAATCCGTACAATTTTAAGAATGAGTCATACCCAACTTAATTTGGCGTCAACTATATCGACGGTTCAAATCCTCGACGCAGCCTTTTTTTCAGACAAATATTTCACAAGCTATGACGCGTTTCCTGTTTCAGAAAATGCATGCTCTTATCAGCCGTTTCGTGACGAAACAAAATGGCCGACTCAAGCGATCCCATTCGTCAATCACGTACCACGTGACCAAAATACAGAGCTCTCATTGGCGTGACGTCACTTCCTGTTTCAGAACATACATTGCTTATCTACTATTGGTCGACACTGAAACGTATAACCACCACCGCACTTCACAAAATCACACACTTTTCCATGAAGAAACGATAAGCACAATGAAAAGAAAATTCTCGGAAAATGCTGTGTATACTATTTGTCAATCCTGAAATTGAAAATATTTAACGTCAACATATAAGAACAGTAGCATAGCGCACTAACACATATAAGCCTCCTGGCGTTTCAAGTGCTGGGCCAGCGAACCATATGAGAAATACCAGAAAAATAAATCGCATATTTCCCCGCATTTTCAAGTCAATTTCACAACCTCTCAGAGTCCAACCCAACTATAAGTGGACAGGGGTGGTCAGCGCCTGGGGGTCTCCCACTTCCCTGAGTGTGTCAATAAAATGTCCTCTATCACCTTTAACAATAAGTCATGGTCGAGTTCGATTTCTCGAAACTCTACTCCTGTATTGGGAGTGAACGTACGTAAAAATTGTGCTACTCATGTCAATATAGTTTCCTATATTACGTTTAATGAGCGATCGTCAAGAACCCTTTCGGATTTCTCTACTCCATGAAGCGTTCGAATGATACAGCATCCTTTGAACCAGATTTACTGGAATTGGGTAGCACGTATCAAACTTTATGGGTAAAACCATGGAGTCTAATAATTACCGGCCTAGGATACTTGGTTTCGCCACGAAATTGTGACTACTCGATCCCCACCACCACGACAAGGTGCATGATTGAACATATTAAGAACAGCATATAACGGCCAGAGCTTGAGGGCTTTGTACTTGTAAAAGGGCTTCAAGCCCTTTCAGAACTTTCAAGCCCTGAACTTTAAGCACTTTCTTGTGTTTGTAATTAGGACTTGGTAATTGAATTACTTTTCCAAAGTGCTTGGGGCTTTGAACTTCAAGGAAGTGCTTCAAGCCCTTTTTCCTCTACAAGCCCTCTTCAAAAGTGCTTGTAAAAGTGCTTTCAAGCTCTTTCAGGGCTTCCAAGCACTGTGCTTGTCTAAATTACAATTTTATTCAAGAACTTTAATCAAACATGAACAGCGTGTGGTACGAAAAATTACCTCTCAGCGTTTCTTTTTTAAGAACACGGTATAGCATTCAGATTCAGTATATGCTTTTTAGCGTTAATGAGAGTTATTTAATTAAAAGTTTTGCGTAATGTGTTTGTTTTAATTTTACAATTCAATTAAAATTTTTTTTTAAGTTTTTGGGTAGTCTACGCATATGAAAAACTATAGTGACTTTGCATATATCCTTAAGAACATGTGTACCAATTTTCAAAGCGATCGGACGTTTACAAACAAAGTTATCGTGCACACAGACAAACAGCAATGACAAAATTATAAACGATCTCAAAGATCGTTAATAAGGACTTCGAGCAAAAGTGCTTCAAGCCCTTTTCTTAAAAGTGCTTTGTGCTTGGAAAAGTGTTCAAGTCCTTTTAGGGCTTCAAGCCCTCAAATAGTGTACAAGCCTTGTCCTAAAGTGCTTTGTGCTTGAAGTTCAAAGCCCTTTTAGAAGTAATATGTAGTTTCAAGTCTTTCTGATGACCGATAGTAATTTGTGCTTGAGTATTGAAGCACATTGACTAAGGGCTTTGTGCTTAGAGCTTCAATAGCCCTTTCAGAAAGGGCTTTGCCCAGCTCTGATAACGGCACAACCCCGCAGGTTCGCAAGCGACAACATACCTATACGCCTCTTCCCCGGAGTAGGTCATCCATAAAGTGGACTACCCCGAATGGAGCGCCGTCCAGTGTGGGGTCTTCTTGACTTCACTTTGAGTCACTAATCCACAGCTACTGACAAGGCGAGAGCCGGTTCGAAAGAAAATGGTTTATTTAGCCCCGCTCCAGAAATGTTCTTGAAATTCCATTTATTCCAGGATATCTCCGCTATCCCACTAACGAGGTCGTGGGACTTTTTGAGCGTCATCCTGGAAGTAGATGTCCAAACGTATTTCAAAAGGTCCCGCTGAGTAGTCATAAATGTTCGGGTTTGAAGGAAAATTGGTGAAATTTTATTGTACTAATTGCGCATGCGCACACTTGATATTTAAAATATGCGATATGTTTGCCTTTACTAGAAGAATCTGTGGTTAACATTCCACATATAACAAAGTTAACATTTAATGTAGATTTTTTTGGTTCAGGTGCTACCGATGGCAAAAATAACAAGCTAAATAATCTGGAAAACTGTAGGAGTAGTTAAGGTCTCAGGCGGAGAAAATGGCCATAATAGCGCCTTCCAACATGATAGTTGCCCGCCTTTTCCCAGTAATTATATTTAAGTTGTAGGATGCAATAATAAGCTCAAAGTGAAGAAACATTGATAAACAAGAACTCACGTACTATACAAGGAAATCTGAATGGGGGTTTTTTGGGCAACCACCAGTTTTTCAGAATATTAAAATTTTCCTAAACAATTTCTCTGACAAATAAAGCATATATTTTTCTTCTTCAGTAGATAAATAAGTAATGATAAGGAGAATTCATTATCAGGGGGGATCAACAAGTACGCCAATTTTGCTCCAATTGGAACGAACCATCTGGCATGTACGTAGGGTTTCAGACAGACACAACTAAATCACTATAGGTGAACTGCTTTCATGCATTTGGTTTCTTATGTATGAACTTTGCAGACTCCCGGTTTTTGTTGCACCACTCCAGCCCCTCTGAAAAAAATTCCTACAATACTAATCCCAAAAGTTGATTAATGTTCAGTGGAATGGGTCATATTATAATCATTAACACAAACGACAATTGCAATTATAAAAATATCCCAAATACATGCATAGATTTTGGAAAAATTCAATTGCTACATGTAACAAAAGACATTTGATTTTATAATTTGGCACCATATACTTGATCAAATGCTAGATAACGATCTTGAAATTTGTCAAAACCCACTAAAATAATGTAAACAGCTATAGGTACTTCCATATTGTGCTTCAATAAACTTCTTATAAATAGTACAGCATTTACATAATCTAATCATTTTTTGATTTAGGTACTATCTCAAACAATATACAAAAATAAATAACTATATACAAGTCTTAACTCCTAATAAATGCTTCTAATTATAAATAAACAGCCAAAAAAAGATAAATAAATAAAACCCTCATTAAAAAATAGTGTAAAATCGCCTACGTATCATTGCTTTGGCATGATAGGAAATGGGTAATTGTCAAATGTTCCACGGCCCTTGTCTGAAAACGCAAACTTGTTAAAACTGCAATATACCGTTACACGCTTACTTGAATAGGCTAAATCCGGTTTCAGTGGCTCGTAGATAGGCATACAAACCGACCAACAGTGTAGCGGTGGCGAATAATAATCCATATTTGTTTCGATAGTGCAGTAACAACCAATTGGGTAAATAATGGCGCATTTTTACCCAAGTCGCTTTGTTCTTGTCAAGTCTTCTACGTATTCTCGCCTCATCTTTCCTTCTCTGCTCTAGTCTAAAGGAGAAAATGTGTTAGCAACACGAAGACTTTTATAAAATCTTCGTCTCACTGTTAAGACTAATTCAAAACTACAAGCCAAAGCGTAAGGTTAAATAAAAAAGAAATGTGCAAAGAAAAATAATTTATTTACAAACACAAAACGATAAGCGATATCTACAACGGCAGTACAATCAGAATTGCTTTTGCTTTGCGTTATTAAGAAAGCGCCTAGTAAAGAAACGAAAGCAAATGAATAAGCTAAACAGGTCTTTGAGTATTTTAAAAAGCGCCAGTACTTTTCGAAAGATATTAAAAAAATCAAATACGTACTCTTTCTGCACACGATTTTTGACATCCTTTTCCAACTTGGAAGGCGGATACTTCTTGTACAAATCAGAAGCGCGCTCGAGTATGGACTCGAAATCTAAGTTGTCTGGTATCTGTGACAGCAAGCAGTGAATGCTCGCCATATCGCATCCGACATCGAAAACCTCCTGTCGTCTATCAATAACTAAAGATGCTGTTACATATAGGGGCATTAGAGGTGGGGAAGCTAGGAAATAATCGTATAACCTCACGACGTCCCTATATTGATTTAAACTGTGGCCGAACCATGTTAAATACCATGGTAGTGCGAACATTGTGCCGACCATTGCTCTAAAATCATTAGTTAAAATTACTTTGAATGTTGAGTGAAGGACTTGGGAAGAAGCGCAATTGCTGTACTATCTTTTCAGTCATTTGTAACTTACTACTTTGATTAAGGGTATCTTTATCTAATTTAATGAATGATTTTTTTGTTGACACTTCATTTACCGTAGTATAGATAAGGTACGATTAAATTGTAGTAATTTGCCTTCAAGTTCTGTCCAAGTTATCCAATGTTACTCTTGTCATAGAAAGACATGTAGGAGTAATAAGGTAAAACCAGCAATTAGAACAAGAATAGAATCAGATCACCAACAGTTGGAAATGAGTTCAAAACGGAAGACAAGAAGGTCAAGAAAGGGAAAGATGAAGAGAGATACAGTTATGGACAAGAAATAGAATAAGAATATAAGAGGTTTTGGCCCTAAAGAGAATAACTGGCGCATTTTCAGTAGAAGTACTACAACCTACAAAACTTTAGAATCATTTTGAACCAAGTTTGAATTTTTTATTAAAAAACAAAGCAATGCAAGAGGGTATCCTACCCAAAATGCAGTACTGTCTGTATGGTTGCCTACATACATATTCTCTTCATTGATCCTGTATAGTAGGGTAAGTGGATCAGGAAACAGTGAGAAAATGCTACGGCTACAATTTTTACAATACAACTACGCCCCTTCCAAAGCATTCACTTAAGTGTTTTCAAGCACACTTTACCTATCCATAAATTCGTACAAATCCAGATCTTCCCTCTGCAGAATAGGGTAAATATAAGTTAAAGTGTAGGAGGTCTTTTCCATTGTCGGTTCCATACACTCGCGTAAATGATCAGTACTTAATCTTTCCATGATTCTAAATGCAACAGTTTCTCCGACTACCAAAAGGAATGTAATTGCGACATCGTGGTAACCCTTTAAAATGAACTATACAAACGGTTCTTCAGATCAACAGAACATACCTGATAATAGCGTAAATGGGGATACTTCATTATGACTCGCAGTATTAAAACTGTTAGTTGGTCTTGCAAAGCAAGTCTCTGCCTGTACGGAATGCCTAAAATTGAAAAATTGGAATAAAGGTGAGGTAAAGAGGTGGCTAACCTGGGGGAAATCGTTTGAGTGAGCGATTTACATCTAAAACAACTTGACTGTATTCACTATGTTGCGACAACTCCGATAATAAAGGTGCCTTCTCTGAGGGATCAGGGTCAACATTTAAAAGTAAAGGCCACACTTGTCGTCTTAAATCATCTACAAATGGACTTAAGTGCAAAAATTACCATAGTACCCGATTTACCATTAACAAGCCCGTATCTGCTGAGCGCTAGCCGTCTCCATGTTTCCAGGACGGAATCACCACTTTTCAACACCTCCTCAATTTGTAAACGTTTACTTTTCTCCTCGGCACTCTCCAATACTAATAAACTTTAGTTAATTTCAAGTGCAAAAACATCCATGGTTTGTTCGTTGGTTTCCTGCGCAACGACTTAACAGCCGGTACTTTGCAATCAACGAAAAACCACCTATCGACTATTACCTGCATCAAATTTGAGTTCCGATCTTGTATCCTCATTCTCTTCGGAACTTATGAATTCGGACGAATTTGTGTCTAATTTGTTGGAGTCATCGTTTAGCATGGAGGATGATTCATCATCTCCGTTTATTATTTCCGAATGGGACTCCATATTGTTTAGACAATTATTATATTATTAAAAAACACATCAGTACATTTTTAACACAAAATAAATAACCAAATCAAATGTCAAACAGCTGTCAGCTGTAGCAGGAGAGCCATTTTTAAATAAAAAATCCCTGTTACCACTCGCTTCATTGCTCGCTAGTAATTATCTACAGGGTGCTTTATTCAGATTACCAAATCTGTTGCCCTTGTGTATGTATCTACATTGTATATACATATACAATGGTCTAACTCGTGAATTAAATAAAAATGAAAGAATTTTATCGAATTTAACAGTTGTATTGTAAAAATTATGAAAAAGCACCAATCTAAAGTATAGAGAAAAATTATATGCAATTTTGAGTCATTTAGCAAAACTGTGGAGGGCAAAATACAAAAAAAAAATGTTTCAAAAACTATGAAGCCTAGTAGGCACATAGCTCTAATAGGGATAAATATGTTGTTTTTCCTAATATCCACTTAATCATTGGCTTTTACACAGCTTTACACCCAAAGAGCTTCAAGAATTACCGAAGAGTTCTGGCAAGACTTAAATACCACAGGAAAGGATCTGAAAAGCCTTCAACCCTGTGAAAGTCCTTCGATAGCTTTTAAAAGGCTTTGTTAAACTATCCAGCTTAGTCCTAATTCTACGCATTTACTGCAAAAGTTCAGTTATCAATACCAGTACCACTATTTTTAATAGCACATGGTTACTCCATTCTATTTAAGATAGAAAAATGCCACTTCCACTGGTTAATACAATTTCAAATGAATTTATTAAAATTAGGACTCAACGGGTGCTTATCATGAACATATAATAAAAAATATGACCTTGGGAAACCAAAACAGTCCTTTACTGTGTATAAAATCTACTAATACAGAAATGAACATGGTTTTTCAAATTCCCTTCTATGACAAAGGCTATGGAAATGCAATATCAGAACTTGAAAGCGGTATAGCCTAACCCAGCCAAAGATTCGCAGTCGCTTTCATCAAACGCATAAGGCTCCCACGATGATAGAGGCACCATATATTCCTGCGTGCAACTCTCGTTTGCATTTCCACAACCACGACGAACTAATGTGACCAAGTTTATAAGCGATGGGCTGCGGGCAAAATGAGTCCCATCGCCGGGTATCGCCTGGTCCTTTAAATTCCACTTATTTTCCAAAGTTCTGTTACGGAGACCTCTTTTTTTAATGCGTATAATTGTCACTTCCGAATCTGACGGTTCCAAATCCGCTTCATTCGACCAGTTTGTAGTGTCGTGGAGTAGGCAATAAGACGATTTTTTGGAGATTGAAGCTACAGGTGCTGATAAAGGTCGGCGTTTTGGTGGGTTTTCATATGTGTCAAAATTAGAGAGTTTCTTTCTTGCATCGATCACGTCCTCGATGTGCTTGTGATGGCAACGTTTATTTTGGGAATCTATCATTGTTACAAAAAGATTTGGTCTATTTTGTGTCTAAATATTTTTGAAGTTTTAATAAGTTATTGCTATGGTTACTAAATCTCTATGGCATAGTTCAATTGGTTTGTAGAAATTCCCATGGAAACAATCTTAGAACGTGTTCATTACAGAACCCAGTAATTGCAATAAACCGTACCACTCAACCCAGATGGGCGTCACCTGGTTAATGTAACTCTAAACCGGCCAGTATTGTATCAAAAAACCTATGAAGTACTTTCTTTATTTTCATCATAAATCTCTCTGATTTTATGTAACAATTCCTTAATATTAATCCCTAATTTAGCACTAATTGCTATAATTGGCAATTCAGTTTTACTTCTAAAGGTAGCTAAATTTTCTTCCGCCTCCGGTAAATCCATTTTATTCGCGATGATTAATTGGGGCCTTTTCAAAAGATTTTTGTTGAACTGTCCCATTTCGTATTGCAAGGTGCTAAAATGTTCCCAAGGTGAATCGAGGGATATATCTAAAATGTACAGCAGTCCCATGCAGCGTTCCGCGTGCTGCAAAAATTGTATTCCCAAACCACGATTTTTATGCGAATCCGGGATGAGTCCGGGTAAATCGGCGACAGCCACTTGCTCGTAATCGTCGTACTGCACCATACCAACGTAGGGCTTCAAAGTGGTGAAGGGATACGGCGCCACTTTTGGGCGCGCTCGTGAAATTGCGCGCAATAGTGTACTCTTTCCAGCATTAGGAAACCCAATCTTTAACAGTAAAATAAGTAAGGGTCTCCTCCTGACCATGGAACACAGTTTTAATGTTTATTTAAATGATACTTGAACTGTGCTACATCATTTTTTCTGAATAAATAATAAAACTGTGTCAGTATTTCTAACTCACCAGCCCTAAATGTGCCATGCTACGGACTTCTAAAGTGTATTGCAAATCCTCGCCCTCTGCACCATACTCCGAGATTTTAGGCGCCTGTTCCGTGTCGGAAATAAAAAAATGATTACCCTTGCCTCCTGATCCACCTCTGGCAGCAATAAACATCAATCCCTCCACCCCTAAATCGCCAACTACCTTTCCATTAGAATTCTTTATGACTGTCCCAATCGGCACTTCGATAATGTTGTGATCGGCACTCTTCCCATGACAATCCTTATTGAAGCCCTTTTCACCTTTATCCGCTTGTAAAACGCTAGTAACCATAGACAGATCTTTCGCATTGTTAGACGCTTTAAATATCACGTGACCTCCGTTGCCACCATCACCGCCATCGGGTCCTGCGTTTTCGTTCGACCACAGGTGCAAAAACGAAATGCAACCGTCGCCGCCCTTACCGCCAACCACACGTACCCTTTTTAAGTCGGCAAAGGATTGAACCTAGACAACAACATTCAAAATGTTATTTACACATTTTCATTTACCGAGGTTTTGTCCGATTTCGATTTTGTACTTCGCAGGGGTTGAGGTATTCGTTCGGCATACTGTTTTATTGCTGTAGTTGATAATTTACGAGTAAATTGTACGATAAATCTCATAACCTCAATTTTCATTGTCAAATAATAAGGTTAGGAAAACAGATGAATGTGCGCAGACGCAGGTTTAAATTTTAAACAAATACAGCGTGTTTCAGAAGTAATTGCAAGTGGTTTTATTATATTTATTTTTGCACGACCAGTCAGCACCAACACAGCAATTTCAAGGCATTCTACCACTAAAAACCTATAGGTATGAGTTAATTGTAAAAGGATTAAAGTGTTATTGGAATTAAACCTAAAAGTAAATTGACGTTTGTATGCCCCAATATAACGGGAACTGGGGAACATGCTGCGCCATATCAAGTACAATTAAAGGATCACTGTATGTTTATTCTAGTCGCGGTTATCCCGAATACAGCCCCCCCAGCGAAATCCGAAATGCGTACATAGATTGCAATCAATGAATAAAGATTCTTTATTCATTGATTGCAATGATTGTCGGGTGTATTTCTATGAGCATGTTCTGACCGTCCAATCAGTGGCGTACGTAGAAATGTATTCTGGGGGGGATTAAACAAGTTTGTGGCACATACAGTCACCCAGTGCGTACTAGAAGGGGGAGGGGGCAAGAAATAGAAATTGGGTTGCAGATAGTCAATTATCTATTTATTATTGCACAGGCGAAAAAGATTAGATTAGAACGGTATTTTATTTCTTAAGCTCGCTTGACATGGAGCAATAAAATTGCAATTGCATGCAAGTTGCAAGAAAAATTGCGAAAGGCATGCGCAGTTCAAAGCCAGCTGATCAATTCTAGGGATAAATCTAGTTGGTTTTGTGTCACCAACCTAGTAAAATACAGCGGCGGCAACTATGATGCTTAGAGACGCACTCATTACTTGTTTTTATTAATCTTATTTATTCTTGTAATTTGCATGTTTCTTCAAGCAATCAAAATTTCATTTTTATTTGAGGTTAGCAACTTTGTTGACAAATTCATATTTTTCTTCTGTTGGCAGACATGTGGCAATTGAAATACATTTGCACCATGTCAAATGCCATGCAATGCTTATTGCATGCAAGGATTTGACCTTGCAATTTCTTTCTGCAAGTTCTTGCGCGTTGTATTGCTCCATGTCAAGCGGCCTTTACTGCTGACAGGCCCCTTTATTGCTTTTGCTTTAATTAGTCAACGAAAACTTTGAATAATAGGTATATTTATGGGCAAAAAACCAATTTCGACAAAAAATTCAAAGGGCTGTAACTTTTGATCTAGTAGTCCGATCTTGGAACTGTTTGGAATTATGGATTCTACAGGCCACATTCTATAAGAAAATATTTTTTTCCGGTCGATCTGAGACAATTTTTTTTCTGGGAAAAAAAAGGCAGTTACCTTCCTTTTTTTACCAAAAATCGACTGCACCAAAATTTCTCGGGAAAAAACTTTTTCTTATTAATTTGGTGCGTAGAATCCAAAACGATTCGTACTTTTTCGATTAGACGTCTCAATCAAAAGTTATGGGCAAAAAAAAATTCAAAGGGCTGTAACTTTTGATCTAGTAGTCCGATCTTGGAACTGTTTGAAATTATGGATTCTACAGGCCACATTCTATAATATTTTTTTCCGGTCGATCTGAGACAATTTTTTTTCTGGGCAAAAAAAAGGCAGTTATTACCTTCCTTTTTTACCAAAAATCGACTGCACCAAAATTTCTCGGGAAAAAACTTTTTCTTATTAATTTGGGTGCGTAGAATCCAAAACGATTCGTACTTTTTCGATTAGACGTCTCAATCAAAAGTTATGGGCAAAAAAATTCCTGTTTTTAAAATTTAAAATTCTTATTTTCGTCATTTAGTGAAACGCAGGACGCAGGTACCTCACCTCAGTAGCAGCACTGAGTACCTGATACCTATTTGTTATTTTGGGCATCAATGTAGCGAATTGCCGATCGATGCCGAATAGCCAAATCGTTAACTGCCAACACTGATCACTCACTGAATAGTGAATACTGAATACTACAGAATATTTAGATTTTAGTGACTTTAGACTTTAACCAAAACCAAAATTGCTCTCTATATAGGTATCTATATATTATTGCCTTTATTTTAAAGTGGGCGGAGCGGATAGCGGAGTATTACCTAAATACCTAATAGCTATGATGATAACTCAATTCGTCTGGGGGGGGATATTCCCTTCATCCCCCCCCCCCCCCCGTAAATACGCCACTATTCCAATGTGAATATTCCTATTGAAATAGCAGTTACAATATTTTGAGCGTGACCTGTGCTATAGTGTGAATTGTCCTTTAGTCTACAAAAAATCAAAATATGCAATTTTTGTCACAATATACTGCTTCAAATTAGGCCAAAAACTCGCCCAAATAAAAATAAAAGCAAAAATACAATAAAAAACAAATAGAATATTAATTTTGGTGTCCAATCTGTGTTGATCTCGAAATGGGGTTGTGTGATAATTATTAGGAAGTGAACACAAAACCTTCCCCATTGGTATGGGGAAGGTTTGTGTTCACTTCCTAATAATTAAATAGAATATTGTACTTATTTTTAATCATTTTTTTGTTTGATGTAATTTCAAGTTTTTTGTATTTAAACCTGTAAAAACGGAGCGTTAGTAAGAAGTGTATTCAAAAATTTAATAAGAGAAGTCCTTGAAAGTGATAAAAATGGTCCTAATTATTGTTAATAAATTCGATTTATTGTATATTCAACGTTACAATAGTTACGGTATTATAGAACATTTCACCTACCCAAAAGGTAAGTTAAAATGAGATAGAAGAAATTATGTAAATATAGTGTCGGCAAATGCCTTTGCCATTTCTACAGCTTGCCAGCGACATTTAACGTTATGACCAGAAGCTTGTGCAGATTCAGCCTTTCCGCCTCCTTTACCCATCATAATCGCGGCTATCGGAATGACCCATTCATTTGCTTTTAATCCTCTCTGAAGACCTTCTTTCGAGACTGAACATAAACAGAAAATCTTCTTTGCTTCAGGATCTACAGTAAAAAACATGGCGGATGTGGTCGGACTTAAGAGTTTCACTTGCTTTAAGGCGGAGTCTAACGCTTTCGTATTCGAGAACGCTTGAAATTCGTGCACTAAGAATGGAACGTTAAGATTGGCTTCTATGACTGCTTTGGCCTCCTCCACGACGCGATTGGCGATGGCCGCGTTGTGCGCGCGCTCTTTGTCATCCAACAGTTTTTTTAAGGCCTTCAAGGTGTTGCGCAGTTCATCTTTTTTCCAGTAAGGTATGGTGGCGTGAGAAATTTCTTCGGTGAGCTCGACAATTTTGCGGACATGCTCTTTGGAACGATCGCTCGATTTGTCCTCCTCGACGGTTGCCTTGATCGTGTTAAGCCGGTTTTCGAGCATTTCGGTTCGGTTAAGCGCACGAGTCGCCTCGGGTCCCGTGAGTGCGACTATCCGACGAATTCCCTTGGCAATCGCCTCCTCACTCGCAATTACAAAGTCGCCAATATGACCTGCGTAGTGCAAATGCGTTCCTCCGCAGAATTCGACCGAAGTGTCCATACCGGCCGGGCCGAAAGGGTCTGCTTCTAGAGTCTCGACGGGAACGCCAATTGACACCACACGAACTGGGTCTGGATAGGTTTCGTCGAACACGGCTCTTAAGCCATTGACTGACTTGGCAGTGCCTAGAGGGGTTTCCTTGGCGTATACTTTTCCATTTTTCGCTATTAGTTCTTTCGAATAGATTTCAGTGTCCTTTACTTGAGCCGTTGTCATGGCACCTTTATTGCTGAAATCAAATCGCAGACGGTCCGGGGCAACGAGAGAACCCTTCTGCTCGGCTTCATGACCCACAACTTTCCTCAGTGCGTAATTGAGGACGTGAGTGCCTGTGTGATTATTCATAATCAGACGGCGACGAGATTTATCGAGGTGTAACAGCATTGTGTCCCCCTTTTTAAGTACCCCTTCAACAGTGCCGATGTGAATAACGTACCCGCCCCTTACTTGGACATTTTTAATTGCAAATTCCACTTCTTCGTCCCCAACTTTAACCATGAAACCCTCGTCGTATATTTGGCCACCTTGTTCGGCATAGAAACAGGTTTTGTCCAATAAAACCGCACATTCTTGCCCAGATGTGACTTCATTTACGAACTGCTTGTTAAATCTTAACGCTATAATTTTACCTTGGCAGGCCTCAAAGCTGTATTCGCAATTTAAATCGTCACTCGCAGTGTAACCATACTTAAAGGAGTCGTCAGTCGGTGGTATGCCTTGGTTTTGCAACTCCATTATGGCATGGACGTCCAAATTGATGGTATCCTCTACACCCGCCCCCCGCCCTTGGGATATCAGCTGAGCCTGCTTCTTTGCTTCCTCGTAACTAGCCATATCAATTGTAAGCTGACGTTCCTCTGCCATTAACTGGGTTAGATCAACAGGAAAACCATACGTATCATATAATCGCCACGCCAAATCACCGGGTAACATCTTACAGTCACCCAATTTGTTTATGGTACGATTTAACAAATTGCGCCCCCTACTGAGAGTTTTAAGAAACTGCTCCTCCTCCTCATTAATCATATCGATAACACTCTGTGGATCTTTCCTCACCTCCGGAAAAACGTCACCCAAAATCGCAACAACCGTATGCACCAGACTACCGAAAAATCCCGGTTTCGCATTCAGCTTTTCGGTAGCATACCGAACGGCTCTGCGTAAAATTCGCCGCAACACATACCCACGACCGGTATTATCGGGATTACCTCCATCCGACAGCGCAATGGTAATAGTTCTAGCGTGATCTGCCAAGACACGGTAGGCCATATCAATACCTTCGGCGTCGTCTTTACCGACACGGCCCTGGTAAGGAGGTGCGCCCGTGCCCTTCTGAATTGCGTCGAATATGGGCACGAAAATGTCGGTGTCGTAATTCGAACGTTTTCCTTGAATAACCGAGACCAACCTCTCGAAACCTAAGCCACAGTCGATATGCTTCTTAGGCAAGCTCTTCAGGGTACCGTCCGATTCGCGGTTATACTGAATGAAGACCAGATTCCAGATTTCGAGCACATCAGGGTCATCTTGATTCACGAGTTCCGGTACAGATCTGTTTCCAATACGGTCAAAGTGGAGTTCGGAACATGGACCACAGGGACCAGTCTCGCCCATCTCCCAAAAGTTATCCTTCATACTGCCCGGAAGAACATGCGAAGGCTTTACACCCAGTTTTAACCATATCTTCCGACACTCTTCGTCCGGTTCCAAGCCCTGTGACCGATCGCCACCAAAGTAGGTGACATACAAACGGTCAGATGGTAATTTTAAAACTTTAGTCAGTAACTCCCAAGCCCAGGAGCAGATTTCCGTCTTGAAATAATCACCAAACGACCAATTTCCCAACATTTCAAAGAAAGTGTGATGATATACGTCTTTACCGACATCATCCAGATCATTATGCTTACCACCCGCACGGATGCACTTCTGCGTATTAACGGCGCGTGTCAACCTGGACAGATCACTATTCGGGTCTACCGTACCCAAAAAGATTGGCTTGAATTGATTCATCCCGGCGTTCGCAAACAATAACGTCGGATCGTCCAAAGGTATCGTCGACGATGAATGGACATAGTTGTGGTCTTTTGATTTAAAGAAGTCGATGAAAATGTTGCGAATCTCGTTCGCCTTTAAATTGGAATTCATTGTGTACTCTGCAAGAAAATGTGTTGGCATATGGGATGTACAAACCTAACCTATAAAAAGTAAAAAACTTACATGGATAAGTCAAAACGGCCGCTTAATTACGTGTAATTAGCTTCAGTTAAAATCTTGAATCAAATTGCATCAGATTTTAATTAAAAACAAAAAGTGCTTTTACAGGATGATGCAATTCAAACTGCTACCGGTCAGGTCAACCGGTGAACACAGGGGCGGAGAGAGGGTTTGGTAAATTGGAGCAAAACGTGACCTCCGGCAGAGCTGGGTAAAATACTTTCAAAAGTATTCGAATACTTGTCACTCAAATACATTAAAAATTTAAAATAGTATACTAGATAAAAGTCTTAATACTACTTAAAAAATCGAGTTACCTATACTTTGTATGGGGTTAGCTTTTTTATATTTCTATTGTTATATACAAATTTAAGGGGAGCGTATTATTATTATATTATTATATAGGAGGTACCTACCAGGACCTTTCTTATACCAGTTATATCCTTAAGAATACGTGTACCAGTTTTCAAAGCGATCGTACGTCGTGCACATGATACGTACGCCTTTCTGAAATTAATCCTATTATAGCAATTTTGGAACAGATCCATTTTTGACCATCCATTTGTCCGTGTGCATGATAACTTGTTTAGAAACGTGCGATCGCTTTGAAAATTGGTACACATCATGGTCTTAAGGATATAAGAAAGCTCCCTATTGTTTTTAAGTTACGTAGACTATCGAGTTCGGTATTCAGATGTATCGGATTTTTATATTACTAGATCAAAAGTTACAGCCCTTTGAATTCTTTTACGAAATTTGTTTTTTGTCCATAACTTTTTATTGAGAGGTCTAATCGAAAATGTACCAATTGTGTTTGATTCTACGCACCAAAATTAATAAGAAAAAGTGTTTTCCCGATTTTTTGGTGCAGTCGATTTTTGGTAAAAAAGGAAGGTTATACACTGCCTTTTTTGAGGCCCGCAAAAAAATTGTCTCATATCGACCCGGAAAAAAATTTTCTTATAGAATGTGGCCTGTAGAATCCATAATTTCAAACAGTTCCAAGATTGGGCTACTAGTTCAAAAGTTACAGCCCATTGAATTTTTTTTCGAAATTTGTTTTTTATCCATAACTTTTTATTGAGAGGTCTAATCGAAAACGTACGAATTTTTTTAGATTGTACGCCCCAAAATTAATAAGAAAAAGTGTTTTCCCGAGAAATTTTGGTGTAGTCGATTTTTGGTAAAAAAAAAGGAAGGTTATACACTGCCTTTTTTGAGGCCCGCAAAAAAAATTGTCTCAGGTCGACCCGGAAAAAAATTTTCTTATAGAATGTGGCCTGTAGAATCCATAATTTCAAACAGTTCCAAGATTGGGCTACTAGTTCAAAAGTTACAGCCCTTTGAATTTTTTTTTCGAAATTGGTTTCTAGTCTATAACTTTTGATTGAGAAGTCTAATCGAAAAAGTACGAATTGTTTTGGATTCTACGCACCAAAATTAATAAGGAAAAGTGTTTTCCCGAGAAATTTTGGTGTAGTCGATTTTTGGTAAAAAAGGAAGGTTATACACTGCCTTTTTTTTAGCCCCGAAAAAAAAATTGTCTCAGATCGACCCGGAAAAAAATTTTCTTATAGAATGTGGCCTGTAGAATCCATAAATTCAAACAGTTCCAAGATTGGGCTACTAGTTCAAAAGTTACAGCCCTTTGAATTTTTTTTCGAAATTTGTTTTTTGTCCATAACTTTTGATTGAGAGGTTTAATCGAAAACGTACGAATTGTTTTGGATTCAACGCACCAAAATTAATAAGAAAAAGTGTTTTCCCGAGAAATTTTGGTGCAGTCGATTTTTGGTAAAAAAGGAAGGTAAAACACTGCCTTTTTTTGAGCCCCGAAGAAAAAATTGTCTCAGATCGACCCGGAAAAAAAAATTTTCTTATAGAATGTGGCCTGTAGAATCCATAATTTCAAACAGTTCCAAGATTGGGCTACTAGTTCAAAAGTTACAGCTCTTTGAATTTTTTTTCGAAATTGGTTTCTAGTCTATAACTTTTGATTGAGAGGTCTAATCGAAAAAGTACGATTTGTTTTGGATTCTACGCACCAAAATTAATAAGAAAAAGTGTTTTCCCGAGAAATTTTGGTGCAGTCGATTTTTGGTAAAAAAGGAAGGGTTATACACTGCCTTTTTTTGAGGCCCGCAAAAAAAATTGTCTCAGATCGACCCGGAAAATGAATATGTTAAATACAGCCTAAGGATAATAGGATAAGCCGCAAAATTGCCGATATACCGGTTAAACAATGACTGAGAATTAAGGTACTAAAAAACAGCACACAAGTGCTTTAAATAAATGTACTGTACGTTATTATAGTTTGTCTTTGTAGTTATTGCATTTAATTATTTATGATGATTTTTATTACATTAATAAAGAAACTAGAAAACCTATTTCCGTATTTGCGAAATAAGTTTCAAAACATGTTTTTGGTATTTTTTGTTTCTTTACACCTAAAACGTTTTACTGTATGCACCACAGATAATTGAGCGAGTGTAGTGTAGACCTATATTCAATAAAATACGCATTGTTGATAAACATCTAACTATTGCAAAAAACTTTATTATATAGCTTAACCACGAGTTGGTATTAAGTATCTATGCAAATACTGAATTCTTTAAAAAATCCATAATCCAAATGAAATACTTTTTAAGCAACATAAGCGAATACTAAACCCAATACTTTTTAAAAAGAATATAAATACCTACTTTGGAAATAATGATTCGTTCGCATTTTTGTTTCATTTTACTTAAACTTTCATAATTAATTTACAACAAAAAACCGTAAACCTCTCCATTGTCAGGCAAGGCTATGGTATACAGTTACTATCAAGGAGATGCGGCATAATGAATGAGGATCCATAAAGCAAATAATGCAATTTCAATAATCTACGAAGTCTATATTACAAAACTTAAAACAAAAACAATCAGACTTTCGAGATACAAAATATACACACAAAGTACAAATGGTACATTTACAATTACACTACAGACAACTGGATTTTACGATTTTCAATATTTTAGAAAAGTATACCAAAATATTTGCACAAGAAAAATATGGATTTTTGTTTAATACACAATTTCATTCTTTTCAACAGCCGCAAATACTATTGTTTATGGAAGTGCAATATTTGTGGAGTATATCGTTTGTAGCTATCCGGAACATCACATGCTAAGTGAAGAGACTAAAAACAGTGATTAAAAAAAAATAACAAAAAGATTTCCTACATCTATATTAAAATCGAAAACTCTACAGAAGGTTTGCATTTATTCTATTTCTTATAATAAATATGGCTCCCGATTACTGGCATACATAAGTTATTGCGCTTACTGAAACATTGGTACTGTTGTTAAATATTGAAAGTTCTCTACGTAATTTCCCTGAGATGAAAATTATATCTAATAGCTAGACTAACAATTTATACAGGGTATTAGTATTAACTGTACATTTCATTTAACATTTATACAACCTTTAAACTAAATTGTGACAGAGGAGCCATTCATTGAAATAAGTTATTGCTAAAATAAAATAAATATAGAAGGGCTCAGGAAATGCATACTTCTTTTTTAAGAGAAGTTTAGTCAATAAAAGACATAAAGAAATGCAAAACCTACCGTTTGTTAACATGTTCCCAAATGCATTTACTGAACCCCTCTTAAGTTGTAAATTGGTGGTAACTAAACCAAGTGTAAAAATGATTTGGTAATAGTTACAATTAAGCTTGCACAATATGAATTCTAGAGAGTTTTAGATAAAACTTAAAAAAAAAATAATAGCTTAAAATATAAATAAAAAGTACAAAGAGAGAATGTAAAAACTACATGCTTTTTTGGTAATTTTTGTTACACTGGGGCACTATTAGTCTTCTATTGCGTAAATAATCCTAATTGAACACAACCCTATAGAGTGTAACAAAACATGAACTCGTCGAACTCAAAAATAAGATTATAGCACCACAAGGAACTTGATAAAAATTTCTCCATGAAATAAGACTTACAAGTGGTTTTATGGCAGTGATAAAATTAAAATGTGGATATGTAATAATCAACAAACATTAACGGTTTACGGCGACGTTACTTAATTGACTTTATAAGTCACTTTCTTGATTTTATCAAAAAAGAAAATCCTAGTCTATTTGCTGTTAAAAACAGGACAGTTCAGGCTCACATCACATTAAAAACTCGTCGAAATACAAACTCGTACGACTACTTCACACAGACGCCCCGGAATATTCGTTGATTCTTCGAGAACAAACCAAAATTTCGCTAAAACTACACGTGATTTGTCAGCGCAGATTGAGTAGGCGTGTAATGCTAAAAGCTGGATGTTCATGCTCTCAGCTAGGCTTGGATGATGGCTGTGTTTGTAATTCGGGATCTCGTCTGATCACCACCTAAAAAAAAATCTCCCTTGTTCACTTGCACTTTCACTGCTCACAAAAATTCATCGTGCGATATAGATACGGTTTCAGATAAATTAATGACCAAGTTTCCCCAATACTTTGAAACTTAGAATTGGGTCGTATAGGAATCATTAATTTTGTCTGTGACTGTACAACAGTTTGTGTTTGGATCACTATCACCAGCTTCACTGTGCTTGAATTTTGATATGTACTGTTGACCGTATTTCATAGCAGGTAAGAGAAATTGGTACTTGAGAGCACTGAAAATTTCACACTTTTTAAAATCACTAATGCTGTTCCATTGTAGTTCAAGTCTGCCAAAATAGAGACTGTTGTGCAGCACAGATTTCTCTTAAGCTCTGGCCATTAGTGCTTTCAAAAGGTGAGGAGATTTAGTATAATCATTGAATAAACACCTTTAAAGAAGTATAACTACATAGGTAAACCTGAAATTGGTGTAAGGTGTGTTGCATACACTGCAAAGTGGTTAATTACCACAAGTATTGAAGGATATTTGGCCTAGGGCGGTAAATAATGACTATTTTAAACAGGGAAACCAGTTATACTTAGGGGCCCTTTGTTTTCCTTGTTTATCAGAGTTGAACAGTGTTGTCATATTTACCAGATCCTTATATGGAGCTAGGTAAAGTTTGATTGTTTATTATGTAAAGAGTAAAGCAAATGCGAGGCCTGGAGCGAAATATTTTTGCGGGGCCAATGATTGCCGGGGGGGGGGGGAGGATGGAATACACCCGGAGGATGCCCATTATGTATCGAATATAATATATATCTCGGTAAATATCGAATGTATATAAAATTATTCCCATAATAAGCCAGCATTCAGTTGTTATTTCAGAAAATAAATGACTAACGAAAAACAATTGAATTTTTTTAAATGGCAATGCACCTTTTCATTAGGCTCATTTGATAGAGATTTTTTTCCCTTTTCGATGATATAACAGAGTACCCTTATTCAAGAAAATTTTTCAAAAAAATGTATCGTAAAGATCAATAACATTAATCCAGATATCCTACATCAAAATAAAACAAATGAACGTGTACGTGTCTTATTAAACCTTGAAGACAAAACCAAATTAGCATTAAAATGGGTTTCATCATAATGAATGTTCAAAATGTTCACCATTAAGTGCAAGGCAGTAGCATAACCTATCACAAAAAATAAAAATTAATTTATTCTAGACGAGTGCTGGGTTATGTCATTGAAAAGAGAAAAAATCTCTATCAAACGAGCTTAATGAAAGTGTGCATTGCTACTTTAAAGAAATTAATTATTTTTCGTTACTCATTTGTTTTCTGAAATAAAAACAACGGAATGCTACCTTATTATGGGAAATAAAATGTCAAACAACTATCATATAGAAAAATCTTTACCGGGATATATACTATATCCCATACATAATGGGTACCCTGTATATTTATATATTAAAATATTATTATATTATTTTCATTCAACCAAACTTTATATTTATTTCTTAACGAGAGTAAGGCCTCGCAGTGCGAGGCCTTTTTCAGCGCGCGGCCTGGAGCGGCCGCTCCACTCGCTCCACCCTAAGGACGGCACTGGTCCTTAGAACAGTTCTTGTTGTTTTCTTATTAGATTAAACTACATTTTTTACTTTATTTATTGTTCCTTATGATCTTACATTTCAGACTGATCCTCCTGACATAATATTGTTATTGGCATTGAATAAAAGCTTATTCAATATTTTAATCTAGTTTATTCAAACTCAAGGCGCTTGCCAAAAATCTGGCAATGTTGGAATTTTAAAGAAGTAAAGAAATCTGCAAAGTCGGTAACTAGTTTTAAATTTGTGGTTCACTTTCCCCCACAACAGAGGGACGACAGAATCCTGGGCAGATTTTATTTCATCAGTTAACACGGGCGTTATACTTCTTTAAGGTGCTTATTCAATGGTATAATAAAAAAAAATGTTGCAAGATGTAACTAATAAAAGACATTATTATTATTATTATTATTAATCTAAGGAGGCGCCGCTCTGATGCAAGTTATGAACCATTAACAATCATATTATTTAGATCGCCACTGCTTAAATTGTCTCATAGCAGTATATTGAAGTATAATTTCTCTTGTAACAGCAACACTGCATTTGTATTTTACTCACGTGTAACAAGTACAGTACCATTACTATCAACCGTTTCAATTTATATACCAGAATATTATTTGAAAAGCGGCACATATACAGTATGTTCCAACTAAAGTTCACACTACTGTTAATTTTGTTAGTATTGGGAGTGCAAAACGTGAAGAATTTTTTGTAACTATTTTGCTTTGTCCCACATTTTTTAATGTAGCTTCTTCATTAATTAAATCAGAGTAACCGTCAAAAATATGTAAAAATATACAGGGCGTTCCAATTAAAATAATTCAATAACCCACTGCCCAATCATTTTTCTGATACACCCTAAGGAAAAATGATTACATAACCAGTAAGAAAGTTAGCCATAGTGTTAACTTTATTTAAAACGCACTGTATTATTGCACTTCTATGCAACTACAAAACTACTCCTCCAACTAACACAAGCACAACAATAGTAATACCTGTGACTGTGCCGTCGAAGGTCCGGGACCCTGATATAATGGGTAAGGTTGCGGTCGAGGAGCAGTGCGACCACTGTCCCCACTTTGCCGCATGATCCCACTACTAGGGTACCCCGTCGATCCTGCAGGTGAATGTCTATAATTTATAACAGAAACGATTTGAGTATATCAATTTCTTATAAATTGCAACAAATTTTCTACTGTCTTTCGTACGCGCTTACCGTACTGAGGAGGTGGATTGCGATTGTGTGCTCGCGGGACTTCTGTGATGGGGATAAATTTGGGTGGTTTCGGGGGGTAGACCGTTTTCGACGGCCATCGGTGCATGTTGCACGGTAACTTGTTGGGGATGCGAGGGGTAGGATCCGGTGCTATTGTGGCGTGACCTCGACGCCTCTCCGTGACTTGCGAGAACCGACGGGTGAATGTTGTTAACTGAAAATGCAATGTCGGTGAAAGGTGGAAGGAATCGTCGTTTTACCTGTGTGAGGGTGGGAACTTTGTGAAGTGGCGGGTTGTCCTGTTAGAGGTATTGCCAAGCGCGCATTCACAGCCAAGAGATGGTCTCGCCTTTGAAGTAACGAACTAACATGCTCTTCTAATCGCAAGTTTTCCGCTCGTAATTGATGCAAGCATGATAATAACGAAGCAACTGTAAAAATGTTTTTATGAGTCATTGTGCCTGGCGAAAGACAATTTTAACATTAAACAATGTGAGATTCATGCCCAAATGAACACCCTGTATATTAAAACGCTATCAAAATGGCATTTGTTTAACAAAGAGAGCACAGTCTTACTTAGATTTCCACTTTTTTGATAGCATAGGTATGAACAACTGGACTGGACCAAATTTCTAATCAAAAATTTTATAAAGTAGGATTTTCCTCACGTCACGTCATCAATACGCAGGTTTGAGAACTGCCAAGCCGCCCTATATCCAGCTCTGGTGGTACAGTTGAGCAAACTGTTCAATAAGGCACAGAAGAGTAAAGCTATAGCCGATTGGAAGGCCTATAAATTAAATCTAAGGCTATATAAGAAGGATATTAGAAGGCGTCAGAGAGGCATGGAAGAGTTTTCTGCAGCTCTATAAAATCCACCCCCTCTGCATCCCGCCTAAATAAAATTCTAACAAAAGGTTTATATTTTAACCCAGCTAGCCTCTGTGGTTCTTCCACAAACAGCGGAGGTACTGAGAGTCGCCCACTTTTCCGGAGCCACCACAGCACCATACGCCAAAAGTAACCCCTTCATTCCCACGGAGAATGAGTGGGCGGCTGCCAGTCACCAGGGTTGGATGGCATAATATCAGCCCTCCTGCAATGGGAACTGGATGATCTACATACAAGTAGTATAGGGGTCACCTGAGCCAGACAGTCGCCAATGGTTGCTCTGCTTGTGAGTATGGAGTAAGTCAAGATTGCAGCCACTTCTTGACTTCTGCTGCTAAGTACTTACTGCCGGCGGTATTACGAAAAAACAATTAAAATAATTTTTTTTTTAAATTTTTCCTTTACGCCCAAATAGTAATGTTCACGTTGTTAGTAAAAGATCGCAACATAGACAACCTGTTACAAATACCTACAGAAAACACTTTTTTAGTAAATGGTCAATAGAAGTCGTTGATGTAATGGGTATCCTACTGACAATGCAGCACTGGCTGCCCACATACGTTGACGATGCTATGTAAACATACTTAATGATGACGTCATAATACACCGATGACGTGCGTACAAACTAAGGAAAATTCTACTTTCTATCCTCTTCAGAAAAAGAATTGGAAAACCCTTTAAAAACAAGCATTCCATTGACTGATTGAGTTTATGACTTATAATTCTCGTGCTGTGCAAGGATCAGAATCTAATTTTAATTATTGGAAATATAGTTATCAATTTTTATTTTTTAGCTTTATTCAAGAGAAAAGAGGCATGATACCAAAAAAAATCTTACTATCAAAATGTTGAGCTTGCTCCATCAAAAACTGAGAACCTTGCTCCCACTGTCTCTCCAACAACTGATCGAGAGTTTGCGGAATAGAACCACCCCCGCCACCCAGCATGGAGAATCCGCTGCCTCCGGATGCTGTACTCGAGCCACCAGTACTGTTGGATCTTGCCTGAAAAACTAGTTAGCGTCGTTCCTTGTAACTGCCAAAATGCTTACGTTGGCAAGCACCCGGTGGTGAAGTTGCGGTCCGATAAGCGGGGAAGGTTCGTTTACGTTAAATATACTATGCGCCTCCAATTCGGAGCTGAGGTGATCCGACATTTTCTGGGCCATATTCGAGTTTGGATTCAATTGATTTCCTAACATGTGGGGAGCTGAGACGCCATTTTGAAATCTGTAATACACCAATTGAAGAATTTAAAACTTAAATAAATACAATTATTAACTACATGGAAATGTTAATTTGGCTGGTTACCGCCAGGTGGCACCTCCTGATTAAGTGAAATAAAGTCACTAGATTTCGAAAGTACCGCAATCATCCGCCATTTTTAGGCAAATTTGCTGCCAACTTAAAAAAATTGACAAATAAAATCTGAATAGCTGTAATTTTTTATAACCTAACTTCATAGTACTATCATGTTTTATAAAAATATATACAGATATCTGCAAACAGGTGGAACAATCCCTAACATTAAAGTTACTAGAATCTCGTAACAAAAATAATGCGTTCTCTCTCTAACACACGAGCCCAATGGATTGCGGTACTTTCTATATTTAGTGACTTTAAAGTCAAAGAATAGGATCAGGTTTATTTCTCACCTGAAGCAATTTGTCTTCACCAAATTTACTTAGCTTAGCAGAGAACAACTTACACTTTTAAAGTATCTTTCGTCTCCTTAACGTTTCCGGGCGCAGAAGCAGCGGTCGATTGTAGAACACCTTGCGCCTTTTGCCTAGTCTTGTTTCTATTGGCGCGCGTCATCGCGCCTTGACTTTCAGAGTTGGGCGAACTCGGCGGAGATTCCTTAATTTGATTCGGTGGAATGATCGAGCTTGAGTTAGGCGGTGAGGTCGTGTTCTGAGATCGGCTTGATCGTTTTGTTGCGTTCATCGAAGGCGTCGATGCGACGTTCGTGCCTGGCTTTTTTCGCCGTCCGCCTCTTTCGGCCTTTTCGCCCGACATCGATCTAAGAATTGACCCTTACTAAACTGCAATGCGCACAAAAGGCAAAAGCTTTCTTACATTATGTTTCTGCACACTAGCAGAAATGGGAATTTCGGTATTTCAAACTAGAATCTTTGTTAATCCATACCTTTTTTGCCATTAAAAATAGATTTTTGACTTTCGTAAAGCAATTTTGATGTAGAATAAGATTGTTAGGTAATTTGGAAATTTTATATAATAGAAATTTGTTTAAATAGAAGTTGTAATATACAGTGAGCGGCTACAATATGGTACAAATTCATTTAAAAATCAGGTGTTCGGTTAAAAAAATTACAGGGTGAATAAAAAAATAGAGATTTACCAGTTGATTTTTTAAATGGAACAGTATTTTTTAAAATACATGTTCGAATTCGGTGTCACATTCTGCGCATAATAAAAATAAATCGAAAATGGATTAAAAAAAATACTGTTTCATTTAAAAAATCAATTTTAGTAACAAAATCTACTTTTTGACGCACCCTGTACATTTTTGATGTAGAATAAGAGTGTTAGGTAATTTGGAAACTTGTTACAATAGAAATTTCTTTAAATAGAAGTTGTAATATACAGTGGGCGGCTACAATATGGTACAAATTCATTTAAAAATCAGGTGTTCGGTTAAAAAAATTACAGGGTGAATAAAAAAATAGAGATTTACCAGTTGATTTTTTAAATGGAACAGTATTTTTTAAAATACATGTTCGAATTCGGTGTCACATTCTGCGCATAATAAAAATAAATCGAAAATGGATTAAAAAAAATACTGTTTCATTTAAAAAATCAATTTTAGTAACAAAATCTACTTTTTGACGCACCCTGTACATTTTTGATGTAGAATAAGAGTGTTAGGTAATTTGGAAACTTGTTACAATAGAAATTTGTTTAAATAGAAGTTGTAATATACAGTGAGCGGCTACAATATGGTACAAATTCATTTAAAAATCAGGTGTTGGGTTAAAAAAATTACAGGGTGAATAAAAAAAATAGATTTACCAGTTGATTTTTTAAATGGAACAGTATTTTTTAAAATCCATTTTCGAATTCGGTGTCACATTCTGCGCATAATAAAAATAATTCGATAATGGATTTAAAAAAATACTGTTTCATTTAAAAAATCAATTTTGGTAACAAAATCTACTTTTTGACGCACCCTGTATATTTTTGATGTAGAATAAGTGTTAGGTGTTTTGGAAACTTGTTACAATAGAAATTTGTTTAAATAGAAGTTGTAATATACAGTGAGCGGCTACAATATGGTACAAATTCATTTAAAAATCAGGTGTTGGGTTAAAAAAATTACAGGGTGAATAAAAAAAATAGATTTACCAGTTGATTTTTTAAATGGAACAGTATTTTTTAAAATCCATTTTCGAATTCGGTGTCACATTCTGCGCATAATAAAAATAAATCGAAAATGGATTAAAAAAAAATACTGTTTCATTAAAAAAATCAATTTTGATAACAAAATCTACTTTTTAACAGACCCTGTATATTTTCTCTTTAACCCCCCACTGTATACCTACCGTGGTGCATCATTGAAAAACATTTGGTATACAAATTTAGGGAACTGAAGGTTCTTTTTCTAGGCGTTTTCCACGATTGTATTTTCTAACGCATCAAAACTCATTCACATAGTCTGGATCCCTGTTCTTAGTAATTCCCAGAGCTTTCTAGGTCCTTCTATGGCATTTCAATTTTTAAAATTTCAAATCCAGTCCCGGCTCTAGTGAGCTTATTCTACATCTATGTCAACCTTTGGTTAAAAAAAGTTAGCGGCTAAAGGGTTTGAGATTCTGTTTGGATCAGTGACGTACAGTTTGAACCCAGAGGTTATGTTTAACATCAATTAACATAAGAAAGCATCTATGCCGTACAAGGTGGTCCAACTTGAACACTTTGTTATGGAAACACCCTTTATTTTAAGAAATAGAAACAATGAAGGTCAATTATGAAGCGGACATCAATGGCACGAAGAAAATCGTTTAGCCACTAGAGGGCGTTTCTCGTTTAGTAGATTTCTTTAATGCCACATTACTTCCTTATTATTAAAGATAAATAATTGATTTTGGCAAAGTCTAAGAATACTTTTTCTGTTGAATTTTTTTATCACTCTACACTACATTTTTTCATATTGGCCACCCTATATATGTATTTCACTTCAGAAGTCTCTTTTGGAGTATACCTTAATGCAAGTCGATGGTTTGCATTCTTGTACAGCCATAGTAGATCTCGCTTTGGCGCCATCTATTCGTTATTATATTATTAATTATTAATATTATATTACGTTGCGCTTTAAAATCTTTCCGTACAATTATTATCTTTTATACAAACCCTGTCTTGATAACAACAAACACAACAAATAATTTGTTGCAGTCGTTCCGAGGTTATGCACGTACATACATTTCGGCGATTCATTTTTATTTAAATTGCAGACATCTAGGTTTCCATGGCGAACAAAAGATGGTGGGATTGTTTAAAACGAAAAATACAGTTAACCAAGAGATTGTCATTTTAAACAATCCTGCCATCTTTCGTTCGCCATAGCAGCCAGATGTCTGCAATAAAATGCAATATGGTCCATAATATTTAAAATAAATATAAGTGACACTTAGATCAAAATTTAGGGTCGTATAAAAAACTAAACACTCTGTATATAAACAGTGCATCGCTATGGATTCTGCATAAAAAAGTGCTCTAAGACAAATTTTGCCAAAATCAATTATCTGTAATAATAAGAAAGTTATGGGACGTTAAAGAAATCAAGTAATTCAAGAAACGCCCCCTAGCGGCCAAACGATTCGATTTGCGTCAGTGATTTTTTCTTTTAAATTGATCTTTTAAAATAAAGGGTGTTTCCATAAGAACTCGAACCACCATGTACAATTTTGGAAATATACCTTGTCCTCTTAGTTGGAAGTGGCTCCTCCAAATTTGAATTTGATTCAAGATCAATGGGCACGGCTCCTTGTTGTTGTTCGTACGTTATTTTTAAACCGTCTCCGCTCATTTCGGATGTGATCACACTTGCACTTTGATTACTGTCCCCTGTCATTATCGGACCTAAAAGTAGGCATTAAAAATTTGACTTCCATTACCTTTTCAGACTCACTATCGTTTATGTGTTTGTGAATGCTTTCCGCTATACTTTGTTCTTGCGGCAATGAAGGGTAGGTTATGGGTGTCGTGACGACACTTGTTGGGTTATTAATGATATTGGGATGTGGACTTAAGTTTGTGTTAAGCAGGGGTACTGAAACGACTAACGAGTTAATGGAAGGAAGGATGTTTCCGGTAGATGTAGGTGATATAACTGTCGTAAGTACCGAAGCTTGGTCGACGGGTACAGAAAGCTGAGGCGGAGAAGGATTGCTTTTAACAACTGGGGAAACGGCGATCGGAATCGCCACGCTTGGTATCAAAGCCGGCTGCGAATGATCAAGCTTAACCTAAATAAAAGTCAACTGATAAGCGTCTTCGCGCAATTAACCCTTACCTTTTTTTTGTCGACACTTTCGACACTACTTTCACGTTTTTCGATCGCGATCACAGTTCCGCCTGTTATACCACTAAGCACGCTAGCACTCAACTCGGGGATTAACACTGATAAGTTAGCTGCTGGAATCACAGATTCACTTGGCACAGTATTCGGCGTGGGCGTCCTTGAGTTCGATTTCCGTTTTTTGTTAATTTTACTATCTTTATGTTCAGTTTTGGGTTCGAGTTCGATCTCAATTTTTGCGTCTTTAATGACCGGCGTCGCAATGCGATCAGTCTTTATTTCAACGACGGAATCAACAGCACTACTCGCGACAGAACTATCGTCCCCACTTTTGGCACTTTTAACGGCGCTAGTAACTTTAGGTTTATCTCGCTCGATTTTGCTATTATTATTGTGGACGGTTTTTTGGTGGGATACAACTGTTTTCGAGTTTGCCGATGATTTCGAATTGGATGATGACGTCTTATTAGCGGACGACGATTTACGTTTACCAGTGGCAGCTGGCTGGGAAGACGATGATTTCGTACTGACGGACAAATTCGTCTCGGAATCCTTCTCCGAGTTGGAATCTGACAGGTGATTCTCGTTTGAAATTGGCTTATAAGGCGGTATAGTCTTCACATTCCCTCCTTTTTTCTAAAAGTGATTTATTGGTCTTTGCCGGCTGTGTCGGGCGACTTACCAATTTGCTGTAGTGATGTTGACAATAACCGCAGTATTTCACGTTATCAAGGTAATTCCCTGCCTCTTCGCAGAGTAAGCCCAATGTTTGAGCGCAAGTAACGTGAAATTGTTGTTTGCAACCGGCTTTATTACACTGCATGCAAGCTCCAACGCCTGCACTACTAGCTTTGCCTTGCTCCTCACAAATGTAACAAACCTATAATTTACAACAATCAACATAAACATATTGTTATTAGTTTAGAGCATAGTACAGGTGAAATATGACCTCTAATCTTTTTGCTGATAATGTTTAAGATTGTTCTCTAAAAATTCTATGCTAAATAAATGTAGTACTCCTTTAACCATTAAAATTTGTTAAAAATAAATACTGTTCAAACGAATATACACAAAGTGACAAACACAGACGGATGGACAGAAATTTAATCTGTTACTCCCTTGACCATTGTCTACCTATTACTGAAAACAGAATTGGAAAATTCCAAACCGTTTGCGAGTTATCATGTACACAGACGGACGGACGGGTCCAAAATCATGAAGGAAATTGGGTAGCTCGCTAATAAATTTGGAAAAATAACTTCATAAAAAAATTATTTAAAAACTTGTATTATTTATTATTATTATTAATTGGGATGTCATTATTATTATTATTACTAAAAGACTTGAAACTTGTATGGCACAAGAAGGACATATTTTCTAACATTTATTGCAAAGAAACTGATTTACTTTGGGTTACAAAAATAGTGTATTTTTAAGTTTTAGTGTAGTGTGTATGTTTCATCAGTTGTTTCCTAGTAGATGTAATCATTTGACTTTTACGTTATCCAAGATCAAAGATACAGAGCCTGGAATCAAAACTTAAGTAACTTAAGGCAATAAACTGACGCTTGCAAAAGCCAAATTTTACTTATAAATCGAAAACATTACAAGTTCTTCGTACTATAGACCCATGTAATACAAAAGTTTGCACGTAGACTTAAAAAATGCATTCATTTAAAGAGGATTTTAAAAATGTACCTTTTTTGAGCCCTACTTTGCGAACGCACCCTGTATAATTCAAGATATTTTTTAAATGTGAAGAATATCCAACCATATCATAATACAAAAGCACTATATCTAAAAATCATATCTTCAAGGCATTAAGTTACTTCGCGCAATTGTTGACTCACTCTGTACAGGGTGGCCAAATAAGAATGTGAGGTACTGTATCTTAGAATCTATCCATCGTAGAGGCTTGCGGTAAAAAAATTTATTACTAAAACGGCCAAGAGCAAAACCTGGAAAATATTTTTAAGTTTCTGAAATGGCCACTAGGGGGCGTAACTGCAATCTGGAATCTAAAAAAGTGATGTTTCTGTAAATTCCGCTATATTAACCTAACAAAAAAATATCAGGTCTTTGAAGTTGACGATAATCTGAACAATTTTTCCTGTATCTCTAAAAATGAAGTGGTGGGGGGTATTCAAAGGTTTCCATAAAGAACACCCTGTATTATCGAAATTGCTGAGCCGATTTAAACAAACTCGGGTTAGTTCAAAAGAGCTATTCTTCAGCTACAAATATTATACTATTTGAAGTTTTGTTGGTTTCACATATCACCGCTTGAGGGTTTTTTTCAACATTCCGACAAAAATGGTAAATTTTCTCAAAAAAATTAAATGCATTGGTTCGATTTTTTTTTCATGAAAAAGTAGCTAAATGATGCCTAAACAAGTTCGCGAAAACACCATCTCGATATCTTGAGATATATATATATATTTTTTTATATCGTGATGGCCAGCATTTCGAGCATTTACGGCGGCATTAAAAGCTTCCTTTTTTAAATCGATCCACGATCCACCTTAGGGCCACAATTTATATAACAAAAATAATTCCGGAAAAATTAGCTTAAAAAAATAAAATTTTGAGGGTATAAAATTTCTTTGGTCTAAATTTTAGGTTAGGAACAAGATATCGAGATGCGGTTTTCGCGAGCTTGTTTAGGCATCATTTAGCTACTTTTTCATGAGAAAAAAATCAAACCAACGCATTTAATATTTTTGAGAAAATTAACCATTTCTGTCGGAATGTCGAAAAAAGCCCTCAAGCGGCGATATGTGAAACCAATAAAACTTCAAATATTATAATATTTATAGCCGAAGAATAACTCTTTTCAATTAACCCAAGTTTGATAAAATCGGCTCAGTCGTTTCGAAGATACACGGTGTTCTTTACGGAAACCTTTGAATACCCCCCACCACTTCATTTTTAGAGATACAGGAAAAATTGTCAAACAAAAAAGGTTCAGGTAAACTTCAAAAACCGGACATTTTTTTGTTAGGTTAATGTAGCGGAATTTACAGAAACATCATTTTTTTAGATTCCAGATTGCAGTTACGCCCCCTAGCGGCCATTGCAGAAACTTAAAAATATTTTCCAGGTTTTTCTAGTGGCCGTTTTAGTAATAATTTTTTTTTACCGCAAGCCTCTACGATGGACAGGTTCCCAGATACAGTACCTCGCATTCTTATTTGGCCACCCTGTACATTCTAGTCTTAAATAAGTTGCATAACAATCATATCATGTAAAAAAGCTGAACCAATGTCATTGACTGGAGTTAAATTAAATCCATTTTGTAGTCACGTGTTTTTACAATCAAGTAAATATTACTAAAAGACTTGAAACTTGTATGGCACAAGAAGGACATATTTTCTAACATTTATTGCGAAGAAACTGATTTATTTTGGGTTACAAAAATAGTGTATTTTTTTTAAGTTTTAGTGTGTGTATATTTCATCAGTTGTTTCCTAGTAGATGTATTCATTTGACTTTTACTTTACCCAAGATCAAAGATACAGAGCCTGGAACCAAAACTTAAGTAGTTGGCAATAAACTGACGCTTGCAAAAGCCAAATTTTACTTATAAATCGAAAACACTACAAGTTCTTCGTACTAGACCCATGTAATACAAAAGTTTTACAATTGCACTAGAATTAAAAAATGCATTCATTTAAAGAGGATTTTAAAAATGTACCTTTTTAGAGCCCTACTTTGTGAACGCACCCTGTATAATTCAAGATATTTTTAAAATGCGGAGAATATCCAACCATATCATAATACAAAGGCACTATATCTAAAAATCATATCTTCAAGGCATTAAGTTACTTCGCGCAATTGTTGACTCACTCTGTACATACAGATAGAAACCAAATTTACTTATTTAATGTCGACATTTGATGCAGTTTTGACATGTCCCAAAGACGATGATCGCAATAGCCACCTAGCTCAAGCTAAACAATATTCAAAACCCAAAATTGTTCAGGATTACTAAAAGATTTTTTTAGTTTTTTACCACACGCACGTTAGTAGAGAAATATTGCATTTTGCATGATCCCCTCCATCCGAATCAAATAAAATCACTATTATGTTGGTCTGTGTGTCTGTATTCTCATTTCCGGGTAAAAACTGGCCTTCCTAAAATTAGGGGGCCAAATTCACACAGGTATTTTGTTTCTGTATTTCATGATCTAATGGTAAAACGGCGTCTCGATTACATATACAGGATGTTCTCCTAAATACGTTGTAAATATGGAAGGGGCTAATTACTTACTTTATGATTTTCATATAAACATAGGTCCGCAAACGCTTTGCTACCTATCTCCAGGGTATTGTACAATTTACAATTTAAACCGTTAATTTATAAACATAATTTATGCAAAGACAAGATACAATTTGCAATGTCAACTGTCAAAACTAATAAAAACAAGATATGAAACCAGGACCATTTAAAAAATCATACTTTCATATAGCCAAAAATTTTTTGCTCGATAATGGTCACAGACACAAAAAAATTACCAGAGACCAATAAGTAACAAATTACAATATTAAATTCTTGTTTCACAATCTATCAGCGACCCACTGAAAAAAAATTCAGTGGTTGAAAATAGAACATGACCCCTAAAAAACACCCTGTCAATTCTCACTACCATTGACATGAATAATGATGTGAGCCCTTCAGCGTAATTTTCAAATATGAGCGAAATGTCTCAAAAACTGCAAGAGATATAAAGAAAAAAATTGAAATTTTAACACCCTGTAGACCACACACTATATATTTAATAATCTTTGCGATAATACAGTGTTCTACATGTATACCATTTGATATTTTATAGAAAATCGCCCACTAGTCAAGACACTAAAAATAATTTCCCGCATTTTCTTTTCCCTCCTACCCCAAGATGTGCATTCCTAAATAAAGGCACAAAAAACAATCTCGATCTGGAGGTTTTTCAACATCCTGGGTCGAACTCCAACTCTAAAAATTGTAAGAATTTTCATGCGATTAATATCAAAACTGAAGAACAATTTTTTTATACGAATCGTCGAGATCACAGAAGAACATTCAACATACAGGGTGTCCAAAAAGTATGGAATAGCATGAAATTTTTTTTAAACAAAACCGCTAGAGACAATTTTTTTTAAATGACATCTCTTATGCATAGTTATTTGATGTGTTTTATTCTCTTTTCAAAAATGTAAAACATTAATACCCTTTCATTGAAAAAATTTTGAGAAAACCGCGAAAAACTGTGCCACTTATATACAGTGTGTCCCTTGATCAAAATTTTCAAATTGAATTTCCTTCTTGAATTGCTTCATTGGAAACCAAAACGTTTTCCGCATACCAGTAAAATGCTCTTTGTATTTGTATTTATTGTTCTTGTTTTACAAAATAAATTTAGTTAGTAAAGTGTAGAGATGAGATACGCACAAATGTTATTAAGAAAAGTTGTTCAGAATCAAAAACTGTGCTTCAAATTTGCTACACAGTCATTTCATTCTGTTTTGAACAGTTTCTAGGTAATATTTTTTCGGAAAGACATCCAGTTAGAAAATAAGATACAAAATTCATGTAAAAAATGATTTATATACTCCGTTTCAAATATGGAAGCACCTTAAGGGTCAAGTGTAGGGCAACTAATTTTTTCAAATAGATTATTGAATATCTATTCTTATTCTACATCAGAAAATAATACACTTTCGACGGAAACGCTTTTTCCCTACACTTACTATTTTTTGAAAAGTGCTATTTTTGGGACTGTCACGTCTACACCACACTCAACAAGTGTCGACCCTTTGTGTCATTACACAGCTTCTGTCAAATGGGAAGGTTCAGCAATACAGTGTGTCAAATAAGGAGATACCTGAAATAAGGGGTTTCTGAAAAAATAGCACAAAAAAGTTTATCAAGGTGACCGTTTTTGTCATCCCACCAAAAATGACACTTGGATTCTTTTATTTAAATTTTGAACCAAACCGAGTTCCAAAAGGTATATAATTTTGTTAGGTGTACACTTTTGGGTGTCATGGTTGGTTAAAAAAAATTTAAACAAAGTCTAAGTGAAATCTACACCATAGACCAAAGCGAGGACCAAAGATTAATTCTTGGTCCCTTATTGTCAAAAACCTAGCACCGACAAATATCCGTCCTCGCCAAATAAGCCAAGCACAAAAAATTTAACAATTAATTTTCATTTCAGAAAAATGAAGAAGTATTACATTTATTTATAAGATAACCACTACAAGTACAAAAAATCGGTCGCAGATCAAAGAAGTACATTACAAAATCACTATTTATAACAGTTGTGTTGCATCTATCACTGTCTGAAACCCTTGCATGTTAAAGAAGACCTAAATAGAGATGAGCCCAACTGAGGCTCAACTGCATTGTCATTAAACAAGTTGTAAATCAGCATATGCATGATTAAAGCGCATTTTTGGTAATGCAGGTCAGTATTTTATTAGCGAAGTTTAAAATTATCGATCTCACGAGTAATTTTGGCTGCGTTAAATAATTAATTTTATTTAATTTCAATTGACGGTACGTCTTCATTTTGTACAACAAATCACAAAGTAAATAATAAGTTTTTATACTGGTAGCGCCATCTAACGGTAAAATTATAGCACCTCCGAAACCCATATCGAAATTATTTTCTTCAATTATCGATTTCACAAGTAATCTAACTCAAAATAGAGTAGTGCCTGCACATCTACACTATAGCAGAACGCTTTTAGTGAAAATTTGAAGTCTCTAGCTATTGTAGTTGTGGAGATCTAACGCGGACAGCCGGCCTGCCAGCAATGACGAATATAATAGCGTATTTTTTTCAAAAATGCGCTAAAAAAAAAAGTGTTGATACTCACCTTATTAAAACGTTCACTAGGGATCAGCTGTAACTGGATAGGTTCCATAGTAGTAACATTACCAAAACGAACCTCAGGTATATACAGCGCGCACACCACATGGGCCCAGCCAGAGTTATCCGTTCTCTTAAGAGCTCCATATTTACTAGGACACAATTCACACTTCTAAAAAACGAATTAAACGTAAATGCCGGAATTCGATGTGTATTTACCATAAGCAAAATGAGATTAGTATAGTAAGTTAAGAAGCATAGTGTAGTATAGCAATACTAACCACTCTAGCAGTTCTCTCTTGACTTTCACATTTACGACAGTACCAGGGTCCAGTAGGGACAGTCACTATTCCATAACAGGCTGTAAAAAAAAGGCACCATAAATGCTAATAAAACATTACAACCGTTTATATTTTTAGTTACAATCAACAGGTCTTTTTTTATCACCTAAATATTTAAAAAAATGGGGCATTTGGTCGAGATTACCATGACAACCTGGTTTACAATGCATTTTAATAAAACCCTTACTTTGTTGCAACATTTAAACAAAAAAAAACCAAGCATGAGGTAGTTTAAAAAAAACTTACCACATGTGTTTCAAATGCTCGGAGGAGAGCAAAGGTACCAAATTCGTACAAAAAACATTGTGCATAGTTTTTAACTGTGTTAATTTGCATTACCTCCGCGGCCTAATGCTACGTTTTTTTGTAACCCAAGTAAATACCTTGATGTACAGCAACGGTGCAGGATTGTCCATCGCAATACACTAACGGGTTTTCGGGCCAACCTCTATCATCAGAACACACGCAACAACCTCCTACCATCTCCTTCATAATGCAGGTCGAGCGATGTTTGCTAAACTAGCGAACCGATGTACCCTTCCCGCATCTTTCAACTTTAAAGTCAAAATTCATCTTCTCGCCGATTATTTCGCACAACAAACACACTTTACGATCGAAGAACTGAACGTCTTAAATGTAACCTCCATTGGGTTTTTGTATGCGAGGCTATTACCAATCTTGAAATGTACGCGCGGTTTCGCTTTCGAGTAATTATTATACAATTACGGTTATTTATATTTACAATTAACGTGGTGGTGGCGGCGGTGGTACGATTTTTTTGCAATAAACACTTTTGGGGGTTTTTCCGTTGGGAACACTCACGTTTTTAGTTCCTTGAATCTGATTACTGGGCAATGCATTAAAAGATGCCAAAAATCGCCGTTTGGCTCATCATTTTGCATAAAAATGCAATATAAACACATTTTATTACAAAGAAACCATTTTGTTTTTGTATTGTATTTTGCTTAAACGGGAGTGTGCGCGGCTTTTTTTTTAGGGAATAATGGAAGTGGCCAAGCTATCACATGTGGGCACTGCACAGTTATAACACACAGTGCGTAAAAAAATGTACGTATTAGGAGATTCTCTTAATCTAGGACTTAGGTGCATAAATACCGGAAATTCTTCGAGAGCATGACTCATTATTATTTAAAACGAGAAAAGTCTGTCTTGGATTTGACGTTGACCTTAACTTAAAGCTATTGATGGCTCTTCAAGCACCACCCATAGCACTTTTAAGATATACTATCAATGTTCAAATATTCACCCCTTCCCGTTTGAATTGTTTACCTCCGCCACTGTCTCAATTGACCCCGTGTTTGTACCTTTTGGTACACTTTTGTGACGTAGTAGGTACTTTGTTATTTATGGTCCTTGTACTATACGAAAAGGTACCTAAACGTACTGTTTTATGCCAAATTCTCTTTAGAAATGCCAAATATTAACCTCCAAGAAAGGAACCCTCCCAATTTATCTAATTGCCGCACTGTCTTGCTTGATAAATAATTAATTTGAATGAGAAAAAGTTAGGTTATTTGTGTTATTATCAAATCTTGAAAATGATGATGTAGGAATTCCAATTCTCAATGCAAATATTGGTGTAAAGTTCAAGTAATTAATGGAATATCTTTAGAACTTTAGTTATATCACGAGTTTCCACTTCCATTAAACTAAATTAATTTTAAAATAACCTTTTAAAACTTGTAATGTCATTTAAGTGCATTGCAGTGTGAACTTTAGCAGTAATTGAAAGTGTAACCTGTAACCCGAACATGATTCGAGCCCTTTAAATTTCAGTCAACATGTGGCCAAATTTGCAAGTGCTTAAACGTTCACGTACAGTTCATTTATTATTTGCCATCACATTTTTTACATCGGGGATTATTGTTAATATTTTACAATGTTTTTTGTATCTAACTGTCCGACCGGTTAGTAAATATGTCTATCGTAAAATTAATTGGTATCTGTGCGCAACACTATATGCACGTAAGTATCTTCAGCACGCGTTACTTCATTCACTCATGTAAAAATCCACAGAGTTGGTGTTTATGGGGGATTGGTGGTCTGGTTCCGAAATATTGATATACATCGATAAGGATGATTATGATAGGTATTGGGGGAAAGAACACGCTTATTGTGTCATGAATCACACGTACGAAATCGATTGGCTAATTGGATGGATGCTTTGCGATCGTATACGCTTGCTTGGGGTAGATATCCATAGCAAATAATTGTCCCTCATTTGTATCTTTTAGAACTGCAAAGCATATGCGAAGAAAGTCATTCAGTATATGCCAGTTTTAGGTTGGGCGTGGAAATTTTCAGAGTTTGTTTTTTTGGAACGATCCTTTGATAAGGACAGAGAAGTGATAAATCGACAAATTACGGAATTAGCCGATCATCCAGATCCCATTTGGGTATGCAATAGTTCAGTCAATGAACTGTGCCGACTTATGATTTTCAGTTGTTGCTATTTCCGGAAGGCACAAGATTTACAGTAGAAAAGCACAAAGCATCCGAGCAATTCGCGAGGGAAAGAAACTTGCCCGAACTGAAATATCACCTTCAACCACGAACGAGGGGATTTATAGCCAGTTTACCTTCCATGAAAGGCAAGGTACCTGCCATCTACGATATCTTACTCGCATTTAAGGAGGACGTACACGATAAACCAACAATGACAACGTTACTTTTTGGTAAACCTGTTGTTGCGCACATGTATATGAAACGTATTCCAATGGAAGATGTGCCAAGCACTGAAGCTGAACAGGAGAAGTTTCTACGAGATATGTTTGTAGGAAAGGTTAGTTGTGTACAGAGGCATTGAGGGACCACATGTTCAAATTACATATACTCTTTCTATACTTTCGTAATTGTTCTAGTTATAATGATAACAAACTAACACCACGACTATTTCAGGATAAATTGAAAGATAGCTTTGTTAGAACAGGCGATTTCTTCACTTTATCAGGAGTGAAACGAATAACGCCAATCAAAACGAAGCGCCGTTTCCATATTGTTGTCAATATGATAGTATGGACGATTGTGATTTTGTGCCCCAGTATTTACTATCTCGTGACACTATTTTCAAGCGGAAAAATGATGTATGTCACAATTGCAATTGGCATACTGATGCTATGTAAGTTGTCCACTTTTAAGGAATCATCTTATCGTATTACTTGCAGTTAGCGGACTTCTATCCAAAACGATAGGAATGTCGAAAATTAGCAGCGGATCTTCGTACGGAAAGGAAAGCACACCGAAAAAAACTCACTGATGCAGCTGTAACGTCCATAGACTCAAAAAAAAATTGTAATTTCATTTGTGCCTTTTTATATGTACTCATTTAAAAAGAAAGTGTAGATGTGCCAATTGTATTTTGCTCTACCTACTATTTACTCAATGTAATTATAACGTGACCTGTACTTTCCGTAGTAACTGATTATTTATCTGGAGGCAACAAGGTCACTATTGTAAATAAGGACAATAAATGATGTTATACAAATTATGGTGATAGTGGCATGTTCATTTTACTTAATCTAAGTATAAAGTCTAACAGATGCATTTGGACTTTAACTTCAAGTGTATTAGAAGTCACATAGAAACCAGGAACTCCTGCTTGTTCCAAGGTCTGTTGCTGATCGGTCACCTACAATTTGATTAAAACCTGTGCATATTGTACCTATACACTTACTTTTTCGTCTAATTGTAATACGAGTGACATATCAAACTGTTTTAATTCTGTTGCTTGAGCGTCTTTCATCTTTTCAATTTCGTTTATCTTTACCAAAGGACTAGAGTCGTTCCCCAACAGTTTCTGTTCGTCCACTAGAACTCAAAGTGTCTAGAATTAAACACTGTTAAGATACTAACATTTGTGTTTATTAATTAACTGCAGCCGCTGCTGGTACAAGTGCTGTTCTGTAACGTGCTGAATTTCCATAAGCCCCTTTACAATTTCGAAGATAGTTTCATTAAGGAGGCAATTGGCTAGGCTTGACAATAATTCGTAAGGTACTCGCATTTGATACTTCCTGAAAAATAAGCGAATAAGATCATCGCTGATTTACAAACAAACAGTTTTTACGGAGGTAAATCACGAGCCATATTTTGTAGCTGCTCAACTAAAAAATAAAGTTTATTTTGCATTACTTGTGGATCGTCCATATTTCTGAATTAATTGAATAGTTATTGAGCAGTTTAAAAAAATGGATTGTTTTTCTTATAATAAAGTTGAGGTTATGTTACATTTTTAATAATATACACGATGTATGCAAACTTACGGGCTCTGTTTGCGAATGACATAACATAGACATATGAAATAACGAGATGTAATTGCATATACAATGATAGTTACAGTTTGTTGTATTTAATCACGAGGCATACACACCGACTTGGCATACACCCCTTATGTTACCTTTATGCATTATCAAAGATAATGTTGTATAACAGATGGATAGGCAACCAACTTTACCTCTTATGTTAGATAGGCTGAAAAACTTGCTAATTCTAAATGGCCCATCAGAAGAAATCACGTGGAGGAATGCCAGAGTGCTAGAGAACCTGTAAACATTCATCTTTTTGAGCTAATCAGTTTAATAGTTCGCTTCATTCCCATTTAGTTTATAATATACTATCTCTTTCGTGATTTCACACCTCGGAGAACTTCCCCAAAGCGCCGAACTCGACCTAAAAATTTGGATATCATAGATCAATCGGTTCCGCCAATATTAAGTTTGCATTGTTGTTCCAAGCAGTTTCAGATCTGCATTTTCTGATTGACTATTAAGGAAGGGGTTGGGGTACATGATGGGGGACCCATATATTCTTACAGGTCCCCTAAGGATAGGAAAGATCTTGAATGCTTGCCTAGTAGTAAAAGAGCCCAAAACAGGATTTTTGGATCTACTCAAACCTTGCAGCCTACTGAGGGTGCATTTAAAAAAATCTGACGATCTGAGCGTAGAAAGTGGAAAGGTCACAAACTTCCTGATACATTTTTAAACCAATTTTCATCTGGAATGATTAATTGCAGCTCATTTAGGCGCCTACGTACTACCAGAAAGGTCGCGCGAAGTCGGTCAATCCAGTACTGGCGTTGGGGTTCAATTATTGTTAATAACTTTATTCAAAATGTAATAATAAATAACTCTGTAACAGGGCGCAAGCCTGTTGAGGATCCAGAACAAGACAGGGATAATAAATAAATAATCAAGTCTTATTGAAGGTAGCGTTGCCAAATGTTATCTCAGAAAAGACCAGAGTTGGAGAAACCTATTAGCATAACAATACGTACCGATAATAAATCAATACATTTCAAGGAAAATTATAGTATTTTACATTATTAGCCAGGTAAGTGAGTTTTTACTGGCGATAGGAGAAGTTGACTAGCGAGCCGTTAGGCGAGCTTGTCATCTCCTAGAGCCAGTAAAAACTATTACCTGGTAATATTTTATTTGTTACTCATTTGTAAACAATAGTAAACGTAAATAATTAGTTCTTAAATTAATCTTGAAGAAATGTCTAAAACATCATGTTATCCATGTAACAGACTTCGCATTAATTCTGGCCAATGAAATTACGAGATTACTAACTTGTAAAATTTTTACAGGTCTGCTGTCAGTTTTACAAGTCAGTAGCGTTTAAACATGACGTTTACCCGTTTGCGTTTTGTCTTGTTAATCAACGTTTACAACTGAGTAACAAATAAAGTACTTTAACTGTGTAATTTACGTCCATAAGAATAACATTGGCCTGATTTACATACTGAATCCCACTAGTGACTGATTGTACCGCATTAGGAGAATATACCAAGTCAAAAGGTTCAATATGGGCCTTGACAAATATTACATATCCCTTGCTCTATCAAGCGCGATACATATAGAATCCATCCCTGATTCCAGAACCCTTTGTGTCCTATCCTATTCAAGTAAATTATAAAGGATTCACAAGCTTATTGTGTAATACTAAACTTGTTTTGAATTTTTAATGTAATAATTACATAATTTGTTACACATGAAATGCACTCCATTACATAAAATGGATCACAATCTACAAATATATAAACTGGCAAACAAGATACTTACTTATGTGCAATAACTACTCAATTGACTCTATAAAATAGTCTAACCTACACTGCAAATGAAAAGCATTACAATGAGACACTTATCGCCGAGTGCAAACAAAGTTACCTTACGATTTATCTTTTAAAAAATCTTTGTTTCGTTCCAACATTTCCTCTTTCTTATCTTTTTTGGCTTTGTCCAAAAATTTATCCATCTCCTCCAAGTTCGTTTCATTGGGTATACCTTTGTGTTTCTCACCGTCTCCACCCTTCTCACCCCATTTTCCATCGTAGGAGTCTCTGTCCACATACTTCTCAGTGGAATAATCGTCTCTGTCTTCGCCTTCTGATAGTGGACCTTCGTGTCTAATTGGCTCTCCGTCATTATCCAAATACTTATTTATTTTATCTTTTTCTGCGTTCACTTTACGCATGGTATCGACTGATTCGCGGTCCCTACTGCCGCTAAGTGACCTGCTTCGATCCCTGGAGCGACTTCTATCATATCTAAACATTGAAAGGTTACATCTGTCGACGAAATCAAACAAATATTTACCTGCGGTCTCTGTAGTCCCGGTAACCGCCACGACCAAAACGACCACGAGGTCTTCTACCCCCTCTGTTGTTGTAAGGTCTTCCGCGTCCCCTGTAATCCCGATATCCATCTCTCGAGTCTCTGTAATAATTGCCTCGGCCTCTGTTGTAGCTGCCACCACGCGGCGGCAATCTCGGCTTGTAATAGGTACCCCTATCGCCATAGCGACCACCTCGGAATCCTCCGCGCCTATAGCGGCGTCGTTCTCCAGAGTAACTACGCGACCGCGATCTACTACGCGAGTAATAGGAGCCTGAACGCGACCTTGACCTGCTATAATACGATCTGGAGCGACTGCGGTAGCTTCTCGAACGCGACCTCGACATACTCGACGACCTTGAGCGGCTATATTTGCGACGTGATCGAGAGCGACTTCTTCTGGAGGATCGACTGCCCGAGCGTGGCCTGCCTGGCGGCTCCGGAGGTTTACGGCTTCCTATAATTTAAAGATTAACACAAATGATCAAGAAGTATGAAGGCGTATCTATAAATATCTACAGGGTGTTTTTTTGGGAGCTTTAGTTAAACGTTTCTGGGAAAGTAAAATAGGTAGGTTTTTGAAAATTTGTTACTCTGAAGGCCGAATCGATGTAAAATATTTTCAAAATGGCCGCACTTCCGGAAACACCGGAAGTAGATAGTAACTTCGTTATTTTATTTTTTAAACAAATCTAGTGACACTAATCCGTCACCTACTGTTATAGGTGAACATAATCAAAATAACTTAAAAACCATAAATGGCAGATATCGACATATGGGTATCAAAAGAATTGAAATTTCACATAGAAACCAAAAATGCAATAAAAAATAGGGGTTGCCATTTAAAATAACGAAGTTACTATCTACTTCCGGTGTTTCCGGAAGTGCGGCCATTTTGAAAATATTTTACATCGATTCGGCCTTCAGAGTAACTCCTAAGTACCAATTTTCAAAAACCTACCTATTTTACTTTCTCAGAAACGTTTAAAAACACCCTGTATATGTGATGCCTATAAGCCTTCATACCTGAAAATGAATCTTTAGGTGGCGCACCAGGGGGTAAAGGGGGCAGGTCTTCAGAACGATCCGGCTGCATTCTAGGTGACAATAATCTAAAATTGCCAAATTTATCTAAAACCACCTGACCAGGTGGCACCAAGGGTTTAGGCTGAGGAACGCTAATTGGAGGCATTTTAACCTTTTTCGAGGATAAGTCCGCGTCTTTTTTCGCAGGAGGTGGCGCATCCTTCACTGCCATTCCTTTTCTTACGTTCGCACTTTTATCAGGAGGCGGAGGAAGCGTAGCAGATTTTTTACTCGACTCTTCCATCATATCTTTACTTATGCGTTTGTCGAGCATTTGCTCCTCCGACCAATCTTCTCTTTCGGGTTTCTTTTTAAAGCGCGAACTGCCGGCTGTCGCATTACCAATTTGCATTTTCCATTTTGTTGGGCCACCGCTGGCGTTTGCAGACGCAGTTGCTTCGGCTACAGCCTGGCGTGCTTTTTGTTCACGAGTTGGAGAAGGCGAATCCAAACCCATTGATCTCTTCGAACTCTCAATTCTATAATGCAGCAACAAATGAACTTAAGTAATCTCATCAGGTATTGATACAAACCTTTTGGATTCCTTTTCAAGTGCATAGTAGGCGTTTAGCTTTGATTCCAGTTCGTCCAAATCAGGCAAACTATCCAAGAACCTAGAAAATTTTAAGTTAGCATAACCACCAACTCGCACGACAAATACAACCGTTTGCTATATCCGGCCTTTTGAAGTAAATAATCTTCGTCATCAGAATTGCCATGGCGTTTACCACGTTTGTCCTTAAGTCCAAGTTCTTTTTTAAGTGCATCCCTCAGCTTTTTGTTTTCCAAATCTTCCAGTTCACTAAAATCGAAATGCTTACGCTTCAACTTCTTTTCTTTGCGTTTCTTTTTGCTCTCTTTCTTCGCTTTTTTATCTTTTTTCTTCTTCTTCTTTTTACCATCTTCCCCTTTCTTTTCCTTTCTCCAGCGCGAGGATTCCTCTAAAAATTTCCTTACCTTTTCCTCATAATCAGAGTCGCCTTTAGTCTGATCGAGAAATGCTTTCACTTTAAGCTCGTACTCATCGGGTGCGGCTTTGACCACTTCTTGGGGTTGCTCGAAAGCAAAATCAAACGAGCTGGACGCCGCCGGTTTGTTAAATTGATAGGCGGCGTTTGTGTCGTGCGTTGGGTCCATCAATGCCATGCGCTTGCTAAGTGGCGATAATGAGTTTTGCTTTTCGCGGCGATGCGAGCGAGATCTATGCTTTTTGCGTTTTTTGAAGTCCGAGTCCCCGGAGCTCGAGCTCGAGTCACTACTACTAGAAGAGGAACTGCTAGAACTTTCGTTACTGCCAGATGAGCTAGAACTTGAGCTTGAACTAGAACGTCTCCTATTCTTACGTTTCTTAGTTTTCTTCTTCTTTTTCTTTTCTTTTTTATCTTCCTCTTCATTTTTCAGTAATTGTTTCAGGGTGTCATTAACATCGGTAGATTTCGGATTGGAAGCCACAGATGCGGCGGATGGCACCACGGACCCTAAATTCGGTAGCAATAAGTCGCCAGGCTCGATTAAGGTTTTGGGATTTTGCAATTTGCTCTTCAAAAATTCGAGCGAATTCTGGGCTTCTTCGTGAAATGGTATAATACTCAAACAGCTCTGATATGCCTTCCGTGCTTCTTCGACTTTATTTTCTTCCTCGTAGCTTCGACCAAGCGCGATAAGCGTCTCGCCCATGTACTTACGGGCATTCGCGTGGCTGGGATTCAATTTCAGAGCGGTCTCAAAATCCTCGATAGCTTTCTGAAAATTTCCGCTGTTCGCGTACAACGCCCCTCGTGCGACTAGACCCTCCACGTTCCTCGGGTCAATGCTTAAAGCCTTATTGAGGCATTGAAATGCTTCAGTGTGTTTTCCGGCTTTGAAATGATCTATGCCATCCGCCACATTGCGGTATGCCCACTTACTTGCTTGCACTTGTCTTAACTCGTGAGAATATTCCGGTTCGGGAAATCGACCCCTGATAAAAAATTTTGGTCTTACTGAATGGGATTAAATTTTCCACAAATAAAACAAAAAGTTGAAATACATTCATTCGCACAGTCGAGTTTCATTCCAGTACTGAATTTTGTTTCTATAATTAGATTTTTATATATCCATATGGTACAGACAGGAATTTTTAGCATATTTTAAATAGAGCAATAGAACTGTCTTTATAGTGAATATCTAAGAAATAATTAATAATGGCTATTGTTTCTACTTATTACTATTATTATTATTATCCCTCTCTTGTTTTGGGCCCTCAACAGGCATGCGCCCAATTACAGAGTGACCCGCATAATGCTATTTAGAGGTGCCTCTGCAGAAGGTCTTAAGTTGTTCTATACTACTCCGGTATTTACCTTACGAATTAGGAAAACTGCAAGAAAACCTAATTCGGAGTAGCCGGTAGAATGCTCGGAACTGGTCTAAGGTAATTTTCATCTGCGCTACAGATGAAAAATTCACCTCAACCCAGGTTCGAACACCCGACCTCCGGATTTATAACACAATGCTCTACCACTGAGCCATAAATCCAACAATAAAATAAATTAAACAAATATAGCAAACGAGCTCCTGGGTATGGCTATAGCATGTGCAAAACCAAATTTTAAACCTGTTGTTAGTTTTGCTGTTATTTAAAGTGTATAATGTATGAAATTTCATTTGAATGCCTCCATAAATAAGCTGCGCATGCGCAAAACCAAATTTTGAAGCTGGCGTAAAATTTGGTTTTATTCCAAGTGCCTATGTATCAAATTTTATTTTATTGCCTCCATAAATAAGGAAGTTGGCACTGCGCATTCGCAAAACCAAATTTTGAAACTGGAGTTAAATTTACTTTTATTCCAAGTGGCTATGAATCAAATTTTATTTAAATACCTTCATAAATAAGAAAGTTTGCAATTCGGTCTGTAAATAGCCGAGATGCGCAAAGGGCAATGTGAATGCTGATCGATTAGGTTCAACTTTTGGAATTGTATATGGCTAAAGCTATGCGCATATTGAATTTCGTGCAATTCGGTTCATAACTAACGGAGATGTCAAAAGGGCCTACTTTATTTTTTGGGCTACATTGCCAATTCACGAACTGCGATCTACAAATTTGATAAAGAATTTCATAACTAACAATTATAGAAGCATAATATTCGAAAATCCCACTGTGACATTCTGCGCCAAAAATTGTATAACCCAAAAATGCCATCGAATTTATCAAGTAGCATGCGAACAGTGACTTCTATTTTACAAATTTCTAAATCAGGCAAACCTCTAGTCCAAAGTCCTAAAAAACAAGGCAATGTAAGAAACCAGTTAGCGATGTTGAGGGTTTCACATGATTCAACACAGTAAGTTGAATGGTTGAATGTCGATAGGCGTCTATGTCAATTGTGCAAAGATTATATTAAATTAAGCGTAGGAAAAATGAAACCCGAGGGACGCAGGTAACATACTGGTATTGATGAGAACAATATTATCTATTTATCTACCAAATTTAGAACCTTAGCTGATTATTATGGACAATGCTAGTTATCACAGTGGCCTACTGGAAAACTTGCCAAACTCTTCCTGAACTACAGCACAACTACAGGCATGACTACAGTCCACAAATGTTGAGTTTCCAAATGATGCATGAAAAGTGGAATGATTGGAGATTGAATAAAGAATGTATAACAGAACCACAAATATTTTTTATTATTGTTTCTTTAAGCCATCGATTTCGGGTTTTTTTATATACCCATCATCAGGCTATATAAAGAAATAATAATATAAAATATTAGTGGTTCTTTTATACATTCTTTATTCATAAAAGCAGAACCAGAAAATGGAGATCTTCATAAAAAATATTGGAGATTGTTGCAAGGTTTGGTTTCTTAAATTCATGTGATACTACAGTTGCCTCCCTACCATTACATTTTCAATCCCATCGAAAATATATGGAGAATTTGCAAGCTACATTATCGAGAAAGGTTATGGCAGAGAAAATTGTTTAGATATGTGGCAACGGTAACCTGCGGCTCGCAGACACTGAAGCAGTTACACCTGATATGTGAAGTTTGACCAAGAAGATGTAGCCGCACTAACAATTAATTTGGAAAGTTTCAGATGAAGACGATATTTTCTAACTGATGATTCAGATTAATGTTTTCAGGTTTATTCAGATATCAATCTCAAGATTTGAAGTTAACAAAATGGCTGGTGAACTGTGTAGGCTATGCCAGAGTTTTTGTATCGAAGAAGGCTACCCTGAGATCGCCTGGGTGTGTGCAATATATATTTTATATGTTTTCGTTTTTTCTTACGCACAAAATTATGCGTTTTGATTCAATTTCCTTTCCCACATGGGCGTCGCCAGCGAGGGGCAGTTGCCCCTCCCCCCCCTGGAAATGAAAAGTGAACACAAAAATTACAGAACCTTGCTTATAAAAACGTGTGATATTTTTAAATGGAGAGAGTTCTACTTCCTTGCCTATTATAGCTGGGGTGCCCCAAGGATCTAATCTAGGCCCATTACTATATTCGTTGTACACGTGCAACTTCAGAAATCATGTCAAGCATTGCAGGTATCACTTATATGCCGATGATACACAGTTTCAAATAGATTTTCAACCGGATAATGTGGCTTTAGCTAACAAATTAATTAATTCTGACATTGATGCTCTTGTAAATGTTTCTGAAAAGCACTGTTTAAAAATTATTGCAGAGAAATCCGTAGTCATGGTATTTGGGCAACGTAAAGCCAGAAACTTAATTAAACAGGATGTAATAAATAATAATAATAATCTTTATTCCAACCTAGATACAAAACTGAAGCTCAACAAAAAATTAAAAATTATATGTGGATGTTAAGGTGGCAGATTCGGCTCTGCTTGTGAAAGAAACTGCCAAAAATCTGGGCCTGATTTTAGATGATGGTTTGAAATTTTCCCAACATATTACTTCTTTATTACGGAAAGCGTATATAAATTTGAAACTTATTTTTAACCAAAGATACTGCCTAAGTGGGAAATTGAAAGATGTTGTTATGCGAGCCTCTAGTACTGTCGCACTTTTAATCATTGCGATACTGTGTATGGACCGTGTCTTGGTAGCTTTGATGTGAAAAGAATTCAGCGAATGCAGAACTCTTGCCTTCGGCTCATATATGGTATTAAGAAACACCATCGTATCTCTCATAAATTAATTGAATCTAAATGGCTAAATATGTATAACCGAAGAGTTCTGCATTCAGCAGTTCTATTTCACAAAATTATAACTACTAAGAAACCGAATTACCTTTTTGACAAAATTAAATCTAGATATGATATTCACAACGTAAATATTAGAAAGAAAAGTTTTATCACACCTCCAATCCATAAATCGCATTTGTTTAAAAAATCATTCTCATATAGCGTTAGTAATTTATATAACTCACTGCCTGAATGTGTAAAAACTCTTAGGACTGCCTCTTTCAGACATCGCCTTACTAAAACTATTTATGAAAATAAAAAAAAATAGTACTTAACATTTCTTTTATTTTTTGTTTTTTTGTTTTTTATTTATCTTGATATTTTTCTCCTTTTTTTAATTAACTTCCTCTCTTCTTCATCTATAAATTATTATTGCCATTTATTGCAAATGGCACGCCACTAATCAGTTAAACAACCAACTAATTCATATTAAATTAATTAATATAATTTCAATTTTGTACTTGGGACGTATTCTTTCTTTCAATAAAAATTGTTGTTAAGTATTAGGGTTAAGTGGAAGAGCAGATTATGAAACTTCCTATTCATAAATCTGAACTTCGCCCTATTGAAGGTGACTCTGACGTTAGTTTTTCATTTCCTATTTAATAGTCATGAATTCTGTTTATTAGTATGTACAGTGTTATCCTTCAATAAATGACCATTATTATTATTACTTACCACGGTCGACGTTTACATGTGCAATTTATATGATTTTATCTAAAATCCCATTTATAACCTTCCTAACATTTCGAGTGAAATAGAGCTTTGGCGAAATCTATGGGCGAATAAAACGATCGACGAGTTGACAGTGGTGGATGTTTTAAAAGAGGCAGACGAGTTCTTTCCGCAAATTAAAACAGCTCTGCAGATTTTAGTTTGTCTGCCGTGCACAACATGTATGGTGCAGCGGTCATTTAGTGGACTAAGGAGGATAAAGACGTGGCTAAGAAGTACCATGGGACAAGCCCGTGTTGATGGTTTGGCTATGATGAGTGTTCATCGTGATATGATTTTCAAAAATCAAGATTATTATATAAACCAAACTGTAGAAATTTTTGCAAGCAATCCACGTCGAATGTGTTTGCGATAATTTCGTATTATTTTTATATGTATTTGTATACATAAGTCCGTTTGTGAAAATACATTTACGTTATAGAATTTATATATATATATTATAAATATATGTTCCCAAATTGCCCCTTTAAAACCTCATTAAAAATCTCACGCTGCCCCCCCCCCTGGAAAATTTCCTAGCGACACCCCTGCTTTCCCATTTGTGTATAAGGACCGCCAGTCTTAACACCGACTACTCTACAGGGTGAACATTTTGTCTGGAACAGTAAATACGTATCTTCAAAATAAAATTATAAAAAATTTGCTGCCAACCTACATATTATTTAGATTGGTGATCAGTGGTGTACTTTTGCATGGTCAAGGGGGCCATATTTTTTTAAATGGCAACTACTAGTTTTCATTAAATATTATTAAAGAGTACAATGTTTTGATAATTTTGGATACCATAACAAGTTAAAAATAAACCTTGTTTTGAGGATATATCCAGTGCTCCAGACAAAATGTTTACCTTGCATATTTTGTGGCGCTACGAGATGATTTTACTCCGTTCAAAACATACAGTGCATACCGAGTGTAGGAGGAGTAGTTCCATAAAAAAATTTTGCACTTAAAACGCCTCCGACTCATTCTCTGAAAAGGAATACAAAGTACCTACCTGCCTAATAGTATGTTACTTCCTTCCCAATGAGTTAATGACACCCATTTGCAATTTATTACTGCTCTTTAGTAACTTCCCATCAATGATTAGTAATAATACTAAATTTTGTTCTATTCTGCTTTAACAAGCACAGGTACCTACCTATAGTTTTGCCATTTTTTTAATTCGAATGACATGGGATTTTTACTGCCTGTTAAAACATTTTTCCAACTTATTGAAAATGAACATGCCGTCAAATCTATCAAAAGGAGACTATATTTAATTTCATTTTGAATTCTGACACTACCCCCTTAAAAAATGTCTTTTGACACATCACAACTAATCTGCCTTTGCAACAACACATACATATTCACACCTTAATGAAGCACGCATTCGTCATAAAATACTTACGCAAGGCCAGACATGAAGGACATCTGCGAATTAATTCCCATTAATTCGGATAAGTACGAGATATTATTTGGGTTGTTGAAACCAACACTCTTCTCCAAAACGGCATCGTAACTTTCGCCTTTGTGTTCCAATGCTTTTCTGAAAGTACAATTAAATATTGACCAAACTGTACAACGATGAAACGCAACAATTAATAGAATACCAAACTTCCTCTTCAAAAACACTTTAATAATACCTGTAACTTTTATCGTTTATAGTTTGTGAATCTGGACATTCTTCTAAATGTCTTATTTCGTGTACATACTGTTCTTCATTTTGCATTTTTCTTCTCGCATAGTAACTCAAAAAATTGAAAGCTTAAGCCAGACTCACAAACCGACGTGATCTTTATAAAATCCCTGGAAAAATACAATACGTACCCTCGTTTATAAACGTTCGGACCGGCAATCCAAAGCTTAGCGGTTCCTGTCTTATTATTTACATAAAAACAAATTTTTCCATTGAATGGGTTAAAACTTTACGAGTTTTTTTAGATGTAGAGCACCACAGAGTTCCACATGATAACGTATATATATCGGGATTCTTTACAACATTTTGTGTGTATTTGAGGGTGGTTACTGCAGAAAATATCGTATAAAAAAATCTTTGCTAAAAATTTAGGTACAGTTGAATGAACAATACTTTGCAATTTCTTTTAATATCCTGACTCTTGTCTTATGTAAAAATAAATCTCACCTGTTACGTAGCAAAACCAACCCGTCTAAACATGAATTGTGCGTTGCTGTTTTGTTTAATAATGAAACCACAAAGTGCTTTTTTTTAAAAACACATACAATTTGCACGGTAAGGTTGGATTTAATTATTTATTTATCCGTAACATAAATAGAATTCCTTTATGCAGGAACCTATAATTAAATAAAAGTTCACTTTTCTGCAAAATCTAGGAGCAAGAAGTCATAAGAAAATTTGTCGAAGTAAATATAATGCAAAAGAGCATTGACCATATTAGATACCCCAATCCTGAAATAAGTCACTTTTGCTCTTCTTTGCCACTTCTCTTCTAGTTTTCCAAGTGCAACACATCAAAGGAGGCAAAATTTCCTCGATCCCAAACCTGATATGGAAACTGTTCGCTATCTCAATCTCTGGTGAGGTATCCAATGTGGTCTATGTATCAATGCACAATGCCTACTTGTGCGGCATTAGAAAATCCGAAACTTAAAAGGTACAACTGCCCACGTAATAGAAAGCTACAAACCAAGTAAAACGTGTATACTCACTTGTAAACGAGGGGAAAATCATCCGCACCAATAAGACCAAGTGCAGGACGATGCTCGGGATCGTTCGGTTGTCGTGTGGTTCCCTTCATTCCACACACCATTTTATCAGTATCGGGAATAACCTCTAACACCTCGCAACACACCGAATCATTCATCATGTAACTGCGAGTTACGCCTTTGCGATCAACGGCTGGGATAACGTTCGCAACCGGGCAGAAGGCCTACGAGAAATGAAATCCTTGGTAAAGAGATGTTTACTTCCGGACATGCAGGCGCGTGATCTAACTTCAATGCATGTTATTTGAACCAATTAGGTCCATATTTCTGTGCTTGAACTAGCCAGTAAAAAATGTTCTGCGGTTAGCACAGATACCACCAACACACCTGCGCATACGCAATTATACCCAAAAGCTTCTCTAAGAATATGTGTACCAAAATGGGTTCCAATCAGAAATAGGAGTAGGCAGACTAACAGACATCATAGAGATTTTGTTTGATTCAGACTCCTGGTGCTTTAAAATGTGTATTTTTGTCATTTTTTACCACAATGCAATACCTCCCTTACTAACATGCAGGTAAACTATTGGAGCGTCTAATGTCTTTATGACATTTACCCAGCATTTAGAAATAGGATTGTATTCCTGATTCCGTGTTGCCTATTTCATTGATCCACGGACCTCTTAAAAAAAAATGGACTACCAATCACCCTATGATGTATCATAAAAATGTCCAACACATGTTAGCCACCATCACGTGCTTTTTTAAGTTGGCAGTGACAGATTCTAATTAGATTTATGTTGGTAAACTTGCTATACTAACCAAATTTATCTACCTACTTAAAATTGTTTTTTAGGGAATTACAGAACCTTCTGAATATGGACCAGCAGTATTTCATACAATTAAATTTACGGCACATGCCTTATGCCTTAATTGCAGGCTTTATTTAAATACATAGCCCAACTTTTTTTTAGCGGTAATTTAATGGTATGCAAATTCTAAATACTTACCAAATTTTGGCTCAATACCATTACAACTGCGACCTTTATCAAGGTGACCAGAAAGCATTATACCCATGTGGGCAGTTTCTTTGAGTTCAAGATAGTAAATGAAAAATATTTTGCACAGCAGGTCTGGCCCTTAAAATGGTGGAGCTTATTTGTCAATACATAAGTTAATTTTCGTAAACAAAATAATAAGCAACAATAAATGTGCACAAATGATGTTACAGTATTTTTATCATTATTTTTATTAATTTCACTTTGTAAATAAACTGCTGAAAAAATCGACATCTGACAGCAATCTTTTGTTTCCAAAGCACTCTCAAAACAATTGAATGATTTTACTTTAATAGAAACAGAGTAGAATTTTAATGTGTCTTTCCATCATTTTAATCAGGAAAAAATCTTCTATTGACAAACCTCGAAAACCTAAATACATGTTACTTACAAAGGTCAAGAAGGACCCACAGCGAGTCCTCCACATTCATACTTTAAACGCAGTTTTTAGAGAGCATTTTCTATAGAGAAGTATCTCAAAAGATCTAACTGGTCTAGCAAGTTCATGGAATAAGTTATCAAAGTCCTAGAAAACCCTGAAAGACATGGGGAAAGGTCACTTGATCCAGGAAAGCACCTGGAATCTTCAGTGTTTTAATTGTCCCTTTCCAAAACCAACAAAGAAGTTATTTCCATTTTATTTCAACATTCTGCTGTTTGAATCTTTTCAATATTGAATTAAAATGCATCGAAGTTAGTAATACACGCATAAATAGGCCTGAATTTCCATTTAATTGCTTGTAATTCTCGACACTCACCTTCACATTAATGTCGGCAACATAATGCACAGACGCATCCATTCCGACTGTACACAAGACTTTCAACATCATTCCCGACTGAGTCTTGCTGACGATCGTACCCAAAATCAAACTACCAATTCGTACCGTCTAAAACACAAGTAAAAATCCCGCATAAATCTCGGCTAAAACCTACCTCAAAGAAGTATTTCAATCGGCTAGGCTTGTCGACGTTAATGTACGTCTCGAAAGGGGGCATAATCGCGTGCATGTCTTCGGTTACCGGATTCGGTTCCGCCGTGTTACGATGTAGTAAATCTGGCGCGTATAGCTGGTTCGCCTTCTTAACGATAAATTGTTGCAACTTTAACCGTTTTCCGCGATCTTGGAAAGATAGATACTTCTGCCTCTGACCGTAAATTTGGAAATTAAGGTCCTTAATGTTGTGTTTAATTAAATCTTGCTCTCCGCGCTCTGCTTCCCAAACCTTTTGTAACTGCTGTCCATGAAAGTTTAAAGTTTGTGTTAGAAGGTCCACATGTAATGGATCCATTCTGGACCACTCCTGGAAGTATTTTCCTGGATTAGGAAAAATTGCGTTTATAGCACAAAATGGCGACTGTGGGAAGCCGACAATGGCGTGGTTTTAAGATAATGAAATTTTTGCCATCTGTGTTGCATTTACATAGAAAACGTTTACAATTAATAGAAATTACTTACAAAACTTGAATGGCGTTTGATTACTCAGCACATTTAATTATTTATTTATTTATAAACGAATAAACAAGCGACAGCAAACCACAAACAGCTTACTTTGCAATATGATTCATACAACGGGCACGCATGCGCTGCTGTCGTTCGTACCAGTAGTACCAACAAAAAAATGTATATAGGGTGATTCACAAAGTGATTGTGATAGGCCACCAATCTTGCAGCCTTTCCAGGGGCAAAATCCTGGTTTCAAGACAAGCCCGGCCTCGCATTTGGTATCGATGGGGCACTACAGCGGCAAAACTTTTAAGCGCAGGCGGGGGTCTCGCTCGTCACGATTGTGATGAAAGCAAGAATTAAACCTGGCGGTGCTACGGATGGGATAGCTGCGAGAGGGCTACACCTCTAAATAGCGTCTGAATTAGTACCGGCGCCCTCGGAAGTCGAGAAAGATGTCGACGAGCTTTTGGCTCGTGTGGCGATTCTTGGTTTCGACCAGGAGCCGGAACCGTCGCCAGCATAAGGAGTGGGAGGAATCAAAGTGAAAGACGAGGTAATTACAGAGCAATTTGCAGCACAGTAAGAGAGTGACCTGTTTAATAGGCCGTCAACTTGCTACAAAGCAGACAGGCGTATGCCTCATACCAGAACCTTGGGTTTATAAGGGACGCGGATAACTCTCTTTATTATAAAAGAGAGAGAGAGAGAGTCAACTGAACCCTAGGACTTGCATTTAAGTCGATAGATCAATCGAGTCTTATCTAATGACTGATGTCTAGTTCCGTCGGGATCTCGTAACTCTGAGACTTCAGCTCAAAGATGGTACAGGACGGAAGAATCGGAAGAAGTTTCTTCTACCAGAGAGCTGGCTCAGTTTATAGTAGAGTTACTGTCGAAATGGTGAGCTCCCTCTTGTTGTTGACTGTGATGCAAACAGACACGAATTCGAGGGGCTACCACCTTCTGAAGCACTTACAAACAACTGGATGTTGCCCAAACCTTTGTCACAGCAAAGGTGCAGGAGGTAATTCTTGGATCCTCTGTGGGTTTCGGAAATCCCGATCAACTGACTGGGATTGCTATCTGGCGAAAAAGCGATTGGATGAGGCGGTCGCATTAGTAAGTGCCATAACAGCGTCATATGAAGACAGCGGTAAACTGCGGATCTTTCGAGGAACGTAAGAGAACACATTGGTAGAACTCAACCCTTGAAAATGTTCGTAAGGAGGATCGCACCGTTTGTCGTAGTTCTCAATGCGATCTAAGATCTGAGATGTGCGGTCAACACGTTCGGAGAAGTCTGATCGAAAAAGTACGAATTGTTTTGGGTTCTACGCACCAAAATTAATAAGAAAAAGTGTTTTCCCCAGAAATTTTGGTGTAGTCGATTTTTGGTAAAAAAGGAAGGTTGTACACTGCCTTTTTTTGAGCCCCGAAAAAAAATTGTCTCAGATCGACTCGGAAAAAAAAATTTTCTTATAGAATGTGGCCTGTAGAATCCATAATTTCAAACAGTTCCAAGATTGGGCTACTAGTTCAAAAGTTACAGCCCTTTGAATTTTTTTCTAGTCTATCACTTTTGATTGAGAAGTCTGATCGAAAAAGTACAAATTGATTTGGATTCCCCGCACCCAAATTAATAAGAAAAAGTGTTTTGCCGAGAATTTTTGGTGTAGTCGATTTTTGGTAAAAACGGAAGGTAATACACTGCCTTTTTTTGAGCCCCGAAGAAAAAATTGTCTCAGATCGACCCGGAAAAAAATTTTCTTATAGAATGTGGCCTGTAGAATCCATAATTTCAAACAGTTCCAAGATTGGGCTACTAGTTCAAAAGTTACAGCCCTTTGAATTTTTTTCTAGTCTATCACTTTTGATTGAGAAGTCTGATCGAAAAAGTACAAATTGATTTGGATTCTACGCACCCAAATTAATAAGAAAAAGTGTTTTCCCGAGAATGTTTGGTGTAGTCGATTTTTGGTAAAAAAGGAAGGTAATACACTGCCTTTTTTTGAGCCCTGAAAAAAAATGGTCTCAGATCGACCCGGAAAAAAATTTTTTTATAGAATGTGGCCTGTCGAATCCATAATTTCAAACAGTTCCAAGATTGGGCTACTAGTTCAACAGTTACAGCCCTTTGAATTTTCTTCCGAAATTGGTTTCTAGTCCGGGACGGGATATTACCTCGGATATTACCGGCTCTTCTGCAGAGGGGCTTGAATCCGCTACTCTTACATTTGTTGCACCTCTTTAGAGTCCCCTTGGTTTTAGGGTAAATCACCGAAAGCTGGAGAAAAGTAACAGTTGTGTACATGACATGGCCGAAGGATTACAGGCCCATCAAACTATCATCGCTTCTTCTAAAAATGGCGGGGAAGCTGGTGGATGTATACATAAGGAATGGGGTACTAGTCCTTAGATCACTACATCCATTCCAACATGCTTCCAGGGCTGGTATGTCCACGAAGACGGCTTTTCATAGCTTTGTGTGCAGGCTGAAGAGGTGAATGTATCCTGGGGGTAGCCCTCAGGGCGTTTGTAGATATCGAGAATGCGTTTAACACCACGTTCTATTCTACTCGTATTAGTGAGGCAGAGGCCGCTGAAGGGTTTGACATTGGGACCGACAACAAAATCGAAATTCCAACCTTTTAGAGACAAATTACCTGTTCAAATTGTTTTCGTCAAGATTTCCAATTTTTAATTAATCTGCAATATTAAATCGGAAGGAATTGTCGAAAAATATCAACCACATCCCGGACTTTTCGTTAGTTCTTGTTTAATAAAGCATTCCTACTACAACGGAAGTTCCAATCGAAATCCCAGTACAAACAATTTATTAGTATTATCATTGAATAATATTATTATTCAATGGTATTATCAATTTCAACATCAAATAAATCTTGCACCAAATCCAAATCGTTTAGAAATGCTTAGAAATGCTCTAAAACGGATCATTTAAATTCACAAGAGAAATCATCCTTAGTGGAAATTTGCGAAAACTAGCGATTTGTTTTATTTACCAGGCGATACCTTCTTTCATACAACAACAGCTACCCATGAACTACCCCTTACAAGAAACGTCCCCCCAATTCACATAAAACCGTATCGACTTCCTGAAGCGCAAAAAAAGACATTAATTAATGTTTTTGCATTTTTAAGGAATAACGAGAATTTTTTTGATATTTTAGGATACTTTTCTTGGCGAGCTCTATTACAGTATTACCTACTAACATTACGAAAAAAAAAGTTATTGAAGAAGAAACCTAAACTACAACCATCAGATATCAAATTTGTTCAGTTGTATACGGGGTATGAATTTTGCTCAAGAATAAAAATACCTTTATTTGTTATTAAAAAATTGTTTACAAGAAAATTTATTGTAATATATGTAAACTAATATCCAATGAACAGTTAACTCTTTTGTTAATTATCAAAAACTTGATAACCTTTGTTTCCCAACTTATGTGTTGCAGCACTTTGATGACATTCTAAAATAATTGGTACACATAAGTGAAAAAAATTGATATCTGATGGTTGCATTATTTTTAGCTATAACTTTTATTAATAAAATAGTTTCCCATATGCTGGCGAAAATAGACTAAAACCATTCTCAGTAGAACTCAATTCGAAATCTATACATTTTCAAAATCTATCATCTTCGTAATAATAACATTGCTGTTTTGTGTTAATTTCCTGTAAGTTATTCTGCCCTAGAAAAATTAAACAAATTAAAAACGTGGTCACTTGCGACCGACTACCCTAATTTTTTAATGTACAATCCATTGAAAAAGAGAAAACCTTCTTGCTTTCTGGACACCCACCTTAGCGTTGTCTAGTAAATTGTCGCAAGGAGCCTTGTAGACTAAAGTTTTGCACGCATTTCCAACCAGTGGTTGTAGAAATGGTCCACTTTTCAATAGAGAAATTTAGAATGATCACTAGAGCACAGGGTCTAGCTAGTTGTTATAGAATTTAAGGTCTTTTAGTCCCGTTATGAATTTAGAGAGAATCCAACATTTAGGACCTCTGTGGTTCTATTTTCCTTCGAATAACAACAGTTACTTCCACAGTTGAAACTGCAAGGGCCCAAAGCCCCAAAATAGTAACCCACACGACTCGATGTTCCGATTCACCCGCCACCCAATATGTGGGCTCAGGAGACGTTTTGTTAGTAAAAAAGAAATCGTTTTTACAACAAAATCTGTTTGGAAATAACCACGTTACCGTAATAACATAAAATCTATATGGAAATTTGACAAATTTGGCTGTTTGCCACTGTTTCCGCTGTGGTTAAGTACCTACCTACTTTTGGTAACGCCTAGTAATTAGAGTGGACGTGGCCGCAAAAAAATGGCACAATTATTCCAGGTCAATTAGTCAATTTCCTTTTACCTACCCCTACAGTAATTTAAAGTAGGAAATAATGGACGAGAGATACCTCAAACTAGTATATAATTTATGTTCACTATAGCAAATTATAGCACTTTCTGAGTAACAGCTTGCTAATTCCTTATAAATTTGCATTTCCCCCTCGGTCCAAAATAGATTAAATGTTTTTTTATAAGTACCTAGTACTCAAGCAAATGCGTTCTACAAAACTATTACATATGGAAATTTATATCTGCGGTTTCGTACCATGGCAAGGATAACTGCTAACCTTTGTATTTATACGTGCCTACTGAAAATCTAATTCATCTCAAATTATAAAATTACTAAGCGTGACACATTATTGAAATCAACAATTTCCCCAAGCTATTATTGATAATTATTTGGGCCAAGCACTAGGAAGTTAATAAAGTGACCCCCTTCATGTTCTCTTCAAATGAGTTAAGTGTTAATAACTTTTTTCTAGCAACTTAGGTACCCTTGGCAATTGACGTAGAATTATTGTGGTGCAGAATCAAAAAAGGTATTTTCTTCATTTAGGTATTTCTTTCCGAAAAATACGTTCATAGCCATTGTCAGGGGTTTCCCTCGGAGTTAGCAGATTAAAAACAATATTCATCCCTCTATACGGGGTGTAACATAGACGTCAAAAGAAAATTGGGTAGATAGACAGTTTTTCCAAAGGTGCAAAGTATTTGCTTGGGAACCAAAAGGAGCGACAGGGCGCGAGCCATTAGTGCGTCGGTGGACGATTTTGAGTAAATGTTTTGCAATCTGAATTGGTGTTTATAATTTTTAACAACCTAGAATATCGAAAATCACTGTGAATTATTAGAAATTGTTGACTTACAAAAAAATATGTAAAAGATGAAAATCAAGCTGCCTTTGAGGAAAATCTTGAAAATTGATGGAGTGATTTATTTTATAACAAAAGTGCCATATTCAATTTTTAATGGATATCTCCTTTTCGAAAAAATGACGAATTGCGGGTAAACGAGTGATTTTAGATGTTACGTGTAAAACGAGCGATCAAAAATTAGTTGCTGTCGAGTCGCCTTAGGAAGTTCGATTTCCCATGTAAACCAAAAAGGTGACTCGACAGCAACTCATTTTTGATCCCATAGTAGGTACATAAAATCATAATAAAATTGAGCAAGGAGTCGAAATATTCCTGGAGAGGCTTCCAGTTAAGAAAATGCAATTCTGATATAAATCCCCCTTTATAACAATTGCAATTTCGTTGAAAATATTTTTAGGTTGTAGCCTCGAGAGTCCTTCAACATACCCCGACAATGAATTTTAAATATCTGCATTAATAAACTCAAAATCCTTCACCCACGCCCTAATAACCCACCCTGAGTAACACAGAATCACATCTACGAAATTTGGCACCTGAGACCAAAAACGAACTTATTCAATTACCTCAACTAAAGAAATCGTAGATGTCCTTTTTTATTTCTATGAAAAGTCCTTCACTGTACCTCTACACAGGGAGGCCTGCTTAAATGGTTGTGCTGGGACTGGTGAGATCGCTTCGTCCTTTTCGTTTTACAGTTAACCAATAATGTAAAGAGCTATATCCGAATCATCATTTTGGTTGGTAATCTCTTCGTACTTATCATTGGTTTCCATAGAAATTAAATGGTTGATAACATAAAAAATCGACGGTAGTTACACTGATTAGTTGATTTGACATTCATAATCATCATCATTGCATTACAATTGCTGCAAGATACGATTGTCTACCTACCTATTGTACTTCAGTTCTTCAGGCATCAATTGTTAACTTTTTCTTAATTCTGTTGATCATTCAGTGCATATGTGCCAAAATGGTTTGTGTAAATATCCCTCGTCTGAAAGTTGATAAAGTGACGAGAAGAGGTGAGAAGATTTTCTTCTGGAAATTGCAAGATAGTATTCTGTCAGGGGAATCCTGTCGGGACGAACCGGTCACGTCACAAAGATCAAAGTCGATGTGACTGTTTATTCCACTCGAGACATTCGTTTAATTTATTTGCTTATCATCAACCTGGAAGAATTATAGATATTTTCCACGAGCACGTCCCATTATCAAATCTATCCATAGGTCCCCACGGATCAAGTCCTATCTCTTAAAAGTTTCATTAAAACCAAGAGCACCTCCACCAACATGATAAAAAGGTCATAAAACTGAACTGCATCTGCCGATGGACCACATCACAAATAAGTACGATAAGAGCTTTGTTGATTATTTTTTTCAAGTATTGCATAATATGTGGTGTCGAGAAAAGCAAAAAAATAGTACTATCATTATTTTGCACTGGAAATTACCTAAGAGTAGTCCATCAGAGACACAAACAATTTTCATTAAGTTAGATAAGGAAAACTATTTTCGAGATTTATCTCCTCTTCTAAGTAACAAAGTTGGCGCATATCGTTTGGGAGATCATAGGTTGGGAAACTCCCTAATCATAAAATGGATTGAATACTATGAGACTGGTTAGTGGTGAAACAACCGACCTCCAATATGGTGAAGCATAAAGTAGCGCTGTGTTTTGGTGAGTAGTTCTTCTTTTTGAACTTAGTTTGCAAAGATTGTCAGGAACCAACTTTAAGTTGCATTTCCCAACAAATTTAATGTTTTTTTGCTGCGTATTGGTATGCAGCTAAAAATCTTGATCGGAAGAGATTTGATAAAATTAAATTGTGACTATTAAATTGAGACGAGCTTTGCCAATTTTTTTAATGAGCATATTCTCTAATATTATGCTTCTTTTATTAGTGCGTATTATTGTCACGTAAAGCTACGAATCGTAAATTAAAAATTTGCGAGTTCAAGGTTCGAGAAAAAAATAAACCTGAAGTACGTCTTTTCGATCTCGTTTGACTGCAAAGATTACTGACCTGGTCACATTTCAAACCGCAGCATGAAGATTTCCCATGGTTGACTTTCTGCTTCTTTACCCTTCAATTTGGTCAATATGTAAACCCTAATCGTATCTTCCTAAATAAAACAATAAGTATGTTAATTTAGGTCCATAAGTTTTCTGTATAATTCAAAACGGAAATACCCACGCGTTCGTTAATTACCTATAGGTACCTATAAAGAATCAGGTTTTTACAAGAAGAAATTTGCGTAAATCTCCTTGAAAATCCAAAGTGATGTGGAATTTTCGCATTTTTGCTTAACTGTAACCAAATTTCCTGTCTATACCTATAATTATTATTTAAACTGCTTTCAATCTATTTTTAATAATTCCATTACGATAAATAAAACATCTCACTTTTTAACGACTACTATATTGGTAACATTCTTAGGTGCAATCTGATTCCCTGCAATCCAATAAATCCAAAACTAAGATCAAAATTTGTAATTTTAAAAAGAAAATTACGTTCAAACTTTATCAAACTCCCTGAGTGCCATATGAGACGGGTTTCTCATGTTTATTCCAAGTTTTTAGAGTTCGACTAAGCGTAACGTGAATAAAGGACGACTTAAAGTTTTTTTTACATTTGCGCATGAGTCGAAAAATCCGTTTCTTAGTGCGTGCAATTTGCAGTAGAAGCCTGGAAACGATAACTCAATATTACCATTATTGGTTGTGATTTTAAAGAATCGACTGTAACCTCATTTAATCGTCAATTTCGTTGCGAAAATGACAAAAAGCGTTGTAGGGATACATTGGAAACAATTTTTTTAGTAGATTCATTTATTTAGTAATTGGAACGTTAATTAATTAGCCAAACGCATTGGAACTGTAGGTATTTTAAGTTCTTGGGTTCAATGACGTGTGGCTGGGCCAAAAATTTTCGTGGGGGCGCAATAACTTCATCCTTTTCAGAAATGTCATTAACAAAATGACAAGCCCAGGGGCTAACTAAATTTAGTTATTTGCAAGTTATGCAAAAGTCATTATGCATTAAGTGAACGATCCTCCGATTGTGGTCTTCATGTTGAATAAATGCGGCAATTAAAAGTGTATTCAAAATTTACTTTCTTCGCTGCCTTTTTCGTGCAGAAAGCCATTGCCCGTTGAGAAATACGTCGAGGTTCAACCCATGTAATTTCCTCATTCGCCTGCCAAACCTTATAAACAGTTTCTCCCTTTGGTTTCCTGCAGTACGAAAATAACGACCACATTCAGTTTGATGGTAACCCTGCAAATAATTTAATACCAAGGCGCTGCCTTTATTTTTAGAAAATCGCAGTATCGGCCCCTTCCTATAAAAATACGTTTATAATCAAATCCAATTGTTTATGTATTATGTATATTATACAGGGTGTCCAGTATATATGGAATATAGTATAGGTAATAGGTATGTCTCGGTAAATAACGACAGTAGGTTAATAAGATTTTTCTACTTATATACCTAATAGTTTTCAGTTGTTTTTAATTCAACAAACAAATGAGTAACGAAAAACAATCGAGTTTTTTCAATAGCACTGTCACCTTTCATTGGGCTCGTTTGATACAGATTTTTTTTTCTCTTTTCGATGATGTAACATGTTATTACCCTTATAAAAAAATTTTCAAAAGCTTAATAAAGTATTGACATCAATAAAATTAATCGGGAAATCCCTCGGGAAATCCTACATCAAAATAAAACAAATCAACATGTACATTTCAGGTATAGCTTGCTATTTTCAAAAATTCAATTGGTTTTTGTTATTCATTTGTTTTCCGAAATAAAAACAACTGAATGCTGGCAATTGAATAAGTAATTATTTACTTATTCAATGATGCTGCCTTATTATGGAAACTAAAAAGTTAAAACAACTCTTATATAGTAAGATTTTAATATAATAATAATAAATCGTCTTTATTCTCCATACATAATAGGCACCCTGTATTTAACATCACCAAAATGCGTGGATTAAGAAAATATATTAAATGCCCAAGTAAGGTGCTTTTCACCTCTGTCATTAGAAATTATGCTATTCTCCATACTTTTAACTCTGATACGAAACAAAAACTATTTTTCAAATTGAGGACATCATTTTGTGCAAATACAATAGCATCGAACGATGAATTAACAGCTGTCCCTTTGTTTTAGTGTTAGCGGCACTATCTGCAGCAAGTGCCTTTCACGACCTCGTTCCCGAGGGAAAAGAGGTGGTATATAACTACAGAGGGTCAATTCGGGCGGGTACAAAAATACCAAAGCGATATGCATCGGAATTGTTCGTTGATGCCAAATTACACCTACAGTCCGATGGTCGTGAGGTGGTCGGTCAATTTTCCGACGTTACCTATAAATTGTACAACGGCGAACGTTACTATGGATATCAAGATGTGGAGTGCACAAAGGAAATTCCACTTCCCCCAGAAGTTCATGAACTGTTGAACGCCTTCAAGATGACTTATCACGGAAATGGGCAAGTCAAAAGCATAGCTATGGAAAGAGGCCAAAAGGAATACGTAAGCAATATGCATCGTGCAATTGGTACTCTACTACAATTAGACTTCCATAAAATCCACCATACCTCCGAAGATGCACCATTTGCCTTTACCACCAGCGAGCAAAACTTGTACGGCAAAAGTCTTACTCAATATAACGTACGTAAAAGTGATAACATAACCATTGTCGAAAAGAAACACGATATGGAATCCACTGAGCTGATTTACTCACAACACCGAACAAATCTTGAACACGACTTTTGCGAGTCACACTTCGATCAACCTCTCTTCCATGACGCCCAGCAGGTATACAAACTAGGAAAGGTTGGGGAACATGTTATCGCGAAACACATCCAATCGACCGGTTCGTTCCGCCATCACAATTTCCGTGGAAAGTCGGACGATCACTACGTTTCTGTTAAAGTCGACCTTCACTTACACGATATTGTACCGGTGGAAATCGTACGCAGCTGCAAGTCAGAACAGGTTGACTATGATATGCATTACCGAGTATACGATCCCTCTAACACTAAATTCTTTGATTTGACAAACGGGCGTCACGTTGAAGACTGCGACAAGCAAATTCCCGAAGTTGTGGAAAAGTTGAGACAAATGGGACAGTTCCTCCACGATCCCATTCACGAAAAAGATGCGTCCACGCCAGCTGTAATAGCCACGCTAGAATATTTCGATACAGAGGCCCTCGAAAAATTGTACAATGTTTTGAGCGAGAAGACCACCGAACCCGAAGTTGTTCAGCGAAAAATTTTCCACCAACTTTTGCCTCAAGTTGGCACGTATTACTCAACAATGCTCACTAAAAAGTTGGTAATGGAAAAGAAAGTTGAAGACTACGAAGCGTTGGATATGTTAGGCATGCTTCCCGACTTCATTCGTTTACCCAACGAAAAGTTGATGGTAGAAATGGAAGACTTGTTAACTTGCGACCACGAGAACGAGCTAGTTCGAAGAGCGGCTGTTTTGTGCTTCTCTTCCATTGTTAGGAAGGCATACAAAGAACACGTATCCACCCGCGTCCACGACGATAAACCAAGCACATCTCATGCTTACGAACATCTCAAGTATCACACAGATGGCCACTCCGTGTACAATTCGTTCTCAAGCGCGTTTAACTTGCTCAAGAAGAAGCAGAATTACTTCGAAAAGTTTACGAAGAAAATATTCGATAAACTGGAAACGGACGATGTATCCACACAATTACTCTACATGCAAGCACTCTTTAACTCGAAATTGCCGTACATCACCGAACACATTAAACCTTACGTAACCGGAGAGAAATGTTCCCACGTTTCCGTACGACAATGGGCTTTATTCACCGCAGTCCAAGTATCCGGTGGAAACTCCGACTACATCTTCGACCTCCTATGGCCAGTATTCTCAAACCCTAACGAAGTTGAACATCTAAAAATAGTCGCATATTTCCTCTTAATGGAAGCCCATCCTACTCACACGCGCTTGTTAAACATTAAGGAGCACTTAATTAAATGCCGGGATACCGAGCTGTATAATTTCCATTACACCTTCGTAAAAGCAATGTCGCAAACTACGGACTCTTGCCATAAGGTCACCCAATTATATCTGAGACAAGTTTTTAAGAACATGCCACCACCGACAATTCAAGGTAGATCGTTCTACAACCAAATGGATTACTGGAACCCGAAGTTCGAATTCGGCGAAGAAATCAGCTTCGCGTTAAGTTCAAGTAGATTTTCAAGAACGTTCAGGGTAGAATTTGCGACACAAACGGCCAATAAGAGGTATTCGACTAATGAGTACGTGTTTAGAATTACTGGCCTGGATGAAAGCATTTTGGATGTCGTGACTTTGAGCTTGAAAAGCGAAACATCTCTGTTTACCGTTGATAACCTGATGAAGGTTTGGAAATCTATTCCGGACATGAAAGATGTTGAGGTTAACTTCGAAGTACTCACAAACAGTCGTATTGTCCACAGTGTTTATTATAAGGGTCATGATGTCGTGAAAGTATTGGATTTCGTAAAATACCTGACCTGCCACGATGAAGTTCAAAATATTGTCCAAGTTCAGTTTAAGGAGCAATCAGTGCTTCCTTTCCCAACAGAAATGGGTTTACCCGTTGTCCATGAAGTATTTTGGCCGTCAATCAGGCGTTACCACCTCAATGTCAAAAAAGTAGTTACTGAAGCTGGTGTAACATACCACATTGATAACCGCTATTATATGTCTCAACGCCATCGCTATGGATTAACCTTCTATAATCCTCTCGGCGACATGTGGCACGGAATTGGTAAATTCCACAGCTACGAGTTCCAGCTGCCCGTCTTTGCTGATGTCTTTGTCAACCACAAGCAAGGAAATATGAAGGTGTCGCTTAAATGGCACGATAAGGACTACAAAGATTCCATCATGTTTAAGGTGCTTGCGTCTCGCCAAGTTTTTGTTAAAGGCGATGACACCAATCAATTAGAGATATCGTGCCCGAAATGCTCGAAATGGGTATCAGCACTGCGCGCTCCCATTGAACATGGTCAGGTAAGTCAATCGTCAGTCCTATACAAAAGCTCGAAAGGTAATAGTTATCTATTCTATTTTCAGCATATGAAACGTCATTATGAACTGGAATTCGGCCGACAAGTTGATATCACATACGCAAGCGACCGATACGACACAACGCTATTTGAGGAATGGCACAAAATTTTACTCAGAATTCACGAACACAAGAACTACGATCATATTTTAGAATACTTTGTGCTCGCTATGAAGGATTGGATGTATCAGATACTGTCACAGCCAAGTCCAGTAACTACTAACTTCACAATGATGATTACACCTACTGAAGATTGCAAAGACACCCATACCGACGTCTCTTTGCGGCATAAAGAAATAATCACTCAAGAAAAAGATCAATTCCTACCAGGTATTAAGCACAACTTCCGTGCGTCAGCAACCATGAAACGTAAAGACAAGGTAATCCGCACTTGGGACACCCACTACAACATGGAGCTCAATTGCGGCCAAACCTTCAGAAGAACCACATTCACTTTAACGCGTATTATTCCATCAGAAAAAGATTTCCAAATATCTTTAGATGATACAAAGGAATGGACCTTCACTGGTATGTCTGGTAACACAACAATTTCTATTGAAAATTATCACGACATCGACCAAGACTTGATCGAGGTGAGCTACGAGGGTAGGCAGCTCGAAGAACAGTTCTCCGACTATCACACTTATTACGATTGCGCCCCTTACATCGGTTTGACGCACATGGACTTTTACTCAAGAAAATGTTTAGCCGCTCATACATCGCTGAGGGAGTACATTTACAAAATTCACGTTACAAAATGGCACGACCTTGCCAAAACCCTATATGACGAGGTAAAAAGAATATTCAAAGACCGCTACATCACACGCCAAGAATGTGACATCACCCTTGAAGGAAACGAAGCGTACGTCGCGTTGAAATATCCCGCCACTAGCGAAACGATGAACGCCATGATCATCACCCCTCATGACACGCATTACTTCTCAGGGCTTTCAACCACCACAACAATGCTGGCGATGCGCCCTGATAACACCCATCATTCCTTCATTCATCAATACATGCACGAGAACCTGCTAATGAAGACTTGCGTTGTTAACGTTCACACAATCAGGCCCGGATTTTACGACAAAGGGCACGTTGTGCCCTCAAATCTTGATGATAAATGGACGTTGGTCGTTGGAGACAAAGAAACCGATTGCCAGCACGGCGTGTACTTGAACAGAATTGGAGATACAAAATATATGGTAACTACCCGCGTGTTTTCCCGAGACATTATTATTAATTGCTTTATTTGTAGACTCTGAAAGCCGTCCATGGAGATCATTCAGTTGAAATTTGCCCATATGGCAAACACTTCGAGCACTTTAAGATCACCGTAGATGGCAAGGAGGTAGAGAGCTCAGTTGATCATTATACTGGAAGTTGGTTTACCTTCGTGCACCGCGAGCACGAACATATAGTTGCCCTCTCCACGCAACATTTCCATCTTCACATGGAATTCATTGGAGATTCCGTGGTCATTGAAGTTCCGAAAGTTGACGGATATCAATTCTACGGCAAATGTTTCAAATGAGTGATATAATGTACCTATTATGCCAGTTGTACAACAACAGTATACAGCAGAAAGGCATGCCATTATCAGTACTTATTTAATCAAATTTCACAATAAATAACATGCAATAAATTATAAATATTATAATCTAATTATTTTTCTGGCAGAACGTCAGAGGCAGCTTCTTTGTTTTCGCTGTTAGTTACTTGCTCTTTGTTATCCGAATTTTCCGCTTTTAATTCCTTAGTTTCCATTTTCAATTGTTCACTGGGTGAAAGAGATCTAGGCCTGAGGGGTAATAAATCTATAGCTTGGACATGTGCCCGCACTGATGCACCAGGTGGTACCGAGAACAGTCGGTCTCCGATGTTGGTGACTAAAGTACCTCCTCCGCTGCTACTACCCCCATCATTATAAAATCCACCACCAGATGCGCCAAATTTTCCCGCATTTCCTTCGTATACTGGGCCGCCTCCCGCACTGGAAAATGCACCGCTATCGCCACCAGTAGCTGGGCCAGTGTCGAATAAATTAAATCCATCATTAGCACTACTTCCGTCCATACTCCCATAATTAGGTCGATTCGGCTTTGAGGTTCCGCCACTGCTCCCTTCTCCTGTTTGTGACGACATACCGAAATCCGACGGTTTACTATCACCTGTTGGTCTGCCGCCATAATCACCATAATCGTCATCTGGTTGACCTCCGAATCCACTAGGTCTTCCCCCAGTACCTCCGGACCCCGTTACGCCGTCGCCATCGGGTTTACTTCCAGGTTTAGACAATCCGCCTCCGCCAGTTTGGTCCGGTCGATACGATCCGTCTTCTCCGCTCGGTTTATAAGAACCGTCATCTGAGTCTCCACTGCCTCCTTTTGAATTTGGTCTACCTGACCCACCTTTTGAAGGTGTGTCAAAGATATCTCCCAAATCGGAACCGTCGTCCTCGTAAGATGGCCGGTTAGGCTTTTTCGCGGATGAACCAAAGTTAGGTCGTCCACCAAAAAAGTCGTCGCCGGAGCCGTAATTAAAATCGTCAGTACCACCCCCTTGATCCTTTGAAGGTTTTAAACCGTTTTTGTTTGGATTCACGAGACCGGTGGCGGCCGTGTCAAAAACATCGTCTGGGAGTGGGTAATTATAGAAATTCGGTGGGACGATATCCGCGCCGCTGAATGGGTATATAGTCGGCAAATGCGGACCTTTCACGTTTTTCAAAACGCGATATCCAGTTTCAGGGCCAGCTATGTAATGCACCGAGTGTCTAACGCCTTTATCGTCCAGGTAGGTGTAAGATCCTCTGACGTGACCGGTAGAGTCGCTAGTTTCGGTTCTGCGGTGGTCTGGTCCGCCGGAGACAAATCTGAAAATGAAAGTGGCAAATGGCCAACTTCACTCTGCGCTTATACCTGTAACTTCCGTCTAATCCTCGCTGAACTGTGGTTCTGCCTCGTGGTACTGGTTTCCGTTTTCCCACATACTGAATTGGGGAGAACGGCAGCGGTTTGTTGTCGGGTACCGGAGATCTAACATGGAAGCCTGTGTTTTTACCAGCAATAAATTCTACATTGTGTCTTTCACCAATGTCATCCAAATAAGAAAATTTCCCGGTTACATCTCCAACCCTGTTAGCGGCTAAATATAAATGACGCGAACAATCGAAATTTGGCTTATAATTTGCTACGCACCTTCTTGTCGAGTGTATGTTCTGGTGTTGAAGGCGAAATTGTAACTAGGATCTTCATTAGGGTCGAAATTGGGATCATCACGTGATCCAATTGGCCCGGTTCGTACTTGATTAAAATCGTATTGTCGAGCAACGTTCTTTCCGCGTGGTCTAAAACCTCTGGGACCAGCAGTGTATTGTATTGAATCTATGGCGCCTGCAGAGGAGGCAATGAAGCCATGGAAAACGATCCCAATCTTTACCTGTTGCTGGGTTCCTAGATCCAAAATCGCCACGAACTACGTTATTTCTATTTCCCTGACTGCGATGGTACGAATCCGGGTTATTATATCCGAATGAAAATGAACCATCCGGCTCGAGATTGTTAAAGTCCTGCCCGGAAACATTAAACTTGAAGTAAACGGCGAACAAAACCAAATTCTGGCGAAAAAAACTTTAGTTACAAAAGAATCATGCACGTACACTTTTCACCCACCCTCACAATCCTGAGAGCCATATCACGAGAAGATGATGAAGAACTAATTAATTAAATTCAATTTGAATCTTTTATACTGGGGACGAAATAAGTGGGGTTGTAATTAGACAAGTATGGATCTTATTAATTAAAATTCTTGGGGATACAGAGGCACGTGTGAGTTTTCATGCGTATTACAATGAATCGTGATTTATACTCATTTGAACGTTTGTGATCGAGGGCGTCTTTTCTACCGTAAAGATTTACTGATGTCCTTACATTTCTTTTTTGGTCTAATGAATACAATTAAGAGATTCAATGGGAATTTATTTAGTAAACATCCAATCATAGTTTGAAGGCACAAGAAGGGTTTTATAACGTCACATACGAGGCTGCCCTAAAAGTCGTTGGTGGAAGCTTTTTTGATAAAATGGCTTGCGTCATTTTCAAAATAAAAAACTTTTCGAAATAAACAAAATTTTTAATATTAATACAACGATGGTAAAACCTTGATGGATATCCTGTAACAATTCATGAGAACAAAGCGATAATTACATACAAATGATATTCGGTTATCAGATCGTACAGCGGCAGAGGTCGATAAAGCACACGTTAAATTTTAACATAAACCACTCTTTACCTAAATACCTACTGTGTGGTGCAATAATGTTTTTTATGTTTCGCTTAAGATATGTCAGTCTTAATTAGTATCTTAATTAATACAATTATTAGGTGTACCTCCAACTTCAAGTAGATACAAGAAGAAATATAGTGGTACGTAGGTAGGTACCCGGAATTTCGGTAGACATTAATAAATCTACATTAATTTGAATATAAAAAAACTAAACGTTTGTTTATTTCAAAAATAAGGAAGTTAATATGTTACGCAGACGTGCACAGGAACCGCCTTTATGTCTTACACTGGTCATAACCAAAGTAACTTTGTTATTCAAAATAGAAACCTAATCTGATTGTGATCTCGCTTTTGACGTGGTTGGACAAAATTTTCCTTCAAAAAGAAATAAACAGGAAGCTATGGACTGAACCGTGCTGTTGAAGAAGTTACCCTGAAAGTCATCATTGAATCTGTTCCTGGAAGAAACCAGTGAAAATCTGCTTTGAATGATTTTCACGCCTTTCTTATTACATAACAACTGAAGTGAATCCCTAAAGAGACTTGAAAAGAAAAAAAGTTGATACCATACAGATTGGGCCAATAATTTATTGATTAGTGAAAAACCAGATAAAAACTCGAGATTATGTATAGATAGATGCTAGGTCACTTAATGTATGTATGCAAAGAGAACATTTCCCGATTCCAACTTCAAATAATATAAACTGTGTTTATTGTTAATGATGAAAGAAGGGTTTTGGTCATCTTGGATAAGAAAAGGGTAGATTTGCGTATGTTAAATTCGCCCTTTGGACGTTACCGTTTCATTCCATTTCTCATATTTGTAGTGTCCCAGAAAGAAATCTTTTTTTGAAATTGTTGGTGGTAATAATGATACAGGAAGTTTGAATATGCGGTAAGATAGATCGTAATGTCACGTATCAAATTATATTTTCTTATCTCACCAAATAAAAAAGGTATTGAGGTGACCCTCTTATCTCGAACGCACTGTATATTAGGTAAAACAAAAGCGATCAAATTCCATGTTTCTTTGACTTAAAATATCGGTTTGGCTTATAAAAAGAAATAAAAAAATTCAATACCTGTTTTTTGATCACGTGTCAATGCTAAATTTAATCCTAATCTAAAGTTCATCATTACCGCATAATAAATTCCTGGTACATTCTCCTGGTTAAAATATACACACACCTCTGAATGCTAAACAAAATTTTAATCCAACCAAAGGAATGGTATCACTGAAATTAAATCCAATTTTCCAATAAATGAAACAAAATAACCAAAATCCTTTGTTTGGATCCGATTCTTATCAATATATACAATACAAAATCTGTTTCGTACAAATAATTTCCACGGGTCGATTACTTTAGGAGTATTAAAATTACTTACAACAACATTTTACTTGTGCAAATTCCTGAAGATAGCTCATTACTACTTTAAAAAAATCAAAAACTTTAAAATAACTTACAGTAACTGACGTGTGTAATATTCTCTTTTGATAACAATTAATCTTATCTCTCCTTGGAAAATTTCTCTTAGAAATATGGAAACAGGTCGCTTCGATGGTATAGTTGACTACGTGATGAGCACGAAACTTTAGCAACAAAAATGTCCATACCATATTGCGAATCTAATCAAACCGGCTTCAATTTATGGATATTAATTTTGTCCAAGTGGCATACGAAGAATACACAATACATGTAAATCCTTATGTCTACTTCTTAATAAATACCACTGTATATGAATACGATCTTATTAACCTTTCTGACAACTCCAATGTTAATCGAATACCTGTCAGACAGAATCTTTATCCAAATGGCTATTAATTCTGATAATGATAATCAATGTTAATCGAATACCTGTCAGACAGAATCTTTATCCAAATGGCTATTAATTCTGATAATGATAATCAAATTAATGAGATTTACTCAAGTAAGAGGCAACGTTTATAAAATTATGTTACCAATTAAAAGAACAGTTTTCAAGTGTAAACACGAACCTTTACCTACTTTAAATAGATATGAATCAAACAAGTACCTGTCAGATTAGTGGATAGAAACAGAGAAACGTAAGATAATTATTTATTATATAAGACGATAAAGGGATATTTTGGGTTAATTAACTTTCACGAGATTGTTAGTTTCCCTTTATCGTCGTGTATAATACAAAACTTTATTTTATTGCAGAAGCCATATAAATCATTGTGATGACAATTCTGAACTTAATTTAGACATCCAAATTAGCAAGCTTCGGTTCTGCCGTCGCGGTCGTTTTCAGAAACATCATTGTCATATGCTCTGACAGTCATTTTATATCGTGCTCTGCGTCCCATTTGAAATAAGGCATGCCATTAGAATGCATAATCATCTGTTTCACTTTATCTACCCTCAAAGTTAAAGAGCGACTGATTCAAACCTATTAAAATGTTAATTTAACGTCTGTCATAATATAAATAAAATTAATAAAAGCAGAACTGCTAGTTTGTTTACCAACAATGAGAATATAAGAATGGACATATTGTGACTTTCAATAATACATTAATGATAAAAGCAACGTTCTTGTTATAATTTCAACAAATTAATATAGTACAGGGTGCGCTATTTCTCTGCGGCTACCCCTGAAATGCTAAAGATGAAAAAGTAGTTTAACATTTTTGAAAATTCTTTAGTCCCGGAAGTCCATCCCACAGCCCGCATTTCACATTAACTGACCTTACTTTAATTAATTTTTGTCTTGCGTAAAAAAACAAGATCTTGTATGCACTGGCGTTACTAATGCTTGCGACTTCCGCGTAATTATTGTGCAGGGTGTTGCTTCGTTACCGGGGTGCAAATGCTATTCCTCCCCTAAATTGGAAAACGAATAAATATCAACATACATTTTTTCGTTGTTTATACAACTTATATTATTACCAACGGTATCCACAACGGTACCGCGTGCATAATGTTCAATTTACATTTAATTACTGCTAATAATGTGAATACTTTCGTTCGGTGTCTTCCCAATCAGGACAAAAAATTAATGCTCATTCATGCTGGTGAAAGTTGAAGAATCTCGCTATTATTTCTACGGAAAATCAAGTGCTGTATATACGCACATGCTGCACATCAAACGGGGATAATGCTGGGGGGTTTAATGTATAATTTTCTCCTTTATACGAAAAAATGTTATTTGTTGTGTCGGTGTCATTCGAAATGTACATGTTAAGGCTTTTCTCCATCATTGTCGTGCTTACGATTGTTGGTGTTCACGCTAAAGTGCGTTGTAATCTTTTATTTCTGAATTCATGGTGTCATTTTAGGATTTGAAATGTCAAGTTCCTATTGCGGCCCCCAAAAATATTGAAAAAGTGGTTAACCAGTGCCAGGAAGAAATTAAGACGGCCTTATTGTCAGGTCTCGGTCTTCTTCGACGTATCTTAACGGTTTAAAAATCCGATGTCTTTTTAGAGGCCTTCCATTTTCTCACTGACAACCAAAGTGTTAATTCAAGTCGACGAAAGCGCGAAACATTCACGGAGGAAGAAAGAAGAATTGCAGGAGTAAGATCAATTAAAAAGTCATTTGGTAGATAGGTATAACTGGGTAAATGTGCAATTTCCTTTTTTCGCAAGCAATTTGATTAACAAGTGTTGTAATTGTAATTACAAATGTATAAAAAAAACTAATATCGGTCCAATGACGACCTACTTATATAGGGCGTTACTTTTTCTAGTGCCTGCTTCAATGCGTCTACCGAAAAATGAAAGCGGTTAGTAAAGCCCTATTATTTCTGCGCCGAATTGTACATATTATTGTTGCAGGTGAACAGTAACGGTTTTCCTACGGCGGAAGGTCTTATTGCTTTGTATACGGAAGGTGCACAGGATCAGGAGTATCTTCTCGCATCTCATCAAGCTGTAAGTCAATGTTTAGTTGACGCCCAAAAGAAGCATTTACCAACACCGCATTCAATAACAAGTAAGTTACGTCAGTTTTTGCGTTAGGTATAGTCTCATTACCTTTTTCAGTAAAAGGAAAAACGTGCGATATCGCTTTTGACGTATTTGACTGTGTCTCAGATAGAATTGGAGAGTATTGCGGACAAAGTCTGTGATATCCAAAATTGTTGAGTTCAGGTAATGTTAATTAGAAAACTGATTTATGAGTGCGAAGAAGTTGTTAAGTAATAAACTTTACAATAAAAGGAAAGTTACATTTTAATTTCGCAACTAATTTACACTTTTTAACACATTATAATAAAAGATTAAGATCATTTTCTTGTTTTACCAAAATAAGCACTTTCTCAATTGTTACTGGGACATTCCACAGACTTCATGGTAATTATTTGCATTACTACCTATACTGCACTATATATATTTCGATTTTAAGCATTTTGAGTGTATTTGATGGTATTTGAAAGTTGTAAATCTACCGTGAAGAAGAACAAACGGTTGTCGCCAATTACCACAAAATCATTGGGCCGTTTCGAGAAATGCTGTCGAGAAAAACAAAACAACAAGGAGATATATACAGGGTGGCCATTTGAAAACGAAACAGAGCCTATTTTGGGGACCTCAAAACATCTACGAAAAAATACTCGGACCCGTCAATTTTTTATTCAAGGGGGAACCATTTTTTCGCTAGTTTCGCCCCCCTGAGGGCAAAGCCCTAACGTGGGTGACAAGCGCCCCCAAAATTTTAAATCGAATGGGTGCTCGAGTGATACCTAATTTTGAAGGTATTTCTATGTGGATTATAACCCTTAAGTTTTAAATCGCTATTAATTTGCCTAGTCGATACAGGGGCTAATAAAAGTTATAAAATTATGTCAACATTTTCTTATGAAAAAAATTCTTGTAAATGAATTAGTTAAATAACAAAAATATAAACAACAGTAAATACAAAAAATGTTGTTCTCCTACATTCTGAACCGACTTTTTGTTGTTTTTTTTTCTTTTTAATACTCGTAAGTACATATGCCTTTTCTGCAACGCAAATCTTGGTTATTGTTGAGAGCATTACTATAGCAGCATTTTGAAGTTTAATAGTGAAATCGGTACATTGAACAGTGATAATGGTTTATTCACTGAAATAATTTTTCTTTTTTGCAAACAATGAAAATGCTAATAAAACTGCCCAGATCTTTAATCGACAACACCAGAATCGACAGGTCCATCGCATGTTTGCGCTGCCATTTTTGGTAACCATATCGTAGGCCCTTTCTTTTTACCTGGAATTTTAACAGGAGAGATGTACCTGGAGTTATTACAAAAGACGATTCATCCAGAATTAGTGGAGATACTAGAAAATAACAACGAGTACTTGGAAATAGTCTAGTATAGTATTTCAGCAAGATGGTGCGCCACCCCACTATGCTGCAAGGGTTCGTCAATATTTGGACCAAACGTTTCCAGGACAATGGATTGGAAGAAAAGGTGCTATTTTGAATGGCCTTCTCGTTCCCCGGATTTAAGTGCGTGCGTTAGATTTTTCTTATGGGGCCATTTAAAAACTAAAATTTATGCTAGTGAGCCAACATTGTTAGACAACTTGCGACAAAAAATAATTGACGAATGTCGTCAAATCACCCCAGAAGTTTTTCAAAATGTACGGGAAATGTATGAACAAAACCTGTATTATTCTATGGAAGTCGAAGGCAAACATTTTCAACATTTACTTGATTAAAAACTTAAGGGTTATAATCTACATAAAAATACCTTCCAAATAAGGTATCACTCGACCCCCCATTCGATTTAAAATTTTGGGGGGCGCTTGCCACCCCCCTATGGCTTTGCCATCAGGGGGGCGAAACTAGCAAAAAAATGGTTCCCCCTTGAATCAAAAATTGACGGGTCCGAGGATTTTTTCGTAAATGTTTTGAGGTCCCCAAAATAGGCTCTGTTTCGTTTTCAAATGGCCACCCTGTATTAGAATGTGGTACGTAAATGGCTGAAACGTATAGAGACTTGTGGCGTTAGAAGAATCCTGAATGGATAACATAATATAATGATTCATATGGTGCACTGGGCTGCAGATTCCTTGGCACCTATACTCCCATATTCTAAAAATTGTATCATGCCGCAAGCGTCAAGTTAAAATCTCACTTTTTCACTTTCTATTCCTTATGCCAAAATAGTTACATAAAAGTCCGGAAAATGATACATTATTGGCGAGCAAATATTGAAGTTCGAGGCCCCTTTGGGGCCGAGTACTTTAATTTCCGAGTCAGGTAATGTCATTTTACTTACGAGTTTTGTATTAAATTTTACCCGAAATTGTATTTTAATATAAAACTTCAACTTTTATATAGAACTTTTGATTAAAGTCAATCTGTCAGTGATGACAGGAGTCATTATAGACATCTGGAAATGTCAAAAATGCGGCCGGTAAAGTGACATATGCGGCCAGAAAAGTGATAAGCGGCAGGAAACGTAGTAGGAAACTAAGTTTCCTGACAGAAAGTAGGCATGAAAATGAAGCTTTCAGGACGATTTTGGGGTGGCGGATCGACCATCGTTATTTCGTCGAGACCCTATTTTTAAATTTAACATTCGACGTGTCTTTCAAAATACTAAAAGTGATTCATCTAAACGCGTTTATATTCGTGCACCATTATAAACTATTTTATAAACTTTTAATTATTGTAATTTGTGTATATGGACATAATCATTAGATTTTTAAGATAGGGTTATTAAGCGACAGAGCAAAGCGATGCAAGCTTTATAGGGGAGTCGATGATGTCCGTCTGTCCGTGAACACGATAACTATCAAACTCTTGGACCGATTTGGTTGAAACTTTGCACAGTTGACCTATATGCCACTTGTAATAAGCCTATTGAAAATGGGTCAAATCCAATGACTCCGTGGGGTCATACCGAGGTTCTCTGTCGCTTTTTTAAACGCTCTTTATGGGTTTATTTGGACTTATATATTTGAATTAATAATTAGTAGGAATTAGGTTGTTTTTCGCTTTTTAGTGTGTTTATATCAAATTACTTAATTTCAGTGTTTACTTTTAAATAAATCTGTTACAATTTTATTTAACTCATGGAATTATTATTATTCTGCAAAATAAAGAGTATAAGAGATATTTGCCTCAAAGAGTGCGAATTTTGAAATTTACATAAGCTCTCCAAAACATATTGGAGTGTAAAGTTTGAACTAATATTTTCCCAAATTTTGGACACAAATTCTTGACAATTAATGAGATATCAGTAAAAGCGGAATGAACTAAATTCTTTCCTAATTTTATACCATTGTTTAGGTAACTGAGATAGCCGGAAGTAAAAAAAAAAGGTAAGTTCCAAACGTACTACCTACAACAATAAAGAGGACAAGGACATTTCTAAAAGAATTTACACCACAAATCTGAGAAGATCTGTAACCATTTGTGAGTTACCAATACAAATGGGCACTCACTCTTCGGCGCGGAGGAATTACCGGATCACCCTTTTATTTGTAACAATCAGTTACAGTAGTCGATAACCATCGTTTTCTTTTGGTTCGTGTTATTGGTGATCAAGGTCTCGCAACAATTTCCTCACTTTCAGCAATTGGACATTAGTCGTTGGGTCAGTGTCCTTTGTAGTAGAGGAAGATGAGGCTTCTCGAGCTGCGAGAAAGTTCTCAAAAGGCGGAGGAACTTAAAGTAAGATCTCCGTCAAAGCGTTCGGGGCGTAAGAATCTATCCATATTTTAAATGAAATCCCGCTCCCGTTCCCGCATTCACGCGTCGGTTTGAGTGGACACTCGATACATGCCATAGGGAATGAAATATGTTGATTATTATATTCATTCACCCGTACACCAAATTTCAACACGATCAGCCATTTTAAAAAGAGTGAAGTATAGCGCACACGGACCGACAGTCGAACAAAAAATTTTGTTTTTACGTAATCAGCAGCGCCCGTCTTCTCTTCTTTGGCAAAGAAAAAGTACAGGTCAACTGTAAAGTAGCCATATTGCGGGGATTTCACCCCCCCCCCCCCCGTCCGAGCCTTAAACTACTTCTCACTAGAAGATACACAAAATTCGGTAATTGATTCTATAGATCGGTGTGTACGACAAAATACTCTGCCCATGTGTTAAAGTATGTTCCGTTTATCTGAAATAATGGTCGATGATACCTAGAGGATATGTGCTTTGTTACTCATTGATTATGACACATTTATTACTATTGCTTCCAACTAATTCGATCATCATGTTCATTTGATGTTGTGGCACAAAGCACAAATTTATGAACAAAACTATACTGTTTGTTGTTCGCCCTTAAAAAAGGAAAAAATAAAATTATACAATAGTTACACATATCGCAGTCGCCATTGGGATAACGTAACCCAAAGTATTAATAAAGGAGAACTACATGAACAGTCATGCGCGCTTATCATAGATTTTTTATGATACTATAATGCCCTTCACATTCTTATTTTGTTGTATAGATTGGTTGCTCATACCTTTGTGGCTACAGAATTAGGGCTTTAAAAAGTACGAGTCGTAGGGATGATATATCAGTTTTTCGAAAATTGACTTTTTACTACCCTTCTTCTCCTGAATACCTTACAACCAAAAGCCAAAAGATTTAGGTACGTCGGATAGATTATGTCGTAACGTTTATTTGCATTGTATACTCAAGCGACTTATATACAAAGTAAAAATAAAGTAAAGTGATAACTTATCTATACAATTAGCACCTAGATAGTTGCCCCTACATGTATCAAATAGTAGTACACAAGTCATACATTGTGAAATATATGCAGTAAATGACATTGTAGGGTTTTCAGAACCTGTTGCATTCGTACCAGCACAATGAAATGTGCAGTACTACTTTGGTTTGTTGCCATAAATTACGTTCAAAGTGAACTACCACCATCGTGTAAAAGTCCAATATACTGCCATGGGGAGCTACTACATACAGTGCAAATGGCTCGCATCTTTAATGACGGAAAACATTTCGTGGATCTCAAAATGAAGAATAATGAAAACCAAACATTACTTAACTTCCAAGTGTTGCAAAAGAAATACAACTATGAGATTCCATCATCAGAACTCCTTCTGTTTGTTGATAAAAACTTTGAAGATGGAAACGAATTGGAGAGCTACAATTTGACTGATTTGAACCTTAGTCCACCGTTTCTGAAGGAAATTACTAACCAAACTGTACAGAATTTTGCCAAAGACTTGCTGAAAATATGGCCGCAGTTAGTGCGAAGGGTGAGAGCGGAAGTGATCAATGACCCTTCTTCGTATAGTTTTATTCCAGTACCAAATCCCTTCATTATTCCAGGTGGACGTTTCCGCGAGTATTACTACTGGGATTCCTACTGGATAATCGACGGTCTTCTACTCAGTGGCATGAATGAAATGGCAAGAGGAATGGTTGAGAATTTTATCTCAATAGTGAAGGAAATTGGATTTATACCAAATGGAGGTAGGATCTACTACTTAAAACGGTCACATCCACCTCTACTTACGTTTATGGCACATCTGTACTACCGCGAAACCAAGAATGTAACCTGGTTAAAGCAGAACATTGATACATTAGCGCAGGAGTTGGAGTTTTGGAACTCTCGCTCAGTACAAGTGCGGAGAGGTGAACGAGCCTATACTTTGTACCAATATAAAGCTGTAAGCCAAGGACCACGCCCGGAGTCCTACCGTGAGGATTTTCTCACGGCGTCTTTCTTCAACGAAACGGCGCAGCAACTGCAAACCTACGTTAACTTAAAAAGTGGCGCCGAGAGTGGTTGGGACTTTTCAAATCGCTGGATTTTTGATCAATTTGGCGGTAACTTGGCAAACTTGTCGCACATAGAGATCACGCGTCTTATTCCTGTAGATTTAAATGCGTTTCTATGTGGGGCCTTTCGAAACATAGCCGACCTGTATACCGTACTGGGAAATTCAAGTCAAAGCTCCATATGGTACAACAAATTCCTCGAAATTAGAGAAGCGACGGCCACTATCTTGTGGAACAGGCAAGATAATATTTGGTACGATTACGATTTGAAGCTCTCCAAACATAGAAGAAAATTTTACCCAAGCAACCTTGCACCCTTATGGGCTAAATGTTTCCCAAGAGAAAAGGGGCACAAATTGGGAAGACGCGCGGTTGCATACTTACGTAAGGAAGGTGTCCTCAACTATGCTGGGGGAGTTCCCAGTTCTCTGGACAATACCGGCGAACAGTGGGATTTTCCCAACGCTTGGGCTCCTTTACAAGATATCGTCGTTCAAGGACTGCATAATACGAGGTATCCTCCAGCTCTTCGCCTAGCATCTACCATTGCTAAGACGTGGGTGAAGTCTAACATGCTTGCCTTCCGGAGTACGGGAGCGATGTTTGAGAAGTACGATGCCGGTGTTGCGGGGAAGTATGGCGGAGGCGGTGAATATGAGGTTCAGTCTGGATTCGGTTGGTCAAATGGCGTTGCCCTCAGATTCATTTATGATTACTATCGAGAACTGTAGATGGGTATACAATGTGATGCATGAATAAATATAGCAAAGTAATTAACTTCTTTCTCTTAAAACCTTCTGATTGTTGTCAAAATTACGTTGCCAATATCAAACAGCAGTCCAATTATTAGAAGTGCTACAGAATTTTATCCCTTTTTAGCGCATTTCTACAAAAATAAAAAAAAATGCGCTATTGTGGCCACTTTGTCCGTCCGTCCGTCCGGCTGTCCGTCCGCTCGTTTTGCGACGCTACTAGTTCTTTATCTTAAGAGCTATTGTTCTACTTTTTTCGCTATTTGGTTCGTTATGGTGTCGAGGCTTGCACCAAGGAAGGAATTTTTTCTGCGGTTATTGCTAAAAAAGTTATTGTAAAAAAACCAACAAACCGTTTTTTACATGTTCCATAATTTTACACTTTTGCCGTTTATTAACCATCCTAGAGATCATTTATAATTTTGTATTGTTGTCTGTCGTCTGTCTGTTGGTCTGTCCGTCTGTTCCTTTGCCTGTCTGTCCCTCTATCTGCCCGTGTGAACGATAATTTTGTTTAGAAATGTCCGATCGCTTTTACATCTCCGTTAGTTATGAACTGAATTGCATGAAATTCAATATGGGCATAGCCTTAGCCATATAATACGCAATGCCAAAAGTTGAGTCGAATCGATTCAAAATTCACAGTGGCCTTTTCGCATCTCGACCATTTATAAACCGAATTGCAAACTTTTTTTCTTATAAAAGTATTTGAATGAAATTTGATACATAGGCACTTGGAATAAAGAAAAATCTAACGCCCATTCCAAAATTTGGTTTTGCGCATGCGCAGTGCCAACTTTTTTATTTATGGAAGAATTTAAATGAAATGTGATACATAGGCACTTGGAATAAAGGAAAATCTAACGCCAGTTTCAAAATTTTATTTTGCGCATGCGCAGTGCCAACTTTTTTATCTATGGAACTATTTAAGTGAAATTTGATACTTAGGCGCTTGGAACAAAGGAAAATCTAACATTAGTTTCAAAATTTAGGTTTGCGCATGCGCATTTCCAACTCTCTTATTTAGAAAAGCATTGAAATGAAATTCTTCTCATAAACTGAAATTGAAGTAGCACGTCAACAATGGATTGCCCATGTGCAACGCTATCTTTTATATTTGTGGCCGGATTTTAACGATTTTAACAGAAGTTGCATCTTACAAATGGGAAATGAATGCAAGTGGAAATGCGCTTTATGTAAATCGTTTACGATTACTTTTTAACTTGTTTTTATAATGAAGCTCAATTTGCGAAAGAAGCTTAAACTCCTCATCATTTTACCACACAATTGATGTGCGTGGTATCTGGCAATTTGGAATTCCGACACTTCAGAGGGTAGGTGATACCTTCAGTGCCTGCATTATTGATTATAACTTTAAACAAATGCTTAGTTAAATTTGAACCGTTGCGAAGTAAACATCGAAAAATGGACGATCGTACCGTAGATCGTATATTCGCCGGTTCCTTGGAGCATTTGCCATCCGTAAGCTCAAAGATCGTCAGAATATTCACAAGTTCAACATTTACAGGTGAATCAGGGGAAGTATTTGGCAACTTTAACAAACGACATATTTTCAGATACAACAATGGAAAGAAATACTCTAATGGCAAAGTGCTACCCTAGAATTAAAGACTACTGCAGAGAGAAACACGGGCTAGAATTTCAGGTGATTTACTTTGCTTGCTCGCAATAAATGTTGATAACTTACACGTATAAAACGTGTTCTCTAATAAATTAGGGGATGAAAGGTATTCCCCACAAAAATAATTGGCCTTGGTCTTGTATAATGCACGAATATGGTACCGAGTGGTACAAAGAACGTGACCTAGTAAAAGTACATTTGGAAAATCAATGAACGCGGACTTACAATTTCATTTAATAAAACGGATCGGAAATTGGATTTTAATTTTGCAGGTAGTGGATATGAGATGGGGAGTGCGAGACGAAGCAACAGATGATCATATGACGACTGAATTATGTATGAAAGAAATAGAGAACTGTCAAAGATTGTCGATGGGCCCCAACTTTGTTGTAAGTGGGTAACTTTGCGTGATCTTCTACTACTCCACGTAAATATTTAGGTGTTCCTAGGGCAAAAGTATGGGTACCGTCCCATACCAACCTATATAATATCTTCGGAGCTTCAACTGATTAGGGATGAGGTAGCGAATACTGGAGCAGATCCTACTCTGATAGACACTTGGTACCGCAAGGATAGTAACGCGGTACCCCCAGTTTCAGTATTGCAACCCATCTCATCCATTTTGATTAATTTTAATAACAAGGTAGGTAGCGGTGATACGCGATTAAACCTAAAAGCTTTGTAGAGGATTCCAAAATTGCAAGCGGAAGACCAAGCGATCTGGTGGGACACCTTGGGTAAATTTCAAAAACTTTTTCGAAAAGCATCCAGTACGTTATACCAACAAGGAATAATGGACAAGGACGCGATGCACAGTTATTTTATGTCTGGTGTGTAATTACCAGTCAACTCTCTTTAAAACTACTTACTTGTTCTAGTAACGGAAAGGGAAGTGATCAACGGAATTTTAAATGTGAAAAACACCAAAAATCATTGTTTGGCATACGTGCGATACATTAACAACATAAACCTGCAAAACATAAAGAAAGCGTCATTATTCGTGGATATTCTCAATCGAAGTTTGGATCAAGAATCGTGTAAATTGCTGGCAAATTTGCGAGATGAACGCCTTCCTGACAAAATTGAAACGAGTAATTTGCAAAAGTGAGTGAACAACCCTCTGTCATGGCGATCGTTCATATTGATTCCGCAGATACACGGTGGAGTGGATCGGACGTGAAGGTCTCGATCCAGAAACCCACGAAGAATATCTCAAGCACTTCATAACTCACTTCTATAAAAACATTACAAAGCTCGTCGACAGGGCTATGAGGAAGGAAGATTCGAGCGCTACAGGACAGATAGTAACCGAAATCTTGCAACACTTACATGCGTGCAATAACTCAGTGAAGGTGAGTCTTAGACAAAATGATTGCACCAACTTCATCCCTTCGAGCAGGTATTTTATGGACGCGAAGATAGTCTGGAGAAAATTCAAAATTATATGTTGGGAGAATCAGATAAACCAATGGTTCTGTACGGCGAGGGAGGTTGTGGAAAAACATCATTATTAGCAAAATCTGCCAGTATGTCTACTGCGGCCGAATGGTTCAAAAATAAGAAACCGATCAGTGTGATACGTTTCTTAGGGACAACACCCGACTCCAGCGCGTTAACTCCAACGTTAATTTCAATATGCCAGCAGGTAAACCATTGGGAAGTGAACCGCGGAAAACTGTATGAGATTCTAGATTTCCTATAACTTTACTATGCCCTTTGAAACGATACCTGATGATCTGGTACCACTCACCGCGTACTTCAAGCAGCTACTAACAATGGCTAACAAGGACCAACCGTTCGTACTGTTTTTAGATTCGGTTGATCAACTGACGGGGACGCAAGATAAGGTGTCGTGGTTACCTACGCGACTTCCGCCGTATTGCAAGGTATAAATCCTGAGTCGTCTTCAATTATTCAGTAGCGCATTGTAGATAATCGTAGCCTGCGCATGTGAGGAAAGTAACCCGGACGTATCTCGCGAGTACCACACGTTACGAAAAATTATTGACGTGGAGGAAAATTTTATCGAAGTTACCGCGCTGGGAGAGGACCTGGCGACACAAGTCATAAAGTAAGATTCAGTCAACCACAAGTAAGTTTTGCAACAAGTTTTAGGATGTGGATGAGAAAAGCTTGCAGAGACTTGACGAACTATCAGTGGCGCCTGGTTGCGAATGCAATTTCCAAGTGTAGCCTACCGATATTTGTAAAGCTAGTGTTTGCGGAAATATGCAGATGGCGTAGCTACACCAAACCGCAGGAGACTCATTTGGCCTCAACTGTTATGGATTCGATTATGATGCTATTTGAGAGAATTGAAAAACAGGTAGCTTAAGCTTCGAAACGGATGCGAATTTAAAGAATTTTTAGCACGGGCGGATTTTGGTGTTTCACGCTTTGGCGTATATCACAGCTGCGAAAAGCGGCTTATCCGAATCGGAACTGGAAGATCTCATTTCACTGGACGATAAGGTTTTAGACGATGTGTATCAGTACCACATGCCGCCTGTTAGACGTATACCCCCTTTACTTTGGACTAGAATTAGAAATGATCTTCCTAATTACCTATCCGAACGAGAGGCGGATGGTGTGAGCGTTATGAATTGGTACCATAGGTACCAAGTGCTTCGTGTAAGAATATAATAAACCCAGCACATTTTAGACAATTCCGAGATGCGGCCCGTGAACGTTACTTCAAGAATATGAATATGGCCATGTATTTCCATTCAAATATTGCAGATTATTATTTAGGGATTTGGGGTGGAGGTAAACCCAAACCGTTTAAATATACAGAAATTCAAAGACACAGGTAATCATCACAGTTGTACCTTCATAAAAGAGCTTCATTCTAAAATTCTAAAGCATTTCCCAAGGAGGCAAACTCAAATTCATACAATCTAAAAAAAGGCTTGAATTCCAAAACTCTTAAAAAATATTTGGTTTGTCCCAGTCCTAGTGTTTACATTAATTATTAATTAATTAATTAATGCTAAAAAAAAGCTTAAATTACTATTACACATAGAAATCCACCCCCAATGTGTTTATAAATCGAATACGGCAAAACGCGGGTAGTTATCACTTTCTAGTTTATGCAGAAAAATACTGCTATACATATCCAATAAACAAATGCAGAAATAATTTCTTGCAACCCCTAGCGTCACATAGAAATCCACCCCAAATGTGTTTATAAATCGAATACGGCAAAACGCGGGTTGTTATCACTTTCTAGTTTGTGCAGAAAAATACTGCTATACATTTCCAATAAACAAATGCAGAAATAATTTCTTGCAACCCCTAGCGTCACATAGAAATCCACCCCAAATGTGTTTATAAATCGAATACGGCAAAACACGGGTAGATTATCACTTTCTAGATTGTGCAGTAAAATACTGCTATACATATCCAATAAACAAATGCAGAAATAATTTCTTGCAACCCCTAGCGTCACATAAAAATCCACCCCCGATGTGTTTATAAATCGAATACGGCAAAACGCGGGTAGTTATCATTTTCTAGTTTGTGCAAAAAAATACTGCTATACAGATCCAATAAACAAATGCAGAAATAATTTCTTGTAACCCCTTGCGTCACATAGAAATCCACCCCCAATGAGTTTATAAATCGAATACGGCAAAACGCGGGTAGTTATCACTTTCTAGTTTGTGCAGAAAAATACTGCTATACATATCCTTTCTTGCAACCCCTTGCGTCACATAGAAATCCACTTCCAATGTGTTTGTAAATCGAATACGGCAAAACGCGGGTAGTTATCACTTTCTAGATTGTGCAAAAAAATACTGCTATACATATCCAATAAACAAATGCAGAAATAATTTCTTGCAACCCCTAGCGTCACATAGAAATCCACCCCAAATGTGTTTATAAATCGAATACGGCAAAACGCGGGTTGTTATCACTTTCTAGTTTGCGCAGAAAAATACTGCCAACTATCCAATAAACAAATGCAGAAATAATTTCTTGCAATCCCTTGCGTCACATAGGAATCCACCCCAAATGTGTTTATAAATCGAATACGGCAAAACGCGGGTTGTTATCACTTTCTAGTTTGCGCAGAAAAATACTGCCAACTATCCAATAAACAAATGCAGAAATAATTTCTTGCAATCCCTTGCGTCACATAGGAATCCACCCCAAATGTGTTTATAAATCGAATACGGCAAAACGCGGGTTGTTATCACTTTCTAGTTTGCGCAGAAAAATACTGCCAACTATCCAATAAACAAATGCAGAAATAATTTCTTGCAATCCCTTGCGTCACATAGAAATCCACCCCCAAAGTGTTTATAAATCGAATACGGCAAAACGCGGGTAGTTATCACTTTCTAGTTTGTGTAGAAAAATACTGCTATACATATCCAATAAACAAATGCAGAAATAATTTCTTGCAACCCCTTGCGTCACATAAAAATCCACCCCCAAAGTGTTTATAAATCGAATACGAAATTATTTTTGCATCTGTTTATTGGATATACTAGGGGTTTTTTTTAAGATGGGCCAAGGGCCATACGACAATGTAAAGTTTAAAAGATCCATAACGGCTTGAAAAATTTTTTTGTTCTTTTTTTAACTTACGCTGGCCAAAATGGCTAAAAACACTCCTCCCTTGGTACACTATGAAGAAAATTGTAATTCTACATAAATAAAGCTAATAGATCCCTGTAACAATGACACAACCCCAATGAGCAATGCATAATTTAGCTGCATTAAAATAAACTAAGTACCAGATAATCAAATAGACATCATAAAACTTACCTAACGTTCGCAAAATATAGATGCTAAGTACAAAATTCGTAAAAGCCGGTTTTACTTGTACTGACAAAGAGAAATGAGTATCGGTTGCCTCTCAGCGGGAAATGTGAACGTGTCCAAAGTCTCCCTGAGTTCAGAGTCTCCCCGCTCGCCCCTATTGAATTTTAAAAGAACGACTTCTGGAGGACAAACTTGTGTTCTTAGTTTCATAATTTAAAATATGCATAAAGTCTTTCAGTAAATTTTAAAGGATGATTATAGTAATAGTAATAGTAATAATATTTATTTACAGGGAAACCCCAAAAAGAACAACAATAATAAATTACTTATAACAATCACAATCACAAGTTTAAAGTGTACATTACACATAAAAAAAACATATTATACAATATTAATTAAATTAAATTAAATTAATATAATAACTCACAATAATAAGATACATTACCGTTTATACCTATAACATACTCTTAATAAACAAACATGCTATGGTTAACGTTTCTGATAAAAATCCATATCAGCATATGTGAGATGTAATTTTTGTTTTGTTTGAGTAAATTTAGAGAAACATTGAATAGATCAATATATGGATAACTATTAGCTAAACACATAAATCTCTCAATGGGTAGGTTTTTGAGATAGTTAGTTTTGGAGGATTTAATAGAGAAAATGTGAGTGTATCTAAGATGTTTCTCGGGTACATTAAAGTTTATTGATTGAAGCAGCAGGGAATTATCACAATGACCATTAATCAGTTTAAAGAGAAAAATCAAATCGAAACATCTTCTTCGAGCCAATAAAGTGTTGCTGTTCAATTTTTGCAGAGCAACGATAATTATCTCCATTTGAACATTTCACTACTCACTTTCCCAAAGTATCTCTAACAAAAGCGAGTGTTAAAGGTTTCCAATGTTTTCCTCTTCTAAATTGCGTCTATGCATTGGAAAAATTAAATCCATGTACCTCCACAAAAGAGGACACTGTACTCTATCGTTTTCAGATTTAATTTGACCGACAAGGAGGGAATTGCGGATAGGAAAGTGCCCCTCCAACCTTTGGTTTTTTTGACGAAAGAAGGATTTGTTGCGAGGTACAACTTACGGAAGGTATGACACATTGTAAAGCTTTCAGATAGCCATCGACGTTATTTCTAGTTTGGCGAACTACCATACCACATGGTTAGATCGCGCAGATTCAAGGACCTATACGAGAACGTGCTCTTTAGTTACTCCTGGTTATATTGCAAGCTATCCAGTTGTCCCTTGCAATCCATTCTATCCGATTTTGAAGACTGCAGCTCCAGCATTGACAAAAAGGAGGCAAAGAGAGAACTGATGTTGGTTGCGGATGCTTTGCGATTGGGTGGGGCGGTTTTGGTGCAATACCCCCACATGTTGGCACCGCAATTAATTAGTCGTTTATTACCAGAAATCGGCACCAATCCCAATGTTAAAATGTTACTGAATGCCTGTGACGATTTAGGCCCGGCTCATTGTGCACTTGTCCCACTGTATCATTGTTTGCACACTCCTGGTGGACCTTTAAAGGTGGGTGGGAATTATTCAACATGCAGGTTTAGCTTACGGTATTTGCAGTACTCACTTGAGGGCCATCAGTTTGCTATTTTCGCTATGTGTATTACTTCAGATAGCCGTTATGTGGTTTCGATCTCAAACCGTTTCATAACTTGGGATCTCTCCACCAGTGATATGACCCGAGATGTTAATCCAAACATCGAGGGAATAATGCAGCAACTTGTTTTGAGCTCGGATAACAAATGGGCTGGTGCTTACACTAATAATAGCCAGGTATTTATTATTCAGCGCTTCTGTTGTCAATTGACGCAAAATAATTTAGGTTGTCTTGCTGAACACGCTCACCAGCGAGTTTACGGTTATGGACAATCCTTTACCAGATCAAGACCCTGTCGTAGGGGTTGATTTACTGACTCACAATCTGTTTGTGTATGGTGCCAAATCTTGGGTCCAGTTTGATGTACGTGGTAATCAAGAGAATGTGTTTCATACACCAGTAGAGGACGAAAATTGGCACATATTGGGTAACTTGCTCATTTTGAATTTCATTAATTTATTTTCCGGTTTCAGTTGTTGACTATGATACCCGCAGCGAATACATCATCATATTTTGGAGAAACGATCTGGAGAACGACCAAATGATGCTACGATCCTACAATAACAATGTGGACTTTAAGCCCTTGGAGTACCACAGGTACGTCAAGCTGAGAGGCACATTATTTTCAGTCTTCGTTTTAGTGCCATTGCATTTTCAAATGATAAAGAGGTACTATACACTTGCACGACTGAAAATGTATACGCCGTAAGTAAATATGGAAGAAACTACACCGAAAAAGAATGGGAACTGATTGAAGACCTCCCACGATCGGAAAGTGACGATACGGAGGTTATGCTTCAATTGAAACTGGACAAAGCGGACCAAGTACTCTTTGGTACAGTCCCAAATTGCGCTAAAACTTCCCAATCCTCATAATAATTTCAGGAACCACCAGTAATGGATACGTCATTTGGGATTTTGGTGATAATGGGCAAGGCATTGCTGTAGAACTTCGTCTTCCGTACGGAGTTCGAAATATTTCCACCAAAATGCTGGAGTCAAATTCGATAATGTTAAGTGCGCAAAAAAATTACGCAGTAGCTGGAGTGAGGTAACAATGCATCACATTGGCGTTGAGTGTCGGGAATGCAAATTTCAGGAAAAATTTGTACATTTGGTGCATGAAAACGTACAAACTACTAAAAATATTGGACGCTCATTTTGGACGTATAATCCAACTCGAAGCTTTGGCTATAGGTTCGTGGAATTGTATTGTAACATCCTCAATTGATCGCACAGTGAAAGTGTGGAATATTAACAACATATTTGAGCAAGTCCATGTTATCGATAGGCATGAGTTACAAGTGGATGCGATTAGGTAATTAATCCTCACCTCAGCGACATTAATTTTCCCCATAGTTTATCACAAAATTTAGGAATTGCCGTTACTGTAACACGAAATTGTGTTGGCGTATGGGATTTACGCACGGGAAAGATAATCGCCAAACTTGCGGATAGTCCCCTTGGTGCTATAGTGACCAACGCTTTGATAACACCAGATGGGCGGTAGGTTATTACAAATGTTACCGGCTGCATTACTCAATTTTAGGTACATCATCTCTGCGGAATCGGGTAATCTCCTCATCTGGCTACGCTTAACCCAGCAGGTCATCTTCAAAGAAGAGCATAAGGGAATCAGACAGTTGACTTTGATGAATGAAGGCACCACGGTGTTAGCGGTGTCAAGACCTGGTAATCCTGCGGGCACAGATGTTGTAAATACCGTCGCCAAGGGAATACTACGCACGATTCCAGGTGAGGCAAATATAGCAATTGATTTTTACAGAAATTGATTGCAGAAGGAGAAACCGTGTACACTTTTGAGTATCCCGTCAGGAGTATCACAGGAGTTCCATTCAAACCAGCTGTAATCACTTGCGACGGGCAGAACCTTATACTTTGTGCGGCTGATAAAACAAATAGGGACTGTGTGATGGTGCACAACGCAAAAACGGGCGCAATCGTACATAAGATTTCTTTGCGCCAGTGTGGAATTAAGGTAAACACTTCAGGGATGGCTAAGTTACTGCCAAGGTGAAGTTACAGGATATACAGTCACTTGTAGCTATGCCCCACAAGCCACACCTGATTGCTGTGATATCTACGGATAAAGGTGCAATTATCGATATCAGAAGTAAAAAACATCTTCGCTCAATTCCAAAATGGGGAGGAAGCTGTACTAAAGACGGAAAGTTCGGATTATACGCTCCGACCCGGTGAGTAATAGAGCATGGGCTAACTTCTACTAGCTCCATTGCAGAGGCGGACTGGAATTGCTAGAGTTAAAAAAAGGTCAAACAGTTAAAACCTTTATACCAAAGGTTGCGGAAGGAGTATTTACAGTTATTTGCATGTTTAACAAAACTGACGAGTATGTATTGTACTACCACAGTGGCAAAAAAACCATGAGAGTCTTTCGGTAATTCTCCACACTTACTGTCTCAAATGCATACGTTGGTTTTAGAACTGTTGACGCTCAAATGATTGCGAATTATCGCGTGCAGGCTGAGCTGACCGCAGTTGAAAGTACAGAAGATGGAAAGGCGATTGTTTTAGGAACGGTAGATGGGTGTGTTTCCGTTTTGGCGATAGTAGATCATGACAACGCAGAAATGAAGGACTACCTAGCTTCTATGCCATCCCGAGATGAAGAAGTATGTTTTTGTTTTGACCAGGACACTCTCCTAGACACGCATCTTCATTTTTAGTGGAAGAAAAAATTGGAACAACAACGGGCGCGTCTGAGATTTAAGGCCGTTGGCTCAGTTGCGAAATTGTCGACCTTATTTTTTAATAAGAAAAATCTTGATATTGGTTCATCGGAAAATGAAAATAAAGACAACACCACCAACGAGGGGTAGTTTAAACTTCATTTGTAAATTGTAGTGACTAGATCTAAAATAAGTGCTATTATGCTCATAAATCAAGTCAGAAACAATTTGTTATAACTTCATAGCGTAAATGAAAGATTAATTGTTCTAACGGATGCTGCACAAAGTTGTTTCGTCCAAAGAGTTAACCTGTCCTCAGGTAATTGACTGACTGAATCCAGGATTTGGAATGATATAAATATAATTTCTGAGTCTTCAGACGCAGCATTCGTCTAAACTATAGCCCTGCTTCTCTAATAAACTAGTTCAAAAGTTACAGCCCTTTGAATTTTCTTTCGAAATTGGTTTCTAGTCTATAACTTTTGATTGAGAAGTCTGATCGAAAAAGTACGAATTGTTTTGGATTCTACGCATCAAAATTAATAAGAAAACGTGTTTTCCCGAGAAATGTTGGTGCAGTCGATTTTTGGGAAAAAGGAAGGTTATACACTGCTTTTTTTTTGCCCCGAAAAAAAAATTGTCTCAGATCGACCCAGAAATTTTTCTTATAGAATGTGGCCTGTAGAATCCATAATTTAAAACAGTTCCAAGATTGGGCTACTATTTCAAAAGTTACAGCCCTTTGAATTTTCTTTCGAAATTGGTTTCTAGTCTATAACCTTTGATTGAGAAGTCTGATCGAAAAAGTACGAATTGTTTTGGATTCTACGCACCAAAATTAATAAGAAAAAGTGTTTTCCCGAGAAATTTTGGTACAGTCAATTTTTGGAAAAAAGGAAGGTTATACAATGCCTGTTTTTGAGGCCCTCAAAAAAAATTGTCTCAAATCGACCCGGAAAAAAATTTTTCTTATAGAACTGGGCCTGTAGAATCCATAATTTCAAACAGTTCCAAGATTGGGCTACTAGTTCAAAAGTTACAGCCCTTTGAATTTTCTTTCGAAATTGGTTTCTAGTCTATAACTTTGATTGAGAAGTCTGATCGAAAAAGTACGAATTGTTTTGGATTCTACGCACCAAAATTAATAAGAAAAAGTGTTTTCCCGAGAAATTTTGGTACAGTCGATTTTTGGAAAAAAGGCAGTGTATAACTGCCTTTTTTTTGCCCCGAAAAAAAAATGGTCTCAGGTCGATCCGGAAAAAAATTTTTCTTATAGAATGTGGCCTGTAGAATCCATAATTTCAAACAGTTCCAGGATTTACTAGTTCAAAAGTTACAGCCCTTTGAATTTTCTTTCGAAATTGGTTTCCAGTCTATAACTTTTGATTGAGAAGAAAAAGTGTTTTCCCGAGAAATTTTGGTGCAGTCCATTTTTAGCAAAAAAGGAAGGTCAGTGCCTTTTTTTGAGGCCCGCAAAAAAAATTGTCACAGATCGACCCGGAAAAAAAATTTGCTTATAGAACGTAAATTTTTTATTATTTAAATTTAAAAGTTTATTTCCAACAAAAACAACAACAAATGATGTTATACCTACTATCAGTAAGTCTCTACTTGCAGTGACTTAAAGTAGTTGCCTAATTCAGCACCATAAGTTGCATTTACAAAGTTGAGTGCTTGCACGGATGCTTTTTTACAATCCAATATTCCGCGAGTTGTGCTGCCACCATTACCGCCACCAGTAATCATGTCTATGATGTCTTGAATGGTCTTTCCTTCCAAGAAAGTATTAATAATTCCGATGAAGCCCTTGGCGCCTTCGTTGATCAGTGTATTTAAAGCTCCCTCGTATTCAGTGGCAAGTGAATTCAGTGCGTCCTTCAGTTGGAGTGTAATTATGCTGCTTAAATGTTCATCGTTAAATAAGCCAGTAACTTCCCAATCTGTGGATGGCAATCCTAGTGTTATTTTCGCCTTTGTTATTTTGAGAGGAATTGGGGTTGCTTCAACCTCTACGTTAATTTTTAATTGATCCAGCTCAAATCTGAAACGTTTACTTATGAATGCTTCAATTAATAAGAAGATAAGGGTACTAATTTTTAACTGAAGAGGTAAAATTAATAATAAAAGAATAGTCCAACTTGATTCAAGTATGTTATCTCTTGGAAGGATTGATTAAATTATATCTACCTAAATTTTCCCTTTCCAAATAAGTTCAGCAATTGCAAGATTTTCAAGGTGCCATCGTAGTTTGTTCCAAACTTGATCGCTTTAAAAAATAGCCCAAGTTTGAAGGTTCCTTTTGGTGGAAATATTCCAATTTCGACGGTAGCCGGATTAACCTCAAAGTCCGAAAGCCCCTCGAAGGAGATGTCCCTCAAATGCAACTTCGAACTGTAACAATGATATATCAATAATTTGTTGCTTTAACCGCATTTCCAACCGTATGCTTTCGTGTTCTAAATTAACAGGAAGCCAGGGAAAATGAAATGGATCGAAGGACAGTCCGAAAATTCCATCTTTTATCATCTGCTTTATGCAATCGAACACGCCATTAATCTCATTTTCGAACATACGCGGATTTGCTAAGGTAATAAAAGTTTTATAAATATAAGGACCTTATGTACCACTTACCTTTTATCAAGTTAGTTAGAGCTTCAACAGAGGCGTCATCCTGTGCTCTTACCTGACCCACTGAACACAAAGCAAACACCACAAGTATTTTCTTCCACAGTTGCATTGAAGCACGATTTTTCTTTCTACTAGCGCCGAACAAAAAAGAATGTAATGCCAATCAAGTGGGCAGATTTTTGTATTTAATCGGCGCGTAATCTGGTTATTATCGAAGACGATAACCGTTTTTAAAATACGCATCCACTTAATGGTATGATACATAAAGGTAGGTAACAAGATAAATAAAATTGTTAGACAAATCAGTGAAAAAACACTTGAGATCTATGGTACAATCACAAGGTAAAAGCTGAATTCGACATAAATTGAAAATAAGTTTTATTTTCTTTCAGTATTTCGCTTCCCTCTCGCTTTTCTTCGTCTTTCCTTGATGTGATGTGGTGACAGAATATGTATCATATAGAAATTAAAGATAGATCTACAAGAACAACGTGCTTTCGAATGGGTCAAAATATATTTGATATTAGGTAGGAGGGTGAGAAGAAAAGTAGACTATTATACGGGACTGTTTGAGAGACTTCGAGAAAATAGACAATATTTTACAAAACTGCACCTAGACTTAGACCAACCCGGTCTCGAAATCTTGTAGATATAATAAATTGTTGCTAAGACTTTATGATAATCTTAGCTGGGGATCCCGATGCAGCACAAGGCTGTTCTACTAACCCAACATTTACAAATATACATGCCCGAACCCGGATTCGAACCAGGGACCCTTAGCACCACAGTCCAGCTTTAACTGAACTACACCACACGAGTATAATAATACAATATAGATATACGTGGGCTACAATCAGGTTAACAGTTAAATAAATTAATAAAAACCAGAGCAGATGGGTAGAATACTTTCAAAAAGTATTTGAATACTAAATAGTAAATACTTTACACAAATCGAAGGTATTTGAATACTAAATACTTTTACGTCCAGCACAAGCGAATACTAGATACAGATACATTGAAAAGTATTCAAATACTTAAAAAAATAAGTATTGAAATACTTTAGAATACTTTCAAAAGTATTCTAATACTATCAAAGGTATTCGAATACTATAAAAAGTATTTGAATACTTTGAAAAGTATTCGAATACAGTAAAAAGTATTCAAATACTTGTCACTCAAATACATTAAAAATTTAAAATAGTATACTAGATAAAAGGCTTAATACTACTTAAAAAATCAAGTTACCTATACTTTGTATGGGGTTAGCTTTTTTTATATTTCTATTGTTATATACAAATTTAAGGAAAGTAAAAGCGTATTGTTATTATTATATTTTTTTGGTAAAAAAGGAAGGTACTGCCTTTTTTTGAACCCCGCAAAAAAATTGTCTCAGATCGACCCGGAAAAACATTTTCTTATAGAATGTGGCCTGTAGAATCCATAATTTCAAACAGTTCCAAGATTGGGCTACTAGTTCCAAAGTTACAGCCCTTTGAAGTTTTCTTTCGAAATTGGTTTCTAGTCTATAACTTTTGATTGAGAAGTCTGATCGAAAAAGTACGAATTGTTTTGGATTCTACGCACCAAAATTAATAAGAAAAAGTGTTTTCCTGAGACATTTTAGTGCAGTCGATTTTTGGTAAAAAAGGAAGGTTATAACCTTCCTTTTTTTAAAGCCCGCAAAAAAATGGTCTCAGATCATTCTCTCGTCTTTCGTGAACACATACATCAATTCCAACCTTCAAATTGAGCATTATTTCTTGAAATAATTCACATACGAGCCGGCACTTTTAGGCAATAAACTCTTGTTCCCCTGTTGAATTTTTTAGGGGGTCTAGGGGATTTGTATAAAAAAACTTTTTTGAATGGAATCTGATACGATCGTAATTATTGCTCGAGCAATTTCTGAAGGTTTATTAAAAGGTGTTGGTGTCCACTTCATTTCACATTAGAAGCAACTTCTTCGACGCTATCCTATTTCTTTCTTTGCTTATAGTAATGACAAACGCACAATTCTCAAAATTTGCGCGTACAAGCTAGAAATTGACCTAAAACAGTGTTATCTAATCGCAAAGGTTAAAGGATATTTCTTTATACCATACGACAGTGAGTTTAAGATTAGTGTAGACGCAAAAGATGACACGACACGATTTTGAATTTTCCATAAATGACGCCATTTCACAAAATCGCACTACCATTAAAGACATCGAGGATGTCGAGAGTTGGTTAACCACTCAAACTTATCCCAAGCTAACCAAAGAGCAAATTGTCGCGTTTTTACTCTCGTGCCGTAATGATAAAAGTTGGGCAAAGAACACCATTGCGGCCAATTTTGCGCTTAAATCCAACCGACCGGATCTATTTACCGATCGCACCCTTAGAAATGTATCGATACAGAAGATTCTCAACGTAGTGTAAGTACGTTAAGTTGCTTGTAATATACATGTTACTGTATTTCTAATTAAAAAGGCATATTGGCGTGATGCCTGTAAGGCTAAACGGATCCGTAATTGTTGTTAGTCAGATGGTGGACACAGATTATCACAATTTTGATTTAATAGCTTATACAAAATTCATTCTAATGGGTATGGAGACCGCAACATTAAAAGCTGACCCACCTGATGGACTTATAGCAATACTAGACAGTAAAGGTGTAAGTGCGCCGTTTTTTGCCATTGCGGTGTATATATGTTCTAATTTCAGTATGGACTAATGCACTTAACTTGTGTTAAACTGGACTTGGTGAAATGGCTTTTGCAATATATCCAAGAAGGAATGCCGATAAAGGTAACGGCCGTCCATATTATTAACACTAATACTGCGTCAGAAATGGCACTGAACTTGGCGAAGCCTTTCATTAAGAATGAAATTAAAAAAACTGTAAGTGCAGACCAAAATTGTGTTATTAACATGCACATATTTGTATCAGATATGTTTTTACAGCTCCACGTCCACTCTACATCGCATATGGAATTGTTCTATCAAAACCATATACCGAAACGCTATCTTCCCAGCGATATAGGGGGTGAACTTGAACCGCTCAAAACCTATAGAGAGATTTCATTACGAAATATGGACAAGATGGAGGAGTACTTTAAATTTGAAGAACAACAAAGAGCCGCAGCTGCGAAATAGCTCAAAAACGATTGTTTGTATTACCAACGTAATAGAATCAAATCTTTCAACAAATTTTTGAATTTCTTATAAGCAGTTTTAGACATCAGTATCCCCCACATTTTTACTATATAAATATGCCTTACCAACAGAACGAAATGGCACATAACTGGCAACAGCAGACGTACTCTTTGTATAGGTAATGATCTCAGTCGTATTTGCTAAGGCTTCAGAAAGAAAAGCAATATATTAAGTACCCAAGCACTTTGGCAAGCATAGTAAAATATGGCATAGCGCTTAGTGTTATGTCCTCCCCCCTAATAGTCTAGGCGATAGAGACTGTAAAATTGGCAAACTGGACATTTTGAGGTGGAAAAGAAAAAAATGGTGAAATTTGTTCAGTTAGGTGTCAGAAACAACATATTAAAAATCCCACCCCCCAGACCCTGTGCTAAAGGCTCCAGCCACCCCACCACCCCCCAAAAACCGTGTTTTCGCCCTTTTTGGCTGATATCTCGCGATCTCTGAGGTCTATATGAAATATTTTTAGCTGAAAATATTTCTCGTGAAATTTCATACAAGGTAGATACTCAGAAGTTAGCCTAGGTGTACCTCTTAGCCTAGGAAATTCATAAAAGAGGCGAAAATCGTGGCTTTTGCGGTTTTTTGCAAATATATCGCGACCTTTAGGACTAGATGAAATATTTTTATCTGAAAATGCTCCTCGTGAAATTTATTACAAGGTATATACTCAGAACTTAGCGTAGGTGTACCTCCTAGCCTAGGAAATTCATAAAAGAGGCGAAAATCATCAATTTTCGTGGCTTTTTGCGGTTTTTTGCAAATATATCGCGACCTTTAGGACTAGATGAAATATCTTTAGCTGAAAATGCTCCTCGTGAAGTTTCTTACAAGGTTGATACTCAGAAGTTAGCCTAGGTGTACCTCTTAGCCTAGGAAATTTATACAAGGAGGCGAAAATTGTGTTTTTTTTGCGGTTTTTTGCAAACATATCGCGACCTTCAGGGCTAGAAAAATCGTATGGAAAGTGGTACCTTTTTTCACGATTTTTACTATGCGTTTCCATGGAGTTTAGTCCTGTCTATGAATAATAGCATCCACTTTTGAGTGACAAGCGAATGTCAATCAAATTATTCAATTGCGGGTTATTATAGATCACTATGCAAACAAATTTCGGTAACGGTACAACACGTGTTGAAAGTGTCTTTTTTCCATGAATACTCATTACCTCATTAATCAAACTGCAAATTCATGAAAAAAAGTATCACTTTCAAAACTAGTTGTACAAATAACTTACGTGTATAAATGGTACATAGAAATACTTTGTTTTACAATGAATATTTCCTCACACATGAAAGTTGAAGGTGGAAGGTAACTTTACGCCAATTCTTCAGTTACACACCTCGTATCAAATTGCACGAAGAGCATTTTCAGCTGAACATATTTCATCTAGCCCTGAAGGTCGCAATATATGCAAAAAACCGCAAAAAAACACGAAAATTTATGATTTTCCCCTCCTTTTATGAATTTCCTAGACTAAGAGGTACACCTAGGCTAACTTCTGAGTATCTACCTTGTAAGAAATTTCACGAGGAGCATTTTCAGATAAAAATATTTCATCTAGCCCTAAAGGTCGCGATATATTTGCAAAAACACCGCAAAAAAACACGAAAATTTATGATTTTCGCCTCCTTTTATGAATTTCCTAGGCTAAGAGGTACACCTAGGCTAACTTCTGAGTATCTACCTTGTAAGAAATCTCACGAGGAGCATTTTCAGATAAAAATATTTCATCTAGCCCTAAAGGTCGCGATATATTTGCAAAAACACCGCAAAAAACACGAAAATTTATGATTTTCGCCTCCTTTTATGAATTTCCTAGGCTAAGAGGGACACCTAGGCTAACTTCTGAGTATCTACCTTGTAAGAAATCTCACGAGGAGCATTTACAGCTAAAAATATTTCATCTAGCCCTAAAGGTCGCGATATATATATTTGCATAAAACCGCAAAAAAACACGAAAATTGATGATTTTCGCCACCTTTTATGAATTTTCTCGGCTAAGAGGTAGACCTAGGCTAACTTTTCAGTATCTACCTTGTATGAAATTTCACGAGAAATATTTTCAGCAAAAAATATTTCATATAGACCTCATAGATCGCTAGATATCAGCCAAAAAGGGCAAAAACACGGTTTCTGGGGGGGGGGGGTGGGCTGGAGCCTTTAGCACAGGGTCTGGGGGGTGGGATTTTTAATATGTTGTTTCTGACACCTAACTGAACATATTCCACCCCAAAATGTCCAGTTAGATGTCTTTATCGCCTAGACTATAATGTAAAATCGCAAAGTTTTTGACCAAGCGAAATTTTATTGAAAGTAATCTACTCCAATTCTTATCCATTCACTAATTTACTTTAACTTAGAGGTTATTAAACTTCGTCGATCTGCTGGCCGCTAATCTTTAGTGTGTCTCACAGGATCAGTGTTGTGTAAAAGAGTGAACCCTATATGGACTCCATATAAGTACTTGAAAGATCTCAAGAGCTCGAAATACCAAGCTCTTCTACACACAACACTGTGGATTTTATCAGTAAAGGGCTTTCATGTAGACTTGGGCGCTAGATACTGCAAAAAGACTAATTCATTTGAAAAATGAATAGGATTCCCTTGATCGTTGGCAATTTCATTAAAAAGCTTCAATTTCTTTTCAATTAACTTCAGCTACTTAATTAATCCTGAAAAGACTTGAAATGTCAACGAAAATGCCTTGATGTTAGTGAATTAGTGTCAGATTGACCATGGAAGATTACAAGAACATTTTAAGATAAAAAAATAAAGCAATAATGTAGAAAAAATGTTAATTATCGACATTAAACCTATGGAAATTTAGCACAACTTCATGGGAAGGCAGAATACAATCGGTAACGTCACACACTTGCGTATGTTGGACGTACCTACGTCATATCAATGTAATAGTGGTTTCAGTAAAAGTATTATGGATTTAATGTGAAAGCATACAATTGTGTCGTATAAATGTAAATTTCGGCAATGCTGTTGACATGGCTACCTCAACCTTTAGTGAAGTAGATCAACCAAATACGTAAGGCAAAACCCGACAAATTTTCATGTAGGGATCCCCACTGAGGCACCAAAGTTACTTTTGTGAAAGGAAAAATGCCCTCCTCCAACAAGGTTGACAATCATCATTTGTTGTATTTCGTTTCTGAGCAGAAACACAATGTAATTAAATGGCCTGCCGTCATCCTCAATGTAACCAACTATTTTCCAAAATAAAATAACATTCCTTTGCTAAAAACAACAGCGCAATTGTTATAATTGTTCATTGAATATTTTCAATTAAGTTGCTAAAGTTATTTGTTTGATTCTCTGTAGGGAAGTATGAAATAAAATTTCAAATAACCCTCTTACATGCTTTTTAGCGCATTTTCCAACGAAGCTGGGCGCGCTATTCCAGTCACTTTCTCTGTCCGTTCGTCCGCCTGCCCGTCCGAAACCATGACCTACAGTTTTCAATGTAACTAGTTCATTCTTTTTGTATTCGGTAGTATATACCTCTGGCACCTGAGCCAAGAAAAATCTGAGAGATTAATGTGCGAATGCGCAAAGTGCGTAATGTCAGTGATGTTTCCTTTAAAATATGAACCGCATATGCTTCTAGTAAAGGCAAACCCATCGCATACAGTAAAAATCATATGTGCGCATGCGCAAAGCGTACAATGCCAAATTGTTTATTTACGGAAATATATTTTTTTTAATTTTAGCCACAGATGCTTCTAGTAAATCATAGTATAAACCAAATATACCCATGTGCAGACTGCGAGGACTGTTTAACCATAAATTGCTTGCCTGTGTCCATATAGCCTTTTGGGAGTACTAGTCGAATAAAATTAGTGATTCTCACAAGAAGCAAGAATTCTTGCATCTTGGCTCGTCTTGTCTTGTCTTGCGAAAGACAAGACAAAAAGAACCTTTGCAAGACAAGAAGTTTTGCAAGACAACACAAGAACAATGCAAGACAAGAAATTTCTTGCATTACTTGCATTATTTGCAAGGTTCCAGCGATCGATTTTGTAAATAGGTATTTGCTTCACGCGCTTAAAATAGCTAGCTTGAGTCATCGCGATAATAGTTATTTACATGAAAGTCATGTTTACCATTATTGTCGAGGAAAAATTAAATTGAATTAATTTCAGAGTCAAGTAGTATCACTTTACTGGCGAGTTTTGTATTAGGTACATGTTTCCCAAAATTGTCTTTTCAATATAAAATTTGGGCCTGTGTGGTGTAGTAGCGTGGAAGCACGACTGCGGTACTAAGGGCACCTGGTTCGAATCCGGGAATGGATATTTGTAAATGTATAGTGAGCTGGGTTGGTAGAGCAGCCTTGGTTGAAACACCGCCCCGTCCATAAATAAAATAAAGTGATTAACAATAACTGTGCCAATTTAATATACGAGGAGGCAGGAAAAGGAATCTGGTAAAGTGACAGGCTACAGGAACAGTACTCAGGTAAAGTGTTACTGCCACTCCTATGGAAGCTAAAATTTCTAGACATACAGTAGGCATGATGCTCGGACGACTGTGGATTATGTTTCAGTCCATATTTGAAAGAGCGGCGTCCTGGAAAATAGTGTAAGGGTTTAGAGAGAGTAAGTTCGGTTAGCGTAATAGGTTAACATTTGCACAAACTCGCAAATTTTAGGGGTTCACATTTAATATCAAACAGCGATATTCTCATTAAATCAATTTTTAGCATTTTTTAACATAATATTTATAATAATAATAATAATAATAATGACATTTATTTCCACGTAATACCAAAACCAAATAAGTATAAAATATATATAAATGAGTAACACATAATGTATACGGGAAATGGGACTACATTCAGTGTTTTGACAACCCTGTTCTTCCATGTAACCCCAACTCGTTATAGGAAAATAAAATATAAATTGTAAATTACGCTAGCACTCAGGAACAAATTAATACTTGAATACAAAGAGAGGAAAGAAAACAAAAATAAAAATACAAGT